TTTAAATAGATGTACGGCGGCGGATATTAAAGAATCCTTAATTAATTCTATTTAGCGTATTTCTTTTAGGAAGTAGCGTTTTAATTACTATATTTTAAAGCGAATAGCTAAATAATATACCTCTCATAGTTCGAACCTTCTAGTAATATTATTCCGGACGTTAACCTTTCCAACTTTTCCTCAATTTATTTTCGTTTTAATTAAATCTTAAATTTATATTTTAAATATATCCCCAACGTCCCCCCTATAGTATTTTATAATACTCTTTTTATAATATTCCGTATTAATTCTTGTTAATAATTCAATCCCGTTTAGTATTTTACCCTGTTAATTACAATTAATTTAATATTCTAGGACTACGAACGTTTCGAATTCCTATTCGACCCTTTATAAAAGACGGACTTTATTTAATATTATATCGACCCCTATTATTTAGGCTAGTTTTAAATAATTGAAGATTTTAGCAACGGTTTATACGGATTATATAAGTATAGTAAAGGGGAAGATTAGGAAAGAAAGGTTATATATATTAATTCTTATAAAACATCTTATCCTTTCTATTTAATAAATTTTATTATCTACCCCTATAATAATAATAAGATATTTATTTATATATTCCTAAAGACTTTAGTAACCCGTAGTAAGGATTATAATTAAGGGAGGTTCCTTCATTATCCTTTAAAATTACTAAAGTCGGTATCGCCGAGTGAATTTAACCTATATTTAACCTATATATTATCTATTAATTTATTTATAATAGGGCGAAAACGGAAACTGAAACGGAAATTTAATAAGAAATATTTTCGTTTAGTAATAAAAATATATTTTTTAGAAGTTATTAATTGGAAGTAGCGGAATTGGATATTTTAAAAACTTTATATATAAAAAGAATTAGATTTTAAATCCTTACTTTTGGCGCTTAAATATAGGAAATTATTAGTATTATTCCCTTAATTTATAATTATTCTGTTTCGCGAATAATGATTATTTTGGTACTGGGGAGGGGAAGATAGTAAAATAATACTAAAGATTAGACGAGGACAATAAGGATAAATTAAGGGGAAGGTAAGGGAATCGGTTTTTTTATTAAGTTAGATTATAATTTTATATTTAGGTTCCCCTAGGTAGCAATTTATTTCGCTCTATTTCAATTAGAATAAAATATAGTAAATAAAAGATTGAATAGTATATAGCCAAATTAACTCTAATTAGAATAAAGCTACTTTACCCTAACGTTTAGTAATACCCCATATTAATCTACTGTAAATACGCCGTATTATACTACTATTAGAAAAGTTTTATAAAAATATAAAATATATACGAAATTAATTTATATTATCGGTATCCTAAATTATTTTTAGTTTAATCTATATAAATAAAGATTTATTAAAAAGTAATTACGCGAAATCGTTATTAGAGTTAATATTATTATTAAAATATATCCGTTCGCTCTTATTACTGTTAATAATTATTTTTCCTATATCCCTCTCTATTTATCTAATAGCCTTCTTAAAATTCCCGATAGTCGTTTATTTATTTATTCGTAATAGTCGAATTTTTTTTTTAAATGTATTAAATTTCGATTCTAATAATATAATAAATTTAAATTAGAAAATATTAGGGGTATCAAATCTTAAATTACTAGGCGGCCGAAATTCTATACTATTTTATTATACCTAACCGTTTTAATATATTATATATACGTAATTAATAATATCCTTATCTATAAATGGATTTATATATTTATTATTTTAATAAATTTTTTATATTATTTTTAATAATTTTCTGGATAGTTATAGTATATAAATTAATAGTAAGAAGCCGGACGAATATAATTATAATATTATAAATCGAATTTTTATTTTATTTAATATCGAATATAAAGGATATGTTAATATATTCGAAGGCTATATTAATCGCTTTCTACTAATTATTAGCCGTAGAATATTGTATTATATTAAATTATAAAATAGTATTGGCGAGTAATTCGTTTGTAATTTTAAAACGAAATAATTATATTAAATAAAGTATTTTAGGTTTATAATTACTAAATTTATTATTATAAAATAAAATAGGAAGGAAGTTTATTAGTTCTCGTAAAATATTATAATCCCCTAATAAAATAATTTCGTCGAAGACTATAAAAATATAAATAATTTATAAATAAGAATATATATTATAATAGTTAATATTAAACGCCTCCGAAAGTGTTTTATATCCGGTCTATATAATTGCCGAAAAGAATTCATTATTAATTAAAGAAAATTACTAATTAATAAAAACCTCCCTAACGTATTCTATACACTATTATATAGAAGATTTAGTAATATTCAATTCTAATATATAATTATAATCGACGAGCCTAGTTATAAGGAAGGTTCAAGTTTTAGAGGCGAATATATCCTTTAATAAATATTAACCGTTATAGAATTTAGTATCGTACTATTTTATTCTCTTATCCCTTCTAAGGCCTTAAATATCCTATATTATAAGAAGTTAAAAGACGCGAAATACTATATTAACGTAGTTTATAAGGATATAAAAGAATATAAATACAATAAGAATCTACTATTTATAATTATATATATAATTAACTTTAAATTAATTGAAAATAATATAATGAATGAAAGACGTCGTTTTTTAATCGCTATAGACGAAAATAAATCGATCGCCGAAATTCTCCTTATTAAGTCCAAAAATATAAAAAAGAATTTATTTTAAAATTAATAAATGCTAACGATTTTACTTTCGTCTTCTAAAATTGCCGGAGTTTGTAGGATATAGCTTTTAACGGTTTTTAATCGCTTAACGACCGGGAAAAGATGGATAGACTATTTTAATTTCCGCCCAAATATAGCGGTTAATTGACCTTTAGTAAAATAACGGGCCGCGTTATTGAAGGATAGTAACGTAATATTTAAATAATTAAAAAGCTATTCTAATTCGAATTTAATATATAGGCGCTATTAAAATAGTATAAATAGCCTATTAATATCGGGATTATTAATAAAGAAATAGATGGCAAGATTCTATATAATATTCTTCTGACCGATATCAAAATTTTATATATAATTTATAAAATTAAAATTATTATAAATAATAATTATATTCGGATTACAATTAACGAATTTAAAGTTTACTTATAATTATATAAATATATATAAAAATTAGCGGAGGTAAGGATATTTAAATTTTATAAAGGGGGGAAGGTTTATCCTTATAGGATTTAAATATTAAGCTACGTACTATAAAAATATTAATAAAACGCTTAATAATTTATAGGGTAATTTTATAAGAAGAAATTATCTTAAACCGGGCTAATATATTATATATATATAATTATATAGAATTACTTTCAAAGTAAATATTAAATAGCTTTGGGATAAATATGTTCATTTGGGGTATATAGGAATTTATAATAATAAACGCCATTATAATTATATAATTACGGATCTCCCCTTTTTTCCGAATATTATTTTTCAATTTATAAGAGCCCTAGTAGACGCATTATTATATATATAATGCAATAAGTAATTCTATTAATTCGGGGACAATTTTTATTAGGATTCCGTATACGGAACGAAGATGAAAACGAATTGATATAATATTAAAAACGTCCTTAATAGCAAGAATACTATTAACGAACTTATTAATAAGGAATAATATAAATACCCCTTCTACTTCGAATTCCTATAAGAGTAATTTAAATTCTATATAGAAAGAAATTTAAAAATATATTTAAAGTAATTTGTATTTCTCTATTGCCAATTTATTTATTCGAAATCAGGTAGTAAATTCCGTTACCTATTCGTTTATTCGAAATTAAATAATAAATTCATTAAAGGGAAAATTAGTATTATCCTATTCGAAATATAAATAAACGCTAGCATCCGAAAGTACTTTATATACAATAAATTCCCTAAAGGCGTTAATAAATATACTGAAACGCTTACTATACCGCTAAAATATTATAATCCCTTAATAAATATAAAAGTAAATTAAGTATTATTATAAATTCGTCCGATAACGATTTTTAATAAAAATATTAATACGTTTGAATAATTTTTAAATAGGGTTTAAAATATTAAAATCATTATTCAAAGTATTTACCCGAAAGGTATTTACTTTAAAAGCCCTAGAAAGGGGCTTTCTACTTAAAGTATTTACCTTAAATATAAAAGGTTTATTAGAAAATTCGTTAGAAGATTCTTAATAGGGGTCGGAATATAATAATTAAAATATAAGTAGAGGAGATGTAAATATAGAAATTAATTAAGTTGCCTAATATAATTAGTAAAATATAAATATATAATTAATATTAAAAAGGGTAGGAGAAGAGGGAAGAGAAAATAAAATTAATAAATATATAGTATCGGATATACGTATAGGGCGTACGTATAAGGTATATAATTACGTTGGGTAGTACAATAATATATAGAATAAATTGGAAATATATAACTAGTTTATATATAATAGACCCTTTTATTTATATTAGGCTTAGACCGTAGTATAGCCGTATTTCTTTACACCTATAGGTCTAAATAGTATAATATTAGGATTAGTAGGTAGGTGAGTGTAGTAGGGATATTATAATTATTTGGACCCGTAGGTACAAAGAGAAACGCAAGGGCTATACGTAGGTGGCTGAGTGAATGAAACTAATAACAGAGGACTTTAATATATAATTCTCAAAACAAACCCAACAAGCCCATAGTAAGCCAAGCCATAGCCGAGCCGAGCTGGCCTCCTTGTGGAGACGAGCCGAGCCAATCTGGACCTCAAGCTCAGCTCAGCTCGGCTCATTGGGAGCACTGGTTTCCGGGAGATCATCATCTGAAACTTGACAGGATGCATGGCTTGACGAGAGGTCGAAGAAAGTCACGGTCTCGTGAAGGTGCAAGGTTGACGAAATGGGTGCGCAACATGATTTCATCATTACAGTCAAACCATGTTTGAAGTTCGAAACGTGCAGCGCTTATTGTAGGCGATGGCATAAAAAGGTCATCCGTGATCCGTACGCGTGTTGGAAAACACCAAAAGCATGAATGGCTCACATATGCCATGAAAGTTGTCCGCGTCCAATCGGGTAAACCCCGGGGCAAATCCCAAAGCGGTTTTGGTTTCTGGACCTGGATACCGTTTTCGATCCAGAAAGTTATCCAGGTCCAGAAATCCAGCATTTAACTTTGAACCTTTTTTTTCCCCAATCTTTTCCCGAACAACAACAACAATCCCACCACACCACCAACCAACAACACCATGACAGATCACAACACGGATCTGCGCCCTTCCAAGCGCCTGCGAACCGAACCCGAAACTGCCGACCGAACCTCACCATCTGCAAAGGAATCTATCCAACCTCCCCCGGACTTCGACCTCGCCGCCCTCGCTGGCCCTGAATCTTCCAACCCCTACCTCCCTCTCCTCTCCCCCCTTCCCACCTCCTTCCACACCACTCTCCTCGCCTACGCCGCCACCCGCGACCCCCTTATAGCCTCTATCCTAACCAATGAACACGCCGCACACGTAGCGCGTGAACGCGCCCGCATCGTCTCCTTCGATCATCACTCCCAACGCGCCTGGCATCTCCTCAACGAAAAGTACTCCCGTATTTCCTGCTCGAAGCAATACGAACTAGCCTTCGACGTTTGTTCAGAAATCGATGGGATGTTCAAGAAGATTGCCCAAGCCGTTGATGAAACGAGCTCGTTTGCTACGAAAAAGAACGCGGTGGAGACGATGAGGCAGATCTTGGAGAGCGTATGCACAGCCCCGGATACCCTAGGGGAGGAGGTAAAGAATTCGTATCAGGCGAGGGGCGAGTGGGATGAACGGTTGGTAGAGCTTTTGGCGAGGTTTCAGCAGGTGGAGTTGGAAAGGTTAGCGAGAGAAAATGAGGGAGAATGGTTTGAGGAGCTTTGCTCGTTGAGGGATTCGGGTGCCAGTTATGGGATCTTGAAGGGGTTAGAGGAGGCGGTTACGATGTTGAGCGGTTATGTTACGGATATAAAAGGACATGGTGATGAAGAGGAGGACATATGAGAGGGGTGTTGCAGCCGGTGGAATCCATCTTTCCTATTTTTAGAAGCAACTGGTGACATCACCCATCCGATCTTCCGAACTTGAATATCAACAACACCAGATGTCAGTCAGACACACAAGAAGAACCACCAACTTCATTTCACAACGACATCGACATAACACACAGAAAATCAACCCCCAAAATGACCACCCAACACACCCCTTACACCATCGGGCACGCGCCTTCCCAAACCAAGCACCACGAATGGCGCACCGCCTCCAACAGCGCCGCCCACCTCCTCCCGCACCTCCAAAAGGCGCTCACCTCCAACCCCAACCTCAACCTCCTCGATATCGGCTGTGGGCCCGGCACCATCTCCGCCTCTCTCGCCCAGCATCTCCTTCCCTCCGGCCACGTCCTCGCGACCGACATCGCCGATGATGTCCTCTCGCGAGCCAAGGAGCACGCCATCTCCCAAGGACTATCGGTACCGGGAAACATCTCCTTCCAAAAGGCCTCCGTCTACGAGTTGCCCTTTTCCGACAACGAGTTCGACATCGTGCATGCCCACCAGGTGCTTTGTCACCTCGACGATCCCGTATCCGCTGTCAAGGAGATGCTCAGGGTTTGCAAACCCGGCGGGCTGATCTCGCTGCGCGAGTCGGACATGAGGATGTGGTGTTTCTGGCCTGAACTTCCCTCCCTACTTAAATTCCATGACCTAATGGTTGAGGTGATGCTGGCCAACGGCGGGCAGGATAAAGGCGGGAGGAAGTTGGTGTCGTGGATCATGGATGCTGGGGTTGACCGAAAAGATATTGAGGCTGGGTTCGGGACATGGTGTTATAGTGAGCCGGGGGATAGAAAGGCGTGGGGGAAGGCGATGATTGAGAGGTTGCGGATGGGGCATTGAGTTGAGGTTGACGACGGAGGAAGGGGTGGAGGAGATGGTGAAGGGGTGGGAGGAGTGGATTGAGAGGGGGGAGGCGACGTTGGGGATTGTTAATGGGGAGGTTATTGTGAGGAAGGCGCAGGCATAAGGACCAAGGCCGGGTTCTAGGAAGGAACGATAATGCGCCTTCCAAATCCGGAATCGCCAACTCGCTGCGGGAGACCTACTTGATGACCAAAAAGGTGTCGGGTTGTTGAAGTCTGACGAGCCATAGGTATTCTGGCTGTAATCGACATGGTCTTGTACGCACCTCTACTGCCTTTCTTTACTTTTTGATATCGCGGCTTTGAACTCCTGGTAGCTGACAGCGCAGTGGTCTACTGCCGTTGTCTGCGGTGGTTCTTGTTCCGGCGCGATATCAAGCGTCTCGGACCTTTGCCCCTGGAAAAGGTAAACAAACCGAAGAAAGAGCCACGACATCAAGGTGCGGAATAACAACCTGGAAAGAATGTATGGGGGTTGCAGGGAACAATGGAAAGTGCTTTGGGAGCGGTCGATCCCGTGCAACAGTTTGCGGAAGACACTGCCAACGACGTTTGATGATAACAAACACCTGCCGCCGCAAACATGGGAGCCGTCCCTGTGAACATACCATACAACTCCGCGCCTCGCATTATCCAACTTCCATCTCCCCTTCTCGTTCTACTTCTTCTTCTCTTCTTCTTCTCCGTCATCACACCCAGCCAACACGCCATGGAGGAATCGTCCGAGATCACCATCACCGCCTCGAGTTCTGATGTGGCAAGTAACTACTTCGTCGATTCAGAGATCGATGCCTTCTTCACCAAGACTTCTGCAAGCCGTGAAGCTTGCAATGGCAAAGCAAGAGAGCTTGTCGGGGATGGAGATGTCGTCCCAGTCGACGTCCAGGGCGTGTGCAGCTACACCGTCTACGCAGGACCCGAACTGGAATACGTCGTCCAGTTCCGCCTCGAATCTCTGGCGCTCAAGGCCGAAATAAGCTCTCTAGCGACTGATATTTACGGATCACTCGTGCCGAAGGTGTCCTTCGAAGGCAAGCTAGGGGAAGAAGGAGATGGGAAAAAGGAACCACTTTACGTCTACTTAATGACCCGAATGCGTGGAATGACTCATTTGGATTTCATATCGGCTCATGGCTTTCCGGAAAACTCCCCCGACAATTTCCTCTGGCGAAAGAACCTGATGGGAGACGTCGCGCAGTAGGTCTCAACCGTCGAAGTCAATCTAGCCGTGATGCTAACTCAATGCTTGCAGCTTCATGGCTCTATCTTGGAACGCTCCTCAGCCCGTCAGTCCGGAGTACCGCAGTAGGTTACGAGACGCCTACGTTGGCGACCTGCAACTCTTGAACAATTCACTCCCTTCTCGATTCGGACCAATTATCCAGGCCTGCATTGACGCAATAGACGACATCCTATCTCTTCCCATGGTCCTCCTCCATCGAGACTTTGGCGCCTGCAACATCATAGTGGACGAAGCAACCTGTCACCTTGTCGGCGTCATTGACTGGGCGGAAGCTGAAGTGTGTCCATTCGGGCTCAACCTGCATTCACTTGGGTTTCTGACCGGGAAGCTTCATCTGCGCAACGGGTGGACGCGGTACGAAGATTACCACGTTTTACAGGACACCTTCTGGGAGAGATTCAAAGAGGAGGTCGGCGGCTTATCTGATGATCAGCTCCGGACGATCAAACTCGCAGGGGCTTTGGGTCTGCTTCTTTCGTCCGGATTCACCAGCCGTCTTGCCAATAAGCCAAAGCCGGTGCCTATCGGCGATGATGAGCATGGTCGTTACAATATGATGTCCTTGGATGGATTTCTTATCAATCCGCTAACAAAGTTCGACTTTTACAGTGACATTACAACGTGGAGGCCAGGAGACTATGGTTGAGATAAGCAGCAGTCATGCAATGTTGCCCATCACGACTTGTTGAACAACCGACAATGTTTTGACCGACTATTTGGGCATTTCCCAGACCACTTCCCTTTCTTTTCCCCCGTCCCTGTCTAGTCCAACGTCTCAGCCACATCCCTTGGCCTTTCCTATCATACTACGGAGGGGGGAGAGCGACATTATCTACTTGAACCCCGCCTGCTAGTACTTGGGCCACTGCGGTAGGGCAGACGGATGCCCATAAAACGGCGTATTATATTGGTTGCCGGCGGTGTTGTTGTTCGTTTGAACCCCTCCGCCCATGTTGAAGTTCATAAACCCGGCTCCCGAGTTGTGAAACTGATCTCGTCCCACATACCACCCATCTCCCCCCGTCCCATTCCTCTCATCGGGAAGAGATGACTCTGTCGACGATCCTCCACCCGCCGGGAGCAGCAACAAAAGCTCCTTTGCGTATGCCGCCGCCGTTGCTGCCGCATAGCCCTGCCACTTCTTATTCTTGTGCGAGTCCGCGTAGTCGCAAACTCCCCGGATCACCAGACCCTGGTAGTCGCTCATCACGCCGGCAGCTTCCATCTCGAGACAGATGATGTTGTGTCTCGCGTGGAGTTCATTCCTATTGGCGCTCGACCTGACAACTGCATTTGCCGAACCGACGTTGCCATAGTGGATATGGGGTTGGTCACTCTTCCGCTCGGCTCTTTTGCCCCGACCCTTCCGCAGCTTTGCTCGCGTCGCGTCACAAAGGCCTTGACAGAATCTCCCCCTGTCCGGATGAGGGTAGTTGTCCTCAAAGAGATAATCATATTCGGCCCCAGGATCCTCATAAGCCTGCCGCGACCGCTCATTCAAGCCTCTGCGCAACTCATACAGGTACTGCGGGATCTTACTTCCCGCTACCTGCATATGCACGCTTCGCAGATTATTCACCGCAGTGAGCAGAGCAGCAGACGGGTGAAGCGTGTGCTCTTTGACAGTCAATTCTTTCTGGCCCTCCCACGCACCGAACTCATAATGCGTCACACCTCCTCTTCCATGCTGGGGAACGCCGACGACGACATCGCCCAAGACGATCTGCTCCTGCAGATCTGGACCGTAGCAGGGCATCCCGCCTGCGATGCCGACCACCAGAACATGTTTGATGTTGGGAAACGAGCGGCGCATGTTGGCAAGAGCCGTGGCGGCTGGTTCGATACCCATGCGCGGGCACACAACCATCACGACGAAGTGCGAGCCTATACGTCCTACGTGGTAGAGAACGTCGTCGTCGGGAACTTCCATTGTTGTGGGGTCCTCTAGCATTCCGACCGCAGCGGTGAGTTCCAAGGGCAAGGGGGCGATCCAGCCGACTGTGTACCGAGAAGTGTCGTGTGAGGGATCCATGTGGGCAAATGTTGACATCGAACGTGATTATCCAAAACGAAGAACAACACTGTCTCAGCTTGCAAAGATACACCAAGGACCAGAGAAGGTGCTTTTGATTTTAACGTCTACTCGGGGTGGTAGAGGCAAGACCCAAGGTGGACAGAGGTAGGCTAAGGCCCAGCTCTGGCACCCTTTGCTCCAAGAGTGAGCATTGTGGCTCGGCGTCGTCGGATTGGTGGCCTCACATACCTCCACCCACCATGATGGGAAATATGGAGGGCATACAGACTAGACAATTCCCTCTTGGCCAGATGACTTGTCAAGCCCTAGTGCTTTATCATCGGTGCGCAGTCGGTCTATTGAAGCTTCTAATTGGCCGTACATGCTCAGGACCTCTTTACAGTCTAGGTGAGTGGCGTCTTATTTGCAGTTATGGGTGCAGGCATCACATTCAGCTCGCCCCGAACGAAAGGATATCTTCACACTACCAATGGCACATGCGATTGGTGGCCGGTATTCACTAGGTTGAAAATATGGGCAGGTAGTGTCCATTGGGCATCTATGTATACACCTTCGGAAGGCATCAGCAGCTGATGCCGCAAATGTGCACATTTCGGTGGCACATCAGCCACGTCACACAGCTTTGTGGCCACCTTCGGTTGGGGATGAGTTCTCTGAGATACAAACCGGGAGTTTGGGGACAAAAACTACTTCTCCCTCTTCTCATTTTAAATCAACGACTTTCTTAGCCGGCCCACATGACAACTTTGGTGTTTTGGCGGGCCAACCAACTGCACATTATTCATCTCTTCATTCCGTTCTATCAACTCTTGCTTTCTCCCTGGGTCTTTTCTACAATACGAGCAATTACATCTCGTCCCCCGCGTTCGATCTCGTAACCAAGCGTCAGATACGTCCCGAAGCTCAATCGCCGCGAAATGACAAGATCCTGGTCTTTCTACAATTCTGGTTCGGGTTTCTCCACTGCCAATACCGGCCCAGGGAGTCAGCATAACAACAACGCCGCCGGGCCGCAATACAACTACAACTACTATGGATGTAGGTTTCCACCACGGGTGATGACGGTACGGGCCTGTGCTAACATCCAATAGCTCCTCCCTCTGGAACTGACCAAGAACGTGAGCGCCTCAAATGTGAGAAGCAAGGTCAGTATACTGATTCCTCACCACGTCTCCATCAAGACTGACGAGGACAGAATGTTTACGATCCCTCAGCTTCTCTAATATTGACGCTCGCCGTCAAGATATTGCTCTGGTCCATCCCAACACGGGTGACTGGATCTTTGAAACCACAGTATTTCGACAATGGCGCGACCGCACCGATTTATCACGACACAATGGAGTGCTCTGGATAAAGGCCATCCCGGCACCGGAAAGTCGACGCTGATGAAGCATATCTGGAGACACTGTCAGCGGGCGCTCCAGGGCCGTACAGTTGCGACCTACTTCTTCCACGCTCGAGGCGAGTCGTTGGAAAAGACACCTCTCGGCATGCTACGCTCCCTGGTATGCCAACTTGTCGACAATGAGGAGCCGACATGTCAGCGCTTACTTCCCCTTTTCCGTCAGAAGAACCGACTCCACCAGAAATGGGAGTGGCGAGAGTCTGAACTGAAGGGCTTCCTCCTTTCCGAGATGCATGGTTCGGCAAAGGCCGCCACTCGTCATTCTTATCGATGCCTTGGACGAATGCAGTGACTCGCAGGTCCGGGACGTTGTGAAATTCCTCGAACAACTGAGTATCACCTGCCTTCGTTCTGAGGCCAACGTTTGCATTTGTCTATCGAGTCGCCATTATCCACACATTACCATGGCAAAATATCAGGAGTTTGTGGTAGAAAACAGGAACGGGCATGACACGGATATTGCCACATACGTCCACGACAATCTGACGAAGTCGAACCCAGATATTGAGAAGGAGGTTCTCAACAAGGCATCCGGTATCTTTATGTGGGTTGTGCTCGTCGTCGCCATGCTGAACAAAGCATATGACGAGGGCAAGATCGAAGCGATGGAGCAGAAGTTGCGCGAGGTGCCCAAGGACCTTGACGAGCTGTTTTTGACGATCCTGAGCGAGGAAAATCCGGATAAGCATGAGACGATCTTAATGCTGCAATGGGTTCTGTTCGCAGTACGACCGCTAACGCCGGAAGAGCTGTACTATGCCACACTGGCTGGCACCGGTGTCACAAATCTAGGACCTTGGGATCAGTCACAGCTAACAGCTGACAACATCCAGCGGCGCATAACCTACTCGTCGAAAGGCCTCATCGAGGTTCCCAAAGCCAAAGGTACGGTTCAGTTTATCCACGAATCTGTCAAAGATTTCCTCCTACGAAATCAACGACTTCAGAGTCTGGACCCGGCGCTTGAGTCGAATCCCATTGGTCAATCCCATGATCGTTTGAAAAATTGCTGTGTGTCATTCACCCAAATCCACGCTTCAATGCTGAATGATCGTTTGAGGAATAAAATCTCGATGGATCGAGATCATCTTGATTCTCAGTACCCCTTTTTGGAGTACGCATCTTTGTATTGGCTCGATCACGCTGAGGCAGCAGAGGCGAGAAATGTCTCACAGACAGAATTCTTGAGGGGGATAAAAGAAGACCATGGCGTGGAGCGACTTTCGTTGGCTCATACATGGTTCTGCTACGATAAAGCCTTACCATGGGAGAAATGTGGAGAGTACGCCGACCTGTTATTCGCTTCCGTAATTCATTCATACAACAGTATTGCGAAGATTCTTCTCGAGCATCGCGCCGACATTAGCCCACAGGGCTGGGATTACGGCCCTGCCTTACAGGCGTCTGCAATAAAGGGCTCCACGGAGATGTCGAGGCTTCTTATCGAGTACGGCGCCGATCCTAATGGCTGGCACGGAGGGTATACCCCGCTCCAGGATGCTACACGCTACGGATATAAAGAGAGTGTTAGACTTCTTCTCGAACACGGCGCCGATGTTAACGCGATAAGTCCAGATGGTACCGCGCTATGCCTGGCCTTGCATCGTGATTCCTTCGAACGATGTACTGTATCTGAAATCAAGGATCTAATCAAACTTCTGGTCGAACACGGCGCCGATGTTAACGTGAGCTATGGAGAATACGCCAGTAACGCACTCCACGATGCTGCACTCGACGGAGATGAAGAGATTGTTAGACTTCTTCTCGAGCACGGCGCCGATGTCAATGCAAGAGGAGGTCGGTACGATACCGCGTTACAGGCTGCTGCGTGTGCGGCTAATATGCCTCTACACTATTCCAGAGGCGGAGATCCTAAATGGACAGATATAACAAAGATGCTTCTCGATAACGGCGCCGATGTCAACGCGCAAGGCGGGGAATACGGTACCGCGTTACAGGCTGCTGCGTCTTATCCATACTACAACTACCCTATCGGAGACGGAGGTACTGAAATGAGAATTATCGCACAAATGCTTCTGGATCATGGCGCCGATGTTAACGCGCAAGGCGGTAAATACGGTACCGCCTTGCAAGCGGCTATATCAACAGGCCAAAAGGATATAGAAATCCTTCTTCGCGCGTATGGCGCTACTGTGCAGCAGTCTCCGCAGGGGAGAACTGTTTGGGAGGAGGTCTGAGGACGTACGAGGTGTTCGAGAGCCAGTTTCTATCCCTTGCACAAGTCTGGAAGAGAGAAAGGAGGAAGGGGAAGTGTACAATCCGATGTATTTTGGTCTTTATAATTGTGTTTGCAGGTTTCTTAAGGTTTCCGATGAAGTTTGGGCTACCAATGATCCAATGTGGAAGCAATGGGTTACTTTAGGGGCGGAAGAAGACACGGCCGAATTCGCATTACTGAAGAGGAGACCTTTGGGATGGATGTTTTGGGGTTCCTTTGCTGGAGGAAAAAAAGGGCCGACCTTCATTTGGGAAAAGGAATTTGGAGGAGTCACTTCCCACAAGTACATCTTCTTTATTCTCCCAATGGTTGCCTCTTTTTGCAGAGAGGAGCAGCTTTCCGCTTTTCAGCAAGACAATGCTCCATCTCACTGTCATGATACCTACATAGCAAGGACTTGAGAAAGACGTATTATTGCACGAAGGGAAGAAGATCAGAAGAGAGCAGCGAAAACTCTGCTCTCGGCCTATGTACAAAGTGTGCCAGTGGGTCGCTACTGAGTCAATGGAGAAGTGCTTGCTTGGCGCTTGGACCGATGCCATGGCAAGTTGTGAAAGTTCGTGCACCTCGATGCCATGACAAGTTGTGAAGGCTTCGCCGGAGTGTCGCCCACACTGCTGTGCAGTGCATCTGAGGTGATGACCTTCCTACTGTATCCAACGGGCAGCAACCGTCAATACCATCGGGTTAATGCAACGGTGATACTAAAAGGCGGGTTTGCAGGGCTCGTAAAAGGCAGATTGTGCAGGCTGGGCGCTCGGAGCCGGCCGGTGTGGGGCCGGTGCGGGGCCGGGGGGAGGGCCGGGGATCATTTCAAATGCCGGGTAGAACCGTAGCCGTAGTCGGACAATCGCCACCTACAAGCAACCAGGTGAAGCCGAGAATCCGAGTGGTCGGCCGAAGTCGGGAATACTATAGTATTGCTGACTCTGCCGGTATGCCAAGTGCAGTTGCTTTCCGGAGATGCCATGCCAGGCCGTAGCTCCCAGCTCTCAGCGTTTTTGGGCCTCATCCACAGCTCGGGTACTTCCGGAGCACTGGGGTTATGTCTAGACGGGCATATACCAGCGAAGGAAATGTGAAACAGGCTCTGAACATTCCGAAGCAGCCCGGCCCCTCGGTGGCGATAGGTATTCACTCTATGGCCACGACCCACTGAGTATGTGTCATGATTGTTGAGCGCGGCAACACAGGCATACTTCCCTAAGCGAGGGATAGAATTGCGCGAGGTATCAGACCACCACGACGTCATCTACCGGTAGAGCCGATGGATGATATCTAACTCGTGTTCTTTATTTGCAGCCGTGTATCGAATGAGGGCAGCACCAGGTATATAAGGCGGCGCATTTCCGCAAGAGGTTCAATCATCATCGGTCACACACCCTCAGGTCTTCACTCACTAACATCCATCTCGCCAATACAACTCCTCCGTCAATCCTCCAACATGGTCCTTACCAAGTACAAGGCCGCAGCGGTATGTCAAAGAAAGAATGCCTCAGTCGACTATCTATCTGACGCCAAAATAGGTCACCTCTGAGCCGTGCTGGTTCGATCTCGAGGGAGGCGTTCGAAAGACGATCGACTTCATTAACGAAGCGGGTCAGGCCGGCTGTAAGCTCGTTGCCTTTCCCGAAGTATGGATCCCGGGCTATCCATACTGGATGTGGAAGGTCAACTACCAGCAGTCGTTGCCTATGCTGAAGAAATACCGCGAGAATTCGATGGCCGTCGACTCGGACGAGTTTCGGCGCATTAGAAGGGCTGCTAGGGACAACCAAATGTATGTATCCGGTCACCGGCCCCAACCTCGATGATGATCCGTCATGAAGCTCACACAACACTTTCACCTGGGCAGTTATGTGTCGGTCGGCTTCTCGGAAATCGACCACGCCACACTTTACCTGTCGCAAGCTCTCATCGATCCCACTGGCGAGGTCATCAACCTCCGTCGCAAGATCAAGCCCACCCATGTCGAGAAGCTCGTCTACGGAGACGGCGCGGGCGACACGTTCCTCTCGGTCACGCCGACCGAGCTGGGCCGGCTCGGTCAGCTCAACTGCTGGGAGAACATGAACCCGTTCCTCAAGGCGCTCAACGTCTCGATGGGCGAGCAGATCCACATCGCCGCGTGGCCTGTCTATCCCGGCAAGGAAACGCTACAGTACCCCGACCCGGCGACCAACGTGGCCGACCCGGCGTCCGATCTCGTGACGCCTGCCTATGCGATCGAGACGGGGACGTGGACGCTGGCACCCTTCCAGCGGCTGAGCAAAGAGGGCCTGAAGAAAAACACGCCCGAGGGTGTCGAGCCCGAGACGGACCCGTCGACGTATAACGGCCATGCGCGCATCTACAAGCCGGACGGGACTCTTGTCGTCAAGCCGGACAAGGACTTTGACGGATTGTTGTTTGTCGATGTACGTTTGTGGCACACTTTATTCTATTGGGATGTTTGCCTATCTGAAGCAAAGAAACACTAACAAGAGGATGCTTCCCAATTCACTACAGATTGACCTCAACGAATGCCACTTGACGAAAGTGCTGGCCGACTTTGCTGGACACTATATGCGGCCGGATCTGATTCGTCTTCTAGTTGACACCCGCCGTAAGGAGCTTGTCACCGAGGCAGACCCCAATGGAGGCATTGCGGAATACTCGACGCGGGAGCGCTTGGGGTTGAACACGCCGCTCGAAAACGACAAGGACGGGAAGAAGCGAGGACTATCGGGCGTCGCGGGACTTAAGCACGGCTTGGATCAGGCCTGAAGAAAAGACTGTGCTCGGGTCGCTCATCTTTGAATATTTGGCTAGACTTGTTCTCTAATCTCCTCTCCATTTTTCTATATTATATAATGTGGCACGTGGTACTCACATGCCCTACTGCAGACCGCTCTCTTAGTGCCGCCTACACTTTTGCCAGCCAGTTTCGGTCCTCAGAACCTCCACTAATTCGATAGAGGGATATATGTACGGAGAAAACTATTTACTAAAGCTAACTATACCTTCTAAAAGCTAACCACACTTCCCAAAAGCCAACTACACTTTCTAGTTAGATGTACTAAATATATAGAGTAGAGTAGGTATTAGGGGTAAATAGCAAGGGTAAGTACCTTGTGTAGTGTATGCCTAGCCCACTCAGCTGGGCTGGCGTAAGGAACGGTACACTCGATGGCGAAGGCAATGAAAACGGTTCTAGAAACGGCGGCGGGGTTTTTGGCTGAATCATCCAAACCCCTGTCAAAAACTACTCCCATAGATAATCTTCCGATATGTCGGCTTGTCTATGGGAGCGGGAAGGGCAGGAAACGGGTCTTTTAATCACGTGGTAGGGTCAAAAAACTGAACCACCAGCTCCCATATCCATATCGTTCGGACGGAGGCAAGACGGTAAGTGGGGAGGCGGCGCGAAAAAGATGAATATAATTGGGCGGATTACGAGAAAAGTTGACCGTCCTGACACTGCCGCTAGATCTTTTACACGGGTAACAACAAGATTGCACTCGGTCAGAAGACCATTCTTGATTGGTTCCTAGTACTCCTCGGCTCAGTTATGTGTATGCAGTTAGTCGCCGAGTTTGATAAGAGCGTGGTAAGGGAATCTCTCGCTCTTGTCTTGTTGGACGCTTAGGAGTTTGCTGATTTTACTGTCCTATTTAATTCTAAAAGGAAGAGATCTACATGCAACAGCATGTGCTTCAAAACGGTTGTTGACAGCATGCAGGTTCCACTCAGATTTGCAGCCCTACCCGCGTTACGCGTCCATAAATGGTGCAAGCTACCAGGCCGCTGCTGGTACACTATTGCCAACCCTGTAGACGCCCTGAAGCCTCCGGGTCTATGAATGCCCAGCCTCAAAAAAGAAATGTCGTTTGGGTAATTGGCGTGTAATTGGGAGGAAGCTGCCAGCTATCTCGCGCCTAACAAAGTGACAACACAGAGCCCTATGCTCCTTCATAACCTCGAGGAAACACAGTGTTCTAGTTTCTTTTCGTTGTTTTGTCCTAGATGGCAGGAGAGAGGAATTCCCGGCACTTTTATAAACCCAAAAGGGCACACGGAACCAAGCCGCCAGGCGGTCTGAGTACGAAGTGCGGTTTCGTTATCTCAGTAGCTCAGACCCTCTGGCTTCATTCAGTGCCGGTACTTTGATGTAGCTTTCTTTTTCGGACCTACTACGTGGAAGTTTTGGGCCAATCAAAGAGCACCTCCACCTCACTCGCCAAAATGGCAACAACATGCAGTAGGGTCCATGAAAGCGCAGTTAGACCTGCCTATTGTAGTTGTCCGAGTGCTGTGACGCATATTGACAAGGGATCTCGCTTTGAGAGTTTAGGTAACAATATGGGTAGCTCTATGAAAGCGCAGTTAGACCTGCCTATTGTAGTTGTCCGAGTGCTGTGACGCATATTGACAAGGGATCTCGCTTTGAGAGTTTAGGTAACAATATGGGTAGCTCTATGAAAGCGCAGTTAGACCTGCCTATTGTAGTTGTCCGAGTGCTGTGACGCATATTGACAAGGGATCTCGCTTTGAGAGTTTAGGTAACAATATGGGTAGCTCTATGAAAGCGCAGTTAGACCTGCCTATTGTAGTTGTCCGAGTGCTGTGACGCATATTGACAAGGGATCTCGCTTTGAGAGTTTAGGTAACAATATGGGTAGCTCTATGAAAGCGCAGTTAGACCTGCCTATTGTGGTTGTCCGAGTGCTGTGACGCATATTGACAAGGGATGTCGCTTTGAGAGTTTAGGTAACAATATGGGTAGCTCTATGAAAGCGCAGTTAGACCTGCCTATTGTGGTTGTCCGAGTGCTGTGATGCTGCTTTGCCTGGCGGTCATAATAGATAAGGATCCTGGAATTGACCGACTCCAGGGCGCTTCAATGTGACGGACTAGGTATATAAGATACATAACTTCCCAAGCTTCGGAGTCAATCGGAACCTGTTCATCACCTCCCCCAAAACCAACATACCAACCGGACACTATACGACATACCTACCACGACCCCTTCGTTCTACACCATTGTACCTACCTACAATACCTCTATCATGTGGTCGTCCGTTGCAAACAAGGCTATCATCGCCTTTGGTACGGCTATTATGACCGCCACGCACGTTACGGCCGTGAACGGAGACTGTCAGGGTCAGGGGCAAGGAAATTGCCAGCTCCAGCTCACTGCCACTGCAGAGTGTGAGTAGATAGGCAGATAATTAACCACCCGCCGGGCTGCATCAGGCCATAGGTCAAAGTTAGAAGACTAATAGGTGCTATACTAGACGATTGGGTGTATTGGCAACACGCAACCATTTATGACTATAAGTGCGATGTCATCGGCGGCAAAGATGTCATAACTACCGGCACGGTTATTTACTCGCAACTGCCTTACGTAGTCATCATAGACTCCGTAGTCAACGTCCTTGGCGATATCAGCGTAATCAAGTTCAGATATGCCGACTACACGTGGACGGGGCAGTTTCTTTGCTCGGCGGGGAAGGACAGTATGCATCGGGACACGTATCGCTGTATTCATGCTTTCCCTTGTAATCAAAAATAAGGCAGTGCGGGTGAGGGGGAGACTTGGTGCTAGTCAGTGGTGACGGACGGAAGGAGGCTTGCTGTTGGGGCCGAGGTGTATGTTCCCGGTGTTGGTCTTGGTGCGGGGGGCGGGAAGCTGAGCGATGCGGCTGAGGCGGCGAGGCAGACCAGGAGCGACCAGGGTGGACCGGGATGGGTTTGTTGAGATAGAAGACTACATAAGGAGAAGGCTATGTCACAGGAGAATGTAGCCAACTTCCCAGTATATCACAAAGTGACTCTGCCGCAGTCTCCCTGCAGATATCCTTATCTTGGCTTCCATCAACACCTCCCTCGCAATCACCAGTAGACTTGAAGATAGCCAGCCACTTAAATTTCATAACAACTCCTCTAGAGACCGAGTGAGATTTTGGCCCCAGAGCGGTGGTTGGCTCGTCGAACGCCGCCCACTCTTGGCAGGCATCTCCCTGTTTCGCAGTCCTGACCAGCTCCCTCGTATGCAGCTCTCAGCCAATCGACAAGAACTGCCCCACATCCTTGTGCCTAAATGGGACGGTCTAATCTGCCCACTCATAGCCGCTGAAACGGCTGAGTGACTGAAGTAAGCGCTGCTGCCTAGTCGTTTGTGGTGCCGCCTGTTGAGAATGAGGGGGGGTCGATTTCAGTATCCTCCTCCAACTCTGAGCGGTCCGAAAGGTGCCGAACAAGATCTTTCCACAACGCCCTATTATTCCATCCTTCACGGGGCTTCCACCCCGGGAACCGGATCTCCAGAATCCGGCCAAGCGTCAACTCCTCCCTTCCCCACGTATACTTCTCATCCAGCCTAATGTTCGCCCAACCGCAAGACTGAATGAGCGCACGAATCGTCTGCGGGCGAATGAGCGTACGACTGTGAATGCCCTTCTTCAGAGCTTCGGTGGTCAACTGCTCCACCCATAAGCAGTATACAAGAGGAATGTGGCCTTCTCCGTTTCGGATATCAAGTCGAGCGCCTAGGTCGACCAGCAGCTGGATCAGATGTTCTGCCATTGGCCAGTTGCTACCAACCAGGTACTCTAAGGGCGTGACTTGTTCTTTCTCTTCCTCCTCTTCGCTGTCCTCCTCTTCTTCTTCTTCTTTATTGGTGGATCTGTCGAAAAGGAGAGCGTTAAGGTCCAGGCCATAGTCTTGGACTAGCATGCGGATGATCTGCTTGACTTGTTTGATATGGTGCTCCTCCAAACGTGCTTTGAATGCAACTGCCTTAGTTCGCCGAGTCTGATGAGAGCGTGGCAAGGGAATCTCTCGCTCTTGTTGGATCATGGTTTGGTGATCCACTATAACAAACTGATCACGATGGACCTCCTTCATGTACCTGCCTTAACCTACCTTCTTCATCTGCCTGCATTAGCCTACCTCTTCCCTTCCATCCTGGCATGTCATAATCATGGTGGTTGGCTTGCAACACACTATTGGCGCAGCCGCCAACACCTTATACACGAGTCAATTGGCTGAGAGGGATGCATACAGGGCTGCGAAACAAGGTGACGGCGGCGTTGAGAGTGACAAGGCAACCGCAGCTCTAGGATCAGAAGCCGGCAGCCTCCAACACCACTCACAATATGCACGTGCCCTATTTATAAGCCCGACTTTATACTTGTCTGCCTTGACTTAAGTGCATGCCTGAGGAACTAGGCAGATCAAGCCTGTCGTCTGTTATATTCTAGCAATGTCAAGTAACGCTAATACTGCACGCGAAGCCCAGAGGCCACCACGCGTATCACAACTACTTCAAGCATGGCTTCAAGTCAAGCACCTCGCCGTCGCTACCGCCATATGCTGGGGGTTGAGTGGACGGACGGTATGGTGGGATGGCTTTAAGCCTGCAGCACCCCCGCCCCCCTGGCATACTTGCATGGGGCTTGGCTCGAAGCGAGGCTTGAAGCCTTGATATCAAAACAAACGCTACCCGAAGTGAACCCTCTGGTTGCCTTTTTGGCATGTCCTCCATTGCAGCATCAAAGCTGCATTTGATCCTTGAAAGACGAAACGTTGATGTGGCACGCTGACATCAGGCTTGATGCCAGGTACGGCGCTACGAAGATCCCTCCACCTTTCCACCGCTAGAGGGTGTGCAATCCATTAGGCGTCATTCCCCTATCTTTATCTCTTTTCCATTGTCACTGGCGTCCTTCTGGACCATCGTTCCCAGTGTAATAGCAACCAGTCAGGGTAAACAATTACACTAGACCAGACCAGGAGATGGTGACTGAATGAGAGCCTCAAGGGAACGGGGATTTCCCAAAAAGACTCTTCTGGCGTCACGCCGGCCACATTCCGCAGTACTGGCCTATACCAAACAGCTCTGGTAACACATGTCAGGGTCCCCATATTGTAGGTTGCCGTGCTATTTCCATGATGTGTGCTAAGTATCTTGGCGTAACAAAGGCTGACGGACAACTTTCTTCTCCTGCCTTCAACCCCCTGTCTTCCTATGAATATCCTCTTCCTTCCTCTTCCTTCCTCTACCTCTGTCTACCTTCCTCTTCCTCGCTTTTCCTTCCTCTAACTTGCTCTTCCTTTCTCTATCTTCCCTCATCGACAACGACGAAGGGCGATGACGTGGATATTCTCCCCCTAGTTTTTAGACAGTCTCCTAGTTCTTGGACGACTTGTCACTGGGAATACCCACGGGCAATTACCACTTTAGACTTGGAGGACGTAGCCAACAAGCCGCTGCTCCTGTCCTTATTTCCACCTGTTGTGGTATCGGCAGTGGTAGTAGGATAGCTTCCCTGTTCTTTTGACGAGAGCCGTCAACGGTTTCCCTGGGAGTTAGGACTTACTTGCAATTCCTCCTTTGAGCCACTGCCCTCGCCGTGAGCATGACGAAACGCCAGAAAGCCGAAAACGCATTTTGATGTTCGAGACGGAGAAGCTGACCTCGAAAGAACAAAAATCAAACTGAGGTCTCTGGTTTAGTTCGATCCAACGTGTCCAGGTATGTAGGGTACACAAACTCTGCTAGCCCACCATCTTAACCCCAGACTCTTGGGTGACATCGACCGCGACTCCTCCAGCTCCAGAACCCGTGGCATCTGCATCACACTTTTGCTGACTGCACAAGGTCACTTGCGTTGCCCTTGCCCTGCTGACCAACGGCGACGAGAGCGACCAGCCAGTCGCCCAAATTCCCTCTGTCAAATTTGTTCGTTCTCCCGTCCCCTTTCCGACAGCTTTATACGCACCAATCAGATGCCATTCGGTATTACCAGAAGAGACACTCCCGATACCGAACTCTTTTCAATCTCGACTCTAGCCTGTCATCCTTGTGGTCCTAACCATTCAGCTTGCGAACTAGCCCCCCAGCTGTTAGCAGTAGCTGACCCTTGGCTGCACCACCTATCCCCGACGCCGCCCTCATCTCGACTCTCGATCTCCTCTTCGAGCCTTCTCCCGAACTCCACGCCCTCGCCCTTCCCACCCTCCGAACCATCTCCTTCTCCTCCTACCCCGACCTAATCTCCACCATCCGTGACGAGCTCCTCGCCATCGCCAACGCCGTCGCCGTCTCCGCCGCCGACCCTTCGGTCCCCGAAACCGAAAAGGAAAACATCAAGCGTCCGCTACACGCGATACTAGGCAGCCATCCCAGGCTGGGCGAGCCCAAGAAGGAGACGCTGTTTGCGCAAAGTAAGAAGGAGCAGGCGCATTTGAATGCTGCTGGGGATTCAAAGGAGGTGAAGGAGGAGCTGAGGAAGTTGAATAAGCAGTATGAGGAGGTGTTTCCGGGGCTGAGGTATGGGGTTTGGGTTAATGGACGGCCGAGGAGGGAGATTATGGCATATGAAGAGGAGGATTGAGAGGGGGGATTTCCTTCCTCTTCCTTCCTCTACCTCTGTCTACCTTCCTGTTTCTCACTTTTCCTTCCTCTAACTTGCTCTTCCTTTCTCTATCTGCCGCCGTCACCCTGTTTCGCAGCCCTGGCATGCAGCTCTCTCAGCCAATCGACTCGTCTACAAAGGCGTTGGCGGCTGCGCCGGCAGTGTGTTGCAAGCCAACCACCATGGTTATGACATGCCAGGATGGAAGGGAAGGCAGGTAGATGAAGGAGGTAAGTCAAGGCAGACATCGACAGTACCTACCTGCCCAGTTACCCTCCACTCCTACTTCCGCTTACAAGCGATGATGAACACCAATAGTAGGGCGAGGGATGGACATCAAAACCTCTGGCCAACGATGGATCTCTTGCGGCTCCCTCCTCAGCCCTGCAATTGTTTCTTTACCATGCCCACCATGCCCATCCAGGCTGCATTAGGTGGTGGCTTTGGTCTGCCCTGGGAATGGGATCCCGCCCGTTCCGCTCTTCCGGGGTAAAAGAAAGGTGGAGAGCCAGTAGAGCATGTCACTGGCACTTCACTGGGTAGAATTAACAACATGATGTCCGTGTGGATCGGAGCACATGAAAGATGTCGAGGCAACTTGGCAATCTTGGGTTGCGTCAGTTGTCTTTTCGACGCAGTTATCAATGCACGCCATCCCGCTGAAGAACACCTCTCAGTTGTCTATTCATCCTATCATCACATCGACATTCAGTGTCCATACAAACCAAACACCACACCACCATAGCTTATGGATCTGTCACACCAAGAGGAACAAGGAGGAAGCTCCAGCCCCGAGGCACGAATAGTCCGCCTAAAGACTGAACCAGGATTCTTTGGACCGATAGACAAGTTTTATGATCGAAAAAGCCAGATCGAGACTCGTAGCAATCGAGTTCACCATCTTTTACAACGTAGACGGCGACTTGTACTCCAAACATCCAATAAAGTTGGTGGAATTTTTTTTTGGATTCCTTTTGTTCGACATGCCCACTTTTTAACTTGGTGTTTTGAAGGCATATTAAAGATAAAAGAATAAATGAAATTATATATGCAAATTGGGATTTTAAAAAGAATACTCTTTATATAGGATATGCTTAACATTATATATTCGTCCGCTCTGCCCAATCTCGCTACTAACCCCACACCCTTCTTTTAAGCGGTGCTAACCGCGCGCTTCAAGATACTAAAATTAGGTTTCTAAATATAGTTAAGTACGATATATAGGGTCCTTTAATGTTCCTGGCCAATGGGATATTTCCTTAAATGAAATATCTTTCTTTATAGATTGGCGGCTTAATGATAGCATGCGAATATCTTCTCGAAATGATTTTGTCCCAGCAACTACAGATAATTAGTATAAACTTTTAAACTCTAGAATGATTATAACAAACCAGCGATAACAATTCTCCCTGGTTTACATTTTACTTTATCAATACGTTTTATAAAATATTCTAATGTAGTGCTTTTATAGCTATACCAGTTCTGAACGTTAGGTAGTTGCGGAACTGGAGTAAAAGAGTTTTCTTCGTCAGGATAAATAACGAACATCCTCAATAATGTAACAACTGGTAAGGCATTCTGTTAGTAAGCTGTAAAGCTAAGTAGCTGCTGTGCTAGTTGATCTAAGTAAGAAGCAGCACAATGATACTGGAGGTTGTCATCTAACTGCCAATACAAGTCGATGTTTCGTGTAACGTCGTTAAACGCTTCAAGATTATGGTTTGAAAAATGTTTCCGGGATACTAAAGAAAGGGCAAATGGAATGATTGCCGCAATGCCAATACCCTGAGCTGCTAGAATGATATTTTCAAAGGAGCCTAAGGAAAGGGTACCGCCATATGGACCTCCTAATCGAATCTTATAGTTTGGCGGGAGAGTATCTATTTTTCGATTGATTAAGATATCCACGTACCGTGACCTACATGGCTCGTCTCCCGACCACCATGTTATAGGAACGCAGGCGCTGCTATATTGGCCAGGAAGATTAATATAAATATATGATCCTGGCAGGGTTGTAATGCTTGACTTTGTATCAATAGTAAGCCGAGTAACTTTTGTATACTCCATTTCAGTAGATTTGCTAATAGTAACTTGCCATCTTGTATTTATACCATTTGAGTATCCTTAGGACCAGTGATATAACCCATATAATAGCAGTACCAATAATGATAAACCAAGAAAAGGAAAAGGAAGTAGAAGTAGTCCATACATGCCATCCAAGACACGATAATGTTAATAAAGCGGCCAGGGTATGAAAGTATAAGACGAAGGTGTAGGAGGGAGATATATGAAATAAACGTTTTAAAAAAACCCTGAATAACGAAGGTTAAGTATATTATAATAAACAGTGACATAAGAATAATACCCGACAACTGCGCAGGAACGAAACTTCCAAATTCTAATCGAAGTGCAATATGGATAAAGGCTTCAATAAGAACGATAATGCTAACCCAAAGATGTATTATATAATATTGTCTAAGGGTAATACCTACATAGTCGATAATAATATTAGTTCTACCTCCGAGAAATAAAAGACTAAGGTTAATAATGCTGAAATATTTCAAGGAAGGAAGGGCATTATAATATATTGCAATAACATTGGCAATAGTATAAAGTAGTAGGAGTAAGAATTCGGGTAAAAACGCAACTTAAAAATGTAATACGAAGTTGTATAGTGTGATTCATTAGGTATTTAAATACGTGAATGATATTACGACAAAGATATAATAAACTCTAAGCAAATAGAACGCTCCAAAGAAAAATCATGTAATAAATGTAGATTTCCATTTTTAATATAATGTAGTAAGAATGAAAGAGTGAAGTTTAACACTATTGATACATATTAGCGAAAGAAAGAAATAAAACGTAGGAATTTGAAATTTGAAGTTCGGAAATAATAGTTAATCATTCCTATTCGAAATCTATATTCCGAATAGTAAAACAAGCTTCAAGTTTATAAGCCAGCCCTACCATCTTAATTTTACTATTATAACTATAACTAATTACAATAATGGAGCAAGAGCAAAGCGAATTTCTATTAGAGCGCTGCCAAATCCAACTTAAATACTTATATTTCGAACACGATTATTGTCGGCCTCCTATACCGGAAGCAGTAAAACAACTACAACTAGTATCTGAAGACCCCACTCAATTTAACCCTGCTCTTGACAATCACCAGCTACCTATATTAGCTTCGGTATCTGAAGTTCAACAAATACTTCACACCTCTGGAATATCGTATTCGTTATTTATTGCCCAACAATCATCGCCGTTTATAAAAATAAACCCTAATACCAAGCTTAAATGTATCCATGGTAGGCAAAGGTACGAAGCTGCAATAGCAAGCAGAAGCCTCAGTCCTGATACTTGGTGGACTGTTAAGCTTTATTGTGTACCTGATGGATTAAATTTACGAAATATATTGCGGAATGAAATCGAGCACAATCATAACCAAACACAATATAGTGATGGGGAAATCTTATGCGCCGTTTTCTACTGGGAGGACCAAGGAGATTCACGACGTATGGACTTTTGGATCTTGAAGTTGTCCGTTGGAAAGCAAAAACGAATTCGTATTCTATTAAAATGGACACCGGTTAAAGAACGTTTAAAAAAGCTTACGAGATTTCCTGGTATGCTAAATGATTTCGAGCTCGGAAATATTGAACGATATAAATCTATTCGAGCCTTACCGCAGATAATAAATTATCTAGATCATATATATACAACCTGGACTAGTATTACGCTTGAAAATGTTCAAGTACAACAAGCGGTCGATATACGCACTATCTAACTACTTCAAATGCGAGTTCCATATTTAACCACCGTAGATAAAACGTTCGTTGAAAATCAACTTCAGTGTAACCAATTATTCCTAAAAATAGAAGACCAACAGTTGCGTTTCTATATTAAAGAGCGGTTAAGCTCAACTAACGTACTAATTCCAAGTATTAAAAATTTTCACGAAATTATGAAGTATTTAGCTATTATAAATCATATAATAAAGACGCAATTGACTATTACTCTAAAACGGGACGAATCATTATTAGAAGCCCTTGAAACTAGTTGGAAACGTCCTGAAAGTAGTCTTATTGAATTTGCAGATAGCCAATTTTATACCTCAAACCTCATACCCACCTTTGAATCTTCATATTTAATTTTATTTATTTCAGTCTTGCGGAACTTTTCACGACTTTGTAATGGCGATTATATGGGCCCCCGTTATAAAGTAGGCACAAGTTATATACCGGCGGTCGAGGATCCTATAACAGTACGTCGTTTCCAATACTTAGCGCGGCAACTAGGCTTCCAAATTAGCCCAAAAACTTCCTATCTGGCTGAAAAACGAAAGGATGTTCTGTCAGAAGGTTCGATAATAGAGCCTGAAGAAGAATCAATAATTGGACGATGGAATCGTCCATTTATTAATTCGGCAAACTATTGTAGTGCTCATCTTTTTATAACAAATCTAAGCAACACTTATCCTAAGTTATACCCAGGGACGTTATTTGTTCATTATAACCTTCTAACGTCCTTCTTAAAGTTACCCGAATCGTATATAGAAAATTTTGTAAGATCAATAACTATACCAAGTGTAATTTCTGAATACCAAGACGACGAGGAATTACACAACGAAAATATCAATTCAAATGAAGATATTGTATTACCAGATACACAACTTTCTACGGACTATAATACGCAGAATGATTACGCATTGAATGGAAATACTATTACAAATATAATGCCAAAGCGATACGGATGGATGCCACGTGATTTAACCAAATCTAATACAAAATTTCGCTTTAATCCAACAACCTCGACTCAATCAACCCCTGCCTTGACTTCTAGCCCAACATCCTTTAGTGAAGTTTCTTTAAGTACAATATTACACTCGCCTATTGTATCTCCAAGTTATTCTAATCGCCTAGAAGTAATTTTAAATATTTTACAAATAGACCGTTTGCGAATTCTTTTAACTTTGATACACCGTGCTCACTATCCCCAAACCTTAATATTTAATTATTAACTAATTAAACGAGGTTCGTAAGGAGAATGCCTCTTAGGTAATAAAATATATTCAAGCCTAATAGCCCGAGAGGTGGGTACCTATAGTTAGCGTAAATAGGAGAAGTAATATTATAAGGTAGAATAAATCATCGCTTAGAAGAGGACAGGGCAGGGCGGAGCTAACCACTACGGGATCGCTGGATATAGAGTACCGGTAATAGGTTAATATTATTATTTATTAGGCGGTAAGTAAAGTAATATTATAGTACGAAATATATAGGCCGGCTTTATAGCTGGGGAAGTAGCTACGGTTTTATTCGATAGAAATATATACAATTTTCTGCTAGATAATAAGTGAAGGACTTTATACTTATTTAGTCGCTATATATTACTCCTTTTAATATTTAATACTACTATTACGATTCCCGATTGTAACCCTTAATATAATCTTCCCTTAGGGGGAGCCTTTATCGCCGGGAAGACGGTAAAGCGCCCAAAAATCTATATCTTTAATAAGCTATCGTTCCTAAAACTTTATTATAAAACGTAATTATTTTAGGAATTCGGTTATTTTGGGGACTTAACTATTTTAGGGACTTCATTACTCTCAATAACCTCCAATACTTTATTATTCCCAATATCTTCCAATTACTCCTAATACTCTCGATATCTCCTATTACTACCGAGTCTCCCAAATACTCCCATTGCTTCCAATATCTCCTATTGCTCTCAAACTTTATCATTTTAGAAATCAACTTAGTCTTATCACTTCCAATCCGTCTTATTGCTTTCTTAGAGCAACGGTCCATTGCATTTGGACAACGACCAAAACCATTAAGAAGCCCCGTTGCTGAACGTCAATTTGACTGCACGGAGTGAACAGAGAGTGCCAAACTAACTGCACCTAGTTGCACGACGCTAGATTTAATGGTTAAGGAGCAATTCAAATTAACGTTGAAAGCGGAGATTGGAATGTACGGGAGACCGCTATATATTTATTTTAACGGGTTGACGAACCCTAACCCTAGTTCCGGCTGAGCCAGAACTATTTGCTATATTTAGAGATACAGCTCCTTATAAATTAGAGGACTCATATAACCCGAAGTGCGAATCGCCGGCAGGGGTCGCTGCAAGAAGAGGCGGATCAGCCATTGCAAGGTGCGGGGCTCGATCGCATCAGGGCCAAGGTCCAGGAATGCGATTTCCAACAATCCAGACAAAGTGGGCTGTCAGTTTCGAAGATTGTGGGTAGGATCGAGTGCAGTGTAAAAGTCGACAAATCCAATTGCGAAGGCGCTGGGAAAAACAGAGGCCATCAAGGTTCCCATGGCGGGGTAAATTTGTGTGGACAAACGCGACGCGTTCCCCGCACGTGCCACCCTACCGAGATATGGGCTGCCTAGGTGATTAAGCCCAGTTCAGCTGACCAACCGACCCAGATTCCTCCGCGCACAGGCAGTGGGCCAAGATCTTCCCTTCTCCTTCATCACTCCTCTAATGAATATGTCTTGAAAACACACCAAAAGATTCTTGCTCACTGGGTCGATCACAGGCCAAACCCTCATAAATTCATCACCGTGATGCCAGGCACAGACCCAGCAGTCCAGCACGATCCATGTGCATGCAGAAAACCACCGTGACATCCCGAAGATCATGAAGCACAGCAACCGCAAGTGAAGCTCAATCCCTCAATCCTCGCCGCCACGCGCTCAGTCTTATCAGTGCCTGGTAGCGATGAGCGGTGACAATGGACGCCCTACGAGCTATGGAGGAGCCAAGGAAAGGAGTTGTGACAGTTTTGGGCATGGTCTGGGCTGAGTAGTGAAATGCCAATTTCTACCCGCCCCGGCCTAACCCCTTCTGTCTATTCTCCCTAAATCCCCTCATCCACTGGCAACTCACAAAGGGGTGGGCCTTTGCTGACTTTGTCCGACCTTCACGAGAAAATCACACCTCCATTGATATCTGACTGAAATCCTCAACTATGCAAGGCCGCACTCTTGCGTCCACAAGTTTGCATCCATGGACGTCCAACAGATGAGTAGTAAGCCATATGGCGAAGGAGAAACGCTTGCCCCTCAAGTTGTTTTGGCTGCTTGGCTTGTTCCTGTCTTCCCCGCCATATTCGTCTGCGCTAGATTCTACACGACCCGTCGCATCCTGAAATCCAAGCCAAAGGAAGATTGTAAGCAGAAAGAACCTGCCTCCTGGGCCAGGAATCCTGATCCTAGGGAAATGCTGCAGCCATCTCGCTAACCTTGGGTATTCCACAGGGTTCATTCTCGTTGCATTGGTACGACACTGGCCATGAGCATACCCGTAAAGAGTACAGGCTAAACTAATGTTTCCCACAGATATCCTCCATTCTCTTCTCGGTATCTGTGACAATACGTATGTGTCCTTGTCTCTCTTGTGCACCACGAATGTTAAACTTTGAGAAGAGAGGCTAATCTCAGGGGTGTTCACCTAGAAGCACAATATGGGCTTGGTAGGCATATGGGTGACGTTCCAGACCCCAAACATACCTACACCAAGTATCTTCTCGTATGTCATCCTAATATCCCATCTCCGCCTCTTCGCAGGACACAATGAAACAGTCCCCCGTAGCTGACCACGTCCTTCAGGTTAGCGCTTTTGGAGTCACTAGCACGTATCCAATTGCCAACTTCTTCACCAAGCTCTCAATCCTCTCTTTCTACCTACGCTTTACAACAAGCCGTTGCTTCACTTATGCCGTCTATTCCACCATTGCTCTCGTCTTTGTCTTCAACTTCGTCGGAGCAACAGGCGTCCTTTACTGGTGCAAACCGATCAAGGTCTTTTGGACCCATTGGAACAAAGATCAATGTTTGGACAACAATATATGGTATGCATCGCTACTGGGAATCAACGTTGTGGTCGACATCATTATCTTGTTGATGCCCATATGTATCATCAGGCCCTTGAGAGTTGAGTTCGCTCAAAAGGTTGCCATCGGTGCCATTCTGGGGACAGGCGGCTTGTAAGTTGTCACAACTCGCACATTCGGACAAAGCGCTTGCTAACATGAAGGCATTGCAGCGTGCTGGGAGTCAGTCTTTTCCGTTGGATCTGTGAAGACCTCGTCATAGAAGACAAGGACTATACTTGGCGCTTGGCAATCCACTATATCTGGGGGCGAGTAGCCCTTCCAAAACCTGTGGTGGACATCAGGTTAAGCTAACCATGGTCTTTTCAACAGCAACACGGAACTGAACGTCGCCATCATATGCGCTTGCATGCCCTGTCTAAAGCCGTTGCTCGTACGCCTCTTTCCTCGGGCTCGCTGGCTGAGGGCAGTTCCTCAGCCAAGAGACCTGGACACTATATCATTGTCCGCTCTGACGGATCGAGACACTTCAACCGATATAGCTCAAAGGCGGATCGACTGGGCAGCGTTGCGGGCGAGCCACGGTGTGAAGACTGACACAGAAGTAGCGTCAACGGATCTGACATCCACCGAAGAGCGAGATTACGGTGTAGTTGACCCAGAAAGAGGAAGGACAGAGGACCAGAGATCAGGACAAGCACCAGGCAACAGCTCCGGTAACAACGTCTAGAAGCACAAGCTAGACCACGCTCGGGAATCCCTGACACTATTCAACACCAATCATACATCGAACTGCCGAATAGTTGACCCTATTACTAAAGTTTCCTGACCTAAGTGGATCCGCTAAGACCGACCCCACACTGTAAAAAATCTTTCAGTTCACCCTCACCCCTTTAACAACTCACGTCGCACACAATACATGCTTCCAAAGTTCCCCCGCGGAGAAAGATCCCCGATCGCTCGCAGAAGTTCCCCCGTGGAGGAACAATGTGAAATAACCTCATTCGCACGCCTAAAGTTCCCCCGTGGGGAAATAATCTACTTGTACGAATACTTCGAGGACGATATTAGTCTGAATATTTGGTGATTTATCCTTGATTTATCTTTGATTTATCCTAGCTAAGGCAAAATGAGCGCTAATATTATTACTATTACTAACGCCGATACCTTAGCTATGATCGCCAAGCTCAGCTTAATTGAATAGAATAATAAAGTATTTAATAAAACGTCAATGATGTTTGAAATGTAATAAGTAGCCAGTATAGCGGCCGAATTCGACGAGTCGGAGGAGTTCAAGGACACAACCCCTCCTGACATTCCAATACCTACTGACCTCCCAGTAAGTGTCGCTGATAGATCAATGATGTATCCTGGATATATCTCACAATATTAATTACATTAAGGTTGAGACTATAGAGTTAATACTTATTTTATCCGATAGTATTGGTCAATATTCTAACTTCGTCTAAGCGATATATTATGTCGTCGCCATCCCTGATTACCCCAAGTCTTCTATTCATAGCGTTACCTACGTCGTAGATATCAAGGGTTTAACCGAGGCCTAGGTTTAAGCCCCCTGGGAGGAGGTATGTGAAGTAGAGTGGTCCGAGACAGATTAGTAGTATATAGAGGATAATCCCTAATTAGTCTACGTTTTTATAGATCTAATATTGTATAAAGAGGAAAATATCTACTAAGGATACTTCTTCGTCTAGCTACCTAAACAGCGCCGTTTGCCGTTGTACTACCTACAAATACACTAGTATTAAGCATTGTGAATATTTAGATCCGCGAGTTTGGTAAGCGTACTAATAAGGTTCTACCGTTACAATCGACGACGAGATTATGAACCTTTTATTTGAAATCCGCCTCCGATTAGATAATGACGCACTATATCATCCTGCCAGTTAGTAACCGCACTGCGCGACGCCCACTCCCGTTAAACTCAACCAAATCAAAGGGGGATTAACACGGGGTTTCCCGGGTTAGTTCAGTACGGGGCATTTAGAGCCCAGAGGTTGTTGGAAGTCCGTGCCCTGGGCCGCCCATTCACTGGCCTCGCCCATTCACCGGCACTCCCTTCCAGGTATTTAGGCTGCCCTAGTTTCCGTTTCTCCTCTTCCATTAGACAACAACAATCAAGCCCTTTTTCGTTGTCGCCTTTTCCAGCCCACCGATAGAGGTCCTATCGACGTTGGACGCTCGGGCTCGATGTAGTAAGCATCGTGCAGACGTACTGAACCTACCTCTATATAAAAGGTTGTAGTCCGAGACTTGTACTCTCCACTCAACTCTCCCCTCTAAACTTGGCTGGCTAGACTCATTATATTTATCTCGTGATAGCCTATCGTTAAAGTAGAAACAAAGTAGTAAAACGTATGTATAAAAGTGTAAACGCTTTTTCTTATTTAAATAAAAACTCACTATTAGCCATAATACTTCTACTAAATTACTATCCCTATATCCCGACAAATACTCCTAAATACCTTAACTATCTTTAGAGGTACTCATATAACGTAATTAGAGGTACCCACGTCCACATTCTGTAATACAACCAACCTACCTTATTACTCTAAGCCCCTTTCTCCTTGACCCGGCGCCAAACGTACGGGTTTGCGTCCCCTCTTCGTTCCCGTAGCGTCTTATCCCTCGCAAAATTCCATTCAAACCCCTCCCACTCTATACTACCCGCCTTCGCCCTCTTGAACACTATTACAAAATCCTCCACCTTCAATCTGTTTGTCCCTCCAACTCCGGTCGGTATCAGCTCCGCTATGGGTTGGGCGAATGTCATTGTCTTTTCTGACCCTGTTTGTTCTGATGGGTTCTTGTCTTCGCGCAGCTCGCGGAGTAAGTACCCGTATCCGGTACCGTAGAGACGCAAGATTAGACCCCTTTGCTCAGCGGTTATAGTGATGAAGACGTCGTTTGTAAGTTCGTACCTCCCCTCTAAGCCCGCTATATCTCTTCCGTTTGAAGCTGGGTCCAGGTTACGAAACCGTAATTCAAGTAAGTTTTCGTACCTCGCCAAGTCATACAGATAGTCAATTTGTATCGCCCTGGCCATCTTTTTCGTGTCTTCACAGGCTCTCTTTATAGCGTCAACAACAGATCCCGTGTTATGATGGGCATTTGACTCAGCGAGATAAAGACACTCAGCCAACAACATCCCGCTCAGGTTCGCAGCGTCGAGCAAGAACCCTCGCGTATTGCAGAGCACCACTATAGCTGTTTCGTGGTCGGGAAGTAGCCAGCAGAAAGACGTGGCGCCGACCATGTTGCCGCCGTGGTATAAGGCGAGGTGTTTCTTGCTCTCGCTTGGGTCGGTGAGCGGGGGTTTTTCGGTTTCGGCGTTGATGTCGGCGACGTAAGATTCGGGCTTGGTGACGAAGAAGGAGTAATCCAAATCATCGCCGTGGATCTTGCTCTGGATAGCACTCTCTAATCGTCTGGCGTTGTCACCGTCTGCGCCTGGCCATCGTAGTCTGGGTAAGGCGTTCCGCTCTTCGGGGGTCATTGGCACGGTGACGGTATTCCAACCGCTAGTATAAGTGCATGTGCTGTTGAGTGGATTAGGGGAGAGTCTGTTCTCTATATGACCGAAGAGATAGTTTATGCCGCGTTCGGGAGGCGTATTGAGGTAGTCCGGATATAGAAGTAGTTTGCTATCCCGCTCCTCTCGTCTTTGGTTGTAGACATCCATAATCTTGCTATAGAACTTGAGAAGGTCGGAGGTGGTGGACGTGATACCTACTGCCGCGGCGAGTGGTGACGGCCCTGCATGACCGGCACTTGAATCTTGGGATGGGGGAATCTCGACGGATTGTGGAATGTGGCCGTAGTGTCTGTCGAAGCATTCTGCGACCTTCGTCCTAGAGATTACCCCGTCTGCATCTGTACATTGTTGGAGATTAAATAGGATACCCGTTACTTGAACCGAATGCGACTTGGCAAAGGTCTTCGACATGTCATTTCTCTCAGCCTCTGTCAACCCGACAAAGGTGTTATGCATTCGAAGTGGCTCCAAAACCTCTTTGCGGACGAATTCCGCCCAGGAATACCCAATCTTTCTCTCAATGATTGTAGTTAATAAGGCAAAACATTCGTTAGAGTAATTCCGCTTGTAGACAAAGGCCTTCTCAGACGTATAGGTATCGTTGGCTGGGAGATGCTGGAGTAGTGATACGACGGGATCTATTGTCTGCCATGGTATATCGCCATCGGGGCTCTCCCAAAGATTCGTCAGCCATTGGAATGAGGAGCGGAGGTCCAATAGGTCGGCAATAGTAAGCTCCTGATTGGTGTATATCTTTAGTATACCGGGACTGCCTTTGAGTTCCGGCAGGATTGTTGAGACTGGGGTATCGAATTTGAGCTGGTACTTCGGAAAGTCATCCATCAGAATGCCCATTGCCGTAGAAATGATTGGCTTCGACATAGATGAGATAAGGTAGACAGTTTCCTGGTCCGGAAGCGCGGGTACTCCTAGACCCTTGGCCCCCACATTGAGGAAGTATTGTTGCCTATGGCGCAGGACTCCTATTGAAGCACCCACACTCCCGGAATCTCGAAACAGCTTCTCGAAGGTTGGTTTAGTAAGGGTCAGGATCTCCTTCACCGACAATACGCTACAAAGGAACGAGGGCTGCTTGGAAAGAGTAGTCAAATAGTTAGTATCATCAATGAAAGTACTTGTCGTTAGTATTATGGGTGAAAAACAAAAAAGGATGAGGCTCACCTGAATGCCGTCGCACATGATCGGTGTAGGTATTAGAACCCCGTATGGAAAGGTTGATAGGGGGAAGAAAGATTGTTCTTGGAGTGAAACTCTTGGTCATTGGTCTCTTGGAAACTCAAACGGTTCCTGAGACGGGGCGGATCAACTAGTTAATAGAGTTGATATAAGGTTTATATAACTGAAACTGTAAGGACGAATGATGGAAAATAAAGCGGGAAGGATACCGGTTCTTATATTTGGCAGTTTCTGTTATATCCACAATCTACAAATAGTTGCCGCTTGTTCTCATTCAACTGGGGTATATCTAAACGCGGGAACTACACTCAATATACTCTACCTAATAGCCCCTGAGCTGTCCTTCGATCGGCTACGTATCACTTGCATAAATTTGGGGTGGTAGGTAGCTCCGTCAATGGGGTGACAGCCAGTAACAGAGTTGGTGAGAATCACGCCTATTCCTATTAGTAACTTGTACCTCCCATTCACGGAGCTACCTAGGTGGTCTACGCGCGGTGCTCATAATTTTGTTATAAACGAGGTAGTATAAGAGGAAGGAAGAGGAAGAAAGACAGGGGGTTAAAGGCACAATAGTCTCCTGCATCCTTTCAGCGGCTCCTGGGTCCTATATTAGCTACTATCACATACGCCAGCTCTCATCGATTGGTTTAAAAAAAATACAGTTTGTACATACAGGCCAGCTGACGAGGTGCCATGATAATAGATGAGGGAAGATAGAGAGAGGAAGAGCAAGTTAGAGGAAGAGCAAGTTAGAGGAAGAGCAAGTTAGAGGAAGGAAAAGTAAGGAAGAGGGAGGAAGAGGGAGGAAGAAGATAGGGGGTTGAAGGCAGGGGATGCAAGGGTAAGGTTCGGGAGGCTTTGAGCGGACAGGTGCCGTAGGGGGTTGCCCTCTTATCTCTTCCGGTCTTTGGGAGCTCGAAGGAGACGGATAGAGGCATAAGAATAGACGGAGAGAGACAGAAAAGAGGCTTTCGTAGCGTAATAAACCCTGGTCATTGTCAGTGATTACAAACCTACACTCGCTTACCATTGGTGGTAGACATTGCTATCGGAAGGAGAGTGTGGAAAAGTGGAAGAAGAGGCAAGGGCACTCGAGTTGTAGCTTTATGCCAACCAAAAAACCTAAGGGACAGTGGTCCGTGGGCAACTTCCCGAGTTGAGCTTCCCTTCCGACACCTTGGTGGCAAACTGATGCGGGATCATTGCATCCCATGCATTACATGTATGACTAGTTCGACTGATTAGATTAGACTGGGCATGGCACTGGCCATGCCCACCCCTGTCAGAGGCTCTGGCAAAGATAAGGGAATTCCCATAAAGGGATTCCCGCGCGGGGCGGCCTTTGGCCACGCCTTTCTCCCTCTGACATCTTCTTTCTTACTTTCTAATATTACGACTTGCACACATTGCATCGTGATGATTGAAAGGACCCAGGTTACCCTATCACAAACGGACCTTCGAGACAAACGAACAAAACTTCATCTGTCTGTCTCTCCACCAAATGGGCAGATACAAGAAATACGGTTGTGGATTTGAAATCAGCGTACTTGAAACTATCAGTATAAAATTCTTCCTATCAACATAATTGAGTTCTTTTCATTGTCGTCTTTCGTTTTGAAGGTCCGTTTATCAACAGTTGTACAATCTAACCCTGGTTTGTTTGTTATTTTGGTACAAAAAAACGCCTTTCTCCACCCAAAGGGAAAGGCATTGAGGCTTCAAGCGGACGGACGGGAAGATTGTGGTCGGGCGAGTAGTCGGGCTGACCGAGGGACTCGATGATTTACGGTAGGGGCGGCTTTGGATTTGACAAGGGCAGTATTCTGGGCTTGGAACAATAGTTCAATTCAGCTGATAATCTTCTTTGGTCTCGAAGGCTTTGTTGATCCTTTCAACCTTCATGAGAAGGTCGGGCCTTAAGGCCTTCTTATGCCAAAGAAGGTCGGTACGTACCGAGCCTGTGTGCCTGAGGCTACAAGGCATCGGCGCGAGTCTATCTAGTTCATCTGCCTACAAGTAGATCTTTTGAATGCCAGCCTTCGTCCGGTTGCCCTGTGTCGGTAATTCCGGTCGGCGGTTTAATTGACGAATGTCGCCGGCGAATGTCCGTGTGACCTTCTGTCGGTAATTCCGGTCGGCAGTTTGGTTGATGAATGTCGCCGGCGAATGTCCGTGTGACATTGGATGAAAGACTCTAGGAACTACGCCTTGCAATCCGCCTGAGATCACCATTCAACTGTATACTCCTCGTCCTCGAGCCATGATGTGGGCTCGGACGGGATTGATGCCATGCTTGATGCCACCAAGGGTTCGGTAAACATGGAAGCATTGAGATTTGAGCCGACGCACGCTACAAACCTCTGTCTGGGGACCGCCATAACGAAGGTACCGGAATATTGAGGGTGATCACTCAAAGCACCTGGCCAGAACAGTGACTTGGTTTATGAATGATGGAAGGCAAGAAGCGAAGTAGCCAAGGTGAAGATGACGGTCAATTGAATCCTATGCTATCTACCCGCCAACACATTACGGCCCTTCCGGGCCTTATCCTTTCCTCCTCTTCGGCCCACTGAATGAGGTACCTGGAGTGACCGCCTGTTGCCCGGCATTGCTTGACTGGCTGCCCCCCTCGTCAGGCAGAGAAGCGCAGCTGGCATCTGACTGCATCAAGGTCCCCAAATCCTGGGAAAGCCCGGTCGCCTCGGAAAGCGGTGGGACATCAAAGTTCAACTCCGACGGCAACTGATTGATGGCAGAACAGATATTCTCGAAATGCTTGGGCATCCATATGTCGTAGACGTTCTTGGTGAATCGGTATGCTGTCCACTTCTCCTTGCCCTCCAACGCAGTGAAGTAAAACTGGTGGATCGGGTGCCGGTAATAATTGGTGTCTTTCCCGGTTATCACTGGGTAGTGGCCATAAATCCGTACTGACTGGTGGTCGTGCGAGACGGAGAAGGCGAGGATCTTCCGGTTGACCTCATCCTCGCGCTTGACAGCACGGAAGAGCTCGACGATGCCCCGTACCGCAAGGGTCATGCTATGGGCGTTCTGCCGATCTGCGATGTCGAGCGCCGCTGCGCCACACTTCACCTCGCAAGTCAGGAACGGGAAGTACATGTAGTACGTGGCCATGAAGAAAGACTGGTCCCCGGTGATGAAGTCGCCAATGAATGGTGACAACTTGGCGAGCTGGTCCTTAGTGAATGCTTCTCGTCTGAACCCAACGGAGTAGTCAGGCTGTGGACGGGTGCTGGTGAGAGGGATCGAGTTGTTCCACCCTTCGTTGACGCTTTCGACAAGGCATTTACAGGTTTTATTCCAGAGTGCGAGCGATTCCGCCGAAGGAACGATAAGCCTTGAGACGTCTTGAATAATCCTCGCCTCATTCTTATTCTCGAGGTTGCGGCAAGCATTAACAAAGATAGAATCGTCAAAGAGGGTTCCCTGAGGAACCGACTGCTTGCCGTTAAGGAGGTCCCTAATAAGCTGCTTACTCGTATCGGTAATACCAAGCTCAGAGATATCCATGTATGAGCCTTTGGTCTCGAGTAGGACTGTGTATCGCGCATCCCTATACGGCGCGCTCTTCTCCTCCCTCGGCTTCTGGTCGCTGGGCGTCGTGGATGTAGCAGAGTTCGATCGCTTCCGGGACAGATTGGACGAGGATTTCTTTCGCGCAAGTGGTAGACGATCCATGGTAAAATCCGTCTCTGAGGTCTCTTCCGGCCAGTCCTGCTCCTCTGGCCAGCGCCCTTCCTTCACCCAGAAAGCAACTGGGTCAGTGTGTTTGTGGGCGCCGCTGCCAATCGCTGGCTCGCCAAATGCGTCTTCTGTAGGGCGTGGAGGAGATGTCCGCTGTCGCTTTGGGTCTGGGTCTGGGTCTGGGTCTGGGTCTCCCTCGAGTGCGTGTCCGGTTGGGTGCTTGCGCTTGCGACCTCTGCTCTGGACAGGCGCCGGTTGTTCCTATGAATCCCATGACCCAATTTAGTTTGTGAACCATATAATACAACAGATAGAGGGCATACTTGTGGGGTCGGCGTCTCGCTGGGTGTAGTTGGACGTAGGCGATTGCCCTGGGGTCGATTTCCTGCAAGCGTCAGTGGGAGATGTCGTTTGGCGCTGCGAAGAACAAGTACCTTGATAATTTGATGCCGGTGATGGGAGCGCCCTTTGGGCCGCTGTTTGAGCTCGAGTGTGGGCCATGGCGATGAGAATGGGGAGGAGAGCGAGGCCCTAGTTATGTGTCTGGGGAAGAGTCTCGAGATGGAGTGACGTGCCGTGCGAGGAATGGATGGCTACGAGCGTGCAGGAATGGGATCCACTAGTGCCGACCAATCGTTAAGCGTCATAGTTGCGGGCCGCTGCGTTGTCACTTGTGCGATCTCCGCTTTCAACCTTCTGGACCCACTTCCCGATTCTTGCTGTATTTCCTGCAATCAGACATGTACCCCTTCTTCCTCCTTCTTACACAGAAGTCCTCACAACTATGATAAGCGTCGTAACACTGAGCGGCTCGACTACCTCGCAATGAGCATTCGGGTTGACCTGTTTACAAAGCTGCAGGCGTTTACTGGCGGGGTTTAGCGTTTGGCCGGCATCGCCCCACCCGAAATCATCAGACGAGAAACGGCCCGGGCCGCGGCAGTCCACACCCCACCCGGCCCACCACCCGCTCACCCAACGCTTGCGCACGCCCCCACCGCGCGGCTGGTCCCATCTCCACTCCCTCACCGAGTCCCAAGCCCCCCCGGATGAAAACACACCGGAGAAAACGTGGCTCCCCCGCCTCCCCGGCCTCCGGAGATGGCTCGCCCCCGACTCGGCAGATAACGGATTGGAGACGATTGCGTATGACCTCCTCCGTTGTGCAAAACATGATGATGAAACGAAAGAATCAATGGGAACGAGAAGGGAAGAGAAACACTACCGAGAACTGGAGGACGCCTCCATGTGAGTCGAGCGTATTGGCACCATAATATGCGCCCCTATGGCTTTGTGTACCGCTCTTGGTATGGGGTGATTGAGTTAACAGAGTAAAATGAGATTGTTCCGGTCCGGCAGCCCACCAACGCTTAGATCCTTGGTAGCACAAAGATTGGTGTCCTTTTTTTTTTTTTTTTTTGGTGTATCATTAAAAAGTAATGCACGTCTCCGTCCTGACACTGCAGCTAGATTTTCTACAGGGGTGACACTAAGATTGCACTCGGTCAGAAGACCATTCCTAATTGGTTCCCAGTACTCCTCGGCCCAGTTATGTGTATGCAGATGAGAGCGTGGCAAGGGAATCTCTCGCTCTTGTCTTGTTGGATCACGGTTTGGTGATCCACTACGACAAACTGATTTAAAGAGTGGGTCACAAACGAAAGAGTGGCTGGGGCGGCCAGGTGACGGCCCAGATTCAGAGAGAAGAGTGGGGCCTATATACGGATGAACCAATGGGTGTGCGGATCACATTACTATGTACCCTGGACGTGTCGCTAAATCCTTTGCTTCACTCTTTTCACGTCAACAGACGAAGGGGGCCTTGCAGGGATGGATGATATTGGGCTGGACATCACGTTGCTCGGATTGAGGCGTTGCAGAGCCGGCGGGCGGCCTTGCACTTGCTCGCGCCAGCGCTGCGAAGTATGGGCATGAGGCGGTTGTTAAGCTGCTTCTCAATACTGGCAAGGTTGATGCAGATCGTTGGGACGAGTATGAACGGACAGCGCTGTATATGGCGGCAGAGAATGGGTATGAGGCAGTTGTTAAACTACTTCGCGATACTGGCAAGGTTGACGCAGGTGCTAAGGATAAGAATAGACAGACAGCGCTGCCTTGGGCGGGAGCTATGTTTCTATACATAGCGGTTAGAACCCTAACCCTAGTTCCAGCGAGCCGGAACTAGCGTTAGGGTTCCTCAACCGCCTGGTCGATGTGGGTAGTCTGCCATCACCGTGACACGTGACACTAATGTCCGCAATGATAAACCGAGTAATGGCCGAAAGAAATCACCGAGAAGTGTTTTATCTACCCGAATACACAGATGAAACAAATACTAATACAAGTAACGAAGCTGTCAACGCCATCACAGTGCCATCCCCAAAGGGCATCGCCTCATCTCATTCCGCTCTTCCAGAGGCAAGCCCACTCAGTTATACATTCTTCGTCCGGTTCTGAGGACGGTAGGCTTGCCTGTTTTCTCCAGCACTTTTCGCGTTTCGTCCATCAGTGCCAAGTCATACCCTGCAATCGCGGTCAGTCTCCTCTGTGCGCGACAACTTGACAATAAGACAAAGTCTAACCGCGAGGCTCTACTCGAGGCTGGGCAGAAAGGGTTTGCGTACCTTGTCTCGCCATGAGGGCTATCACCAAGGGAAGCTTCTCTTCCCGGCTTGAAACCCGCGAGTTGTAGGGTATTTCGTCAACTGGAATTTGTGCGCCACTGTCAGTGCCACTGTTCTTTACGAGTCCTATTGGCTTTTCTGGGACTGGGGTTGGGCTCACTAGGAACAGCCAGAACCGGAGACTTCATCACTGGCGCCAAGCCTAACGCATTAATTCCGTCTTGAGGTGGTCGCCGAAACCTGCGAGCCGTTCACGATGATTAGCGACAAACATGCCGTGTAGCAATTGTTTCCAACACAGCCGTACCTGCGTTGTTGACTTATCGAAGTCTAATTCTTGCAGTGAGTGCGTGCGTCGCAAGGTCGCGTGTGACGGTCAAGACGTTGCAAGGAGTCGTGACTTCGTACTCGTGAACAAAGGCGTCATCTCCAGAAGAGGCAGAAGGAGATGTTTGATCGTGGGATGGCGGATTTGGCCAAGGAAATGGGGGACAGCGACCCTCTCGTTCCCGAGGGTGGCCCGGTTAATGCTGAGCTCGGCGTTGCTTTGCCAGAGGTTGGTTTTGACGAGTGGGCGCAGGAGCAGGGACTTGATCTCCCTGAGATTCTGTCGCCTGACGTGGCTGGGGTCGGTCAGGAAACCGCCGGTGAAAGCTCTCGATCTCGTTCTTCAGGTTGACGAGGTTCTTTGGTGGTTCCCAGGTGTTGCTTTCGTGGCCGTATCCTTGCCACTTGATTAGGTACTTGATTTCACCATCTGTTATTTGAGAGTCTAGAATGGCTTCTGTCAGATACTCGTCCCCGTCGTTCCATTTCTCTGTGCGATTGTCGATTTTCGCGTGCTTTGGTGCTGGTTCTAGTAGTGAGACGTGAAAGGTGGGCCATTGTCGCATGCCCTTGGGGAGTTCGAGTCGGTAGTTGCTGGTGCTGACTTTCTCAAGTACCTTGAATGGGCCCAGCTTTTTGTAATCGAGCTTGTCGCTGGGTCGCTTGGTTTTGATATTACGACGGAGAAGGTAAACTTTGTCTCCCCTCCTGAAGGTCGGCGCTGACGGCCTCGTGCGGTCGTAATATCGTTTCATCCTTTCTCGGCCAAGGGTTAATTCATTGGGTTCCGGTTGAGCTTTCGAGACCGGCTCAGGTACGTATTCCGGCTCTGTGTCTGGAGGAACCGGTTCTCGGGCTGGCTCCCCTTGTTGTGACTTTTGCTTCTGCTGTGACTCTGTCCTCGTTGCCTGTGGCTGCTGCTGTGCCGGCTTTAGAACTGGTGCCGGTTCCGGTGGAAGGGTTGATTCTGCTTGCAGCTCCGGCTGCGAATGCTCTCCAGAATCAGAATCCGAATCTGATATTATGATCGGGTCATGTATATTGGTCACTATGGGTCGTGGCCTGGGCTGAGGTTGCTGAGGTTTCTGTGGATGCAGTGGTCTAGGTTGCCCAACTGTTTGATCTGGATTACTTGGAACCCTCGACCCCTGTAGTAGATCTTGACCGCGGAGATCTGGGAGAGGCTCTGTGGTACTTGATTCGGCCCCATTCGCAGTAAAATGGGCGGACATAGACCCTCGTATCAGCCCTGCTGGAGGGTTATAGCCCGCGAGATCAAGTGCACTTCTGGCATAGTGCACCATAAGTCTATCGGCCATAGACATATAATTACTGCTCTGACCGGTTGGCATTATAACTGCGTTTGAGGGCTGTTCTTTGGCCATGGTCGTGTTGCTGCATTGCTCTTGGGGTCCTGTATTGAGGTAGATCTTGGCTGCTGGGCAATAGTGCCAGCGCAGCAAAGTATGGCCGCATGAGTGTCCGGCGGGGTGTCTGTGGCATATCTTGATGGTATATGGAGGAACGGTGATGTCTTGGTGATGTTTGTGTTGAGGTTGTACTGAAGCTAACAACGACGACAACGGCATTGCAGCAGCATACTTCCACTTCCCCCGAATCAGGTAGACTGCCACGTTCGCGGGGACGATCATCTCCCCATCGCCTTTGGTTGTCCAGATGGCTTTGCCGCTGGGAGTCAATGCATTTATCCTGCAAAAGGTGGATGACCTAGCAGGGCTGAAGAAGTATGATCCAAGGACAAAAAAGACCGTTCAGGACTACCTGTGCTCCAATGCGCAAGATACGTTCCTTTGGGTAGCGTTGGTCTGTCAAGCGCTTGAAAAGGTCCAGAAAGGGTTTACCCTAAAAAAGCTACGCATGTTTCCATCTGGGCTGGATGCTCTATATGCGCGGATGAGAGAGGATATGAGCCAGTTCGATGAATCCGATTACTGCAAGCACATTCTTGCTATTGTTACAATTGTTCGCCGGCCAATCAGCCTTGAAGAACTAACCACTCTCGCCGAGTTGCCCAATACCATTTGCAACAATCTTGAATCTCTAAAAGATATTATAGGGCTTTGCGGTTCATTTCTAACTTTACGAGAACAAACTGTCTATTTTGTTCATCAATCAGCCCAGGACTTTTTGCTTTCTAATGTCTCTGATAAAGCTGGCAACCAAGCTTCTCAGGAGGCGTTCAAGTGGATTTTTCCTTCTGGGAAAGAAGCTGTGAACTATACCATCCTCTCGAGGTCACTTGATGCCATGTCTACAACACTGCGACGCGACATATACGGCTTAAGGGCACTGGGATTTTTGAGCGACAAGGTCCAAGTACCGAATCCGGACCCGCTAGCGACGGTGCGGTACTCGTGTGTCTACTGGGTTGATCACCTGTGTGACTTGGTTTCCAGTACGAACACAAACAGGAATGACCTTTTACAGGATAACGGGGTTGTTTATACATTCCTCAAGACGAAGTACCTTTACTGGCTGGAAGCTCTGAGTCTACTCCAAGCTATGCCTGCAGGCGTTGTTGCTATTAGAAAGCTCGAGGGCCTGCTAGTAAGTACAAGTCTAACTCCGCCCTAGGAAATTGGTCTAACTAAAGATATAGGGAGGTAATGATCACATGCACCTAAACCCGGGGAAAGAAGGGTCCAGTCCAGTCCAGATTACGGGGTTGGGTTAGTGGGACTGACTGGGAGCTTGCTTACAGGAAAAGATCCCTGGCCGAGGGATAAGCAGAGGACCGCTACCAATGGTGATTGATTGGGCAGGGGGTTGTAGAGCAATGGACATTGGTGCTGCGAGTGGTGAGCTCAGCAGTAGTGGCGGGCTGGGATATAGGCGCCGCGAGGACGGCGGTGCTGAGGGTGGTGAGGATGGAGGAAAGGAGTGAGAAACGCATTTTTGATGCCCGTGGGTTTGTGGGTTGGAACTTGGAAAGGGTTAATTAGAGTAATGGTGAGTAGAGGTATGAGAAAAGGTTGAAGATGCTGCTGCTGATGATGATGATGATGCTGATGATGCTGATAAAAGAGAGGAAGTATGTCCCAAACACACAGGAAGTCGATCTTATACAACCCCCCTTCAATCCTGACCAGCTTTACCAGACGAACTGAGCCAGGAATGTCTAACTGGGCCGTCCTTCTTAAAGAAAAGGTCATGGTTGAGGAGCATATAGACCGATTGACGGCTGTGCGTCTGGTGCCTGCTGCATGATACAAGAGTTCCTGTAAGGCAGTCGGGGCAGCAGGCATGCAGCTACGACTCGGGCTATATCTCCTGCTGATTTTGCTCCTTCCATGATACTATTCCTCGGTCCCGAACCAGGCTTGTGGTGTCCTGAAGATCAGATCGGGAAGTCTTTCGAACTCTCTTCCGCATCTTCTTGCGCATTCCATTCCTCACAACACAGCCCAGTGACTGTTATCGCAGTTATCGCCGCCATGATCCGCAGGCAACAACTTGAAGTGCGCCACAGGTATCTGATTGATCTGTCGGTTCGTTCTGTTTGCCCGATTCCCCACCAAGGATCGCATCGATGCTGGTGTGTAAAACAGCACACAGCCCTATGCAATATTGATGGCTTGGAGCCGTTCTTTGTTTCTCCAATGTAAGTGGTGGGCTTGCTATCTTCTCCTTGTCCGGTGAGTGACTAATTCGGGCGTATCCTGTGTGACGCCAGAGTGCGTTTTCTTACCGACTGTTCATTCGCTCTTGGATTATCCGCCAAATCAGGCATGTTCTTGAGTAAGCTGATAGTTCAACAGGTCGAGAAGACGATGGGAGGTCTAGATATGTCCCGAGGTGTTTCGGCCTAAACGATTTTGTGTTTGGGTCAGAGGGGTATTTGGCAGAGAAAAAAAAAAACTAGGTAAGACACGGTTTCCTTCGTGTTTGAGGAGTAGAAACGCCACGCTGACGAATATGGCTTTCAGCTAAGTAAACCCCGAGCTCTGAGCCTAGGCCCCCCCTCTCTCTCGGGATGCGGATACCAGGCTACCTAATGACTCAACTTTGATTTTAGCTCTTTCAGGCTTCTCTGTCGTCTATAGTACCTTCAAGTACCTTGTATGGATGAGTTGGAGTGTGGAATTGTAAGGCTACGAAAAGGAGCTGGGCAGACAATGCTGGGCCATGGATATATAAACTTAAATCCCCAACGTGTAAGTTTGTTGTCCCTGTTCGCTTCATTTAACAATCCTTCCTTCTTAGTTCTGCAACCACTTGATCTTCGCTTTCCCTTAGACGCTCAACATTCTGATGGCTCACTATCCATCTCAACATGAATGATCCGGATTCTATCCGCTGTTGGCGTGAAGCAGACGACGGGATACACACCCGTCTGTACTACAATATTACCAGCGCCGAATGGAACTGTACAGAGCACTATGGAAAATGCGATTCGTGTCCCAAGTCCCAAAGTGACCCTGACATCGCCGGCATTGGTGTAAGTGTCCTTTCTCGTCATTATCAGCTTGGTGGTTTCCGGACAGCGATATTTCAGGAGGATGACTAACAGACTTTCGGTTGAGTCTCCAGGTCATTATTGCATTCATGTTTTCCGTCATCAGCACGGCTTCTCTCAGCGTTGCCTTTTCCATATTGGCCACTGTTCAGCCGCGCAAATGCACCGTCAAAACTAGCTCTAGAACTACAATGGCCTACGCCTGGGCCGGAAAAACCGTCGCAAAGATTATCGGAAGGAAGCACGCCGTCCGATGCGCCAAGATTTGCTACGACATGGTCATCTGTCTGGGGGATCAACAACTAGTCGGCTCGGTCGCCCTACTGCTAGCAACCATCAAAAAGCTTCACTTAGATAAGACCCTCAGCGTCTACCATTTCGCCCTTGTCTTGGGAATGGTGTTCCTGAGCTCTACCGCTTTTACCTACGCCATGATTTGCTACCGCTTGAGGCATCAATGGGATTCCGAGGATGACGGTTGTACACGACGTCTACGACACCAGCAGCATGATCCTCACCCATGGTACAGACGTTTGACAGAAGGACTCCATTGGGCCATCAGAATCTTCTTCAGGCTCTGCCTAGTGGCCTTGTTGCTGTACAACATTTCGGTCGCAGCAAGAATGAAGGACCTGCCATGGGATTGCCCGGCGATATGCTTCAAGGACAATCCAGGATACGACTGGATATCCATGTCGGCGATTTTGCCCCCATTAATTATGTTGCCCTTCGCTATCCAGTCCAGTATCACCGACTGCATCCAGTTGGCTTTGGCTCATAACTGGTGGGATCCCAAGGCTTTCCTTGCCCTCATGTCAAAAAAAATACAGAGTCTTTTGACGTGGTATCGATATCAATGTACCTCTAGGCAGGAAACACGGCGCAGCATATCTCTACCAGACCCCTCCCTACGCCAGGGTTGCTTTTACATACTCAAAGGCCTCTTTGTTGTCCTTTGGCTCTCGATAACTCATTATTTTTGCTCTCTGCCTATGGTAACCGGCTGGTTTGTGTCGCTTTTTAACGTCACGCTATATGCATGGAGAAGGACTCACTGTGACGAACCGTTACAAGCACAGGAGTATATCGCTGGGATCAGAATAACGGTAAGAATAGCCAAAAGGTATTGATAAGGTGTGATAGCTATTGCTTGCTGAAGAACCGGTAACAAGAGACCTAGGGAGGCCTTCTTTTATACCGGTCTTCCTGGACCCGATATACCGGACCCGGGACTTCGGGTCCTCCCTTCGGGTCTTATCTTATTGGTCAACTAGTCTAGCTTACATAAGGTTCGTTGATTGGATCGTAACACTCACATACAAGTACCCGAGCATCTCCGTCGGCTGGAAGAGGAAACCAAGGAGGAGATACAGATGGGAGTTGGTCAGACTATGGCCGTTATTCTTCTCGTGCTTCCTATCATTCAACTGCTTATCTCTGTCTCAGGTACGCATCGCCAAAAGCCCCTTTACTTCATCAAGTACTTTGCCCTTGTTTACTCGGCTTGAGGTCAAATGCTTTGTTTGCATGCTAATACTCGGTCGTTCTCGCGTGTGCAGTACACTACGGAGAAATCGACAAACCAACACAGAACGCCGGATCGGACGATTCTAATACAGATATCAATGTCGATGTCGACATCACTGATGATACTGAAGAGATCATCAATCAGTCTACAGGAACTCCGAGTGCAGGGCGATATCCTTGGGGGCCCTTTTAACGAGTCAAGTAATTTCTTACTTCACTACATGCTACAAGAGACATTTGGCCAGGCTCGCGGATGGCAATTGCACACAGATACACGGGTGGAACTGGGAATCGGAGATTGTCCATGAAGGTATACATGTGCCTACAAGATAGAGCGGAGGGAAGTGGCTTACGAATCGAGAGTCTGGTTGGTTTCGTTCAGTAATTCTTTTTCTTTCAAGCGGGTTGCTGTTATTGAGAGGCTTCATTAACAAGACGAAATGATAGAAGAGCGTATACTTGACAAAACAAGTAAGATCTCAAGGGATCCATCCGCATCCGCGGCAAATTGTCGTTCCTGCAGACAGGTTGCGCTTGAGTGTCTTAACAACTCAGCTCCTGCCGATTCGGACCGGTTCCAAGTGCGAAGGAGTGTTAACTGTGAAGAGAAGGGAATTTCAAGACAATACAAAGCTCTTAACCGTAGTATTGATCCTTAGAATAATAGTTCTTCCGTGTTGTGGTATTGTTTCTGTACGCAAGCGAAGTTGATAGTGTTTAGATGGGAAGTTGGTGTGGTGAACCCACACTTTTTGGACATAGACTTATACTGTAGGTAGCTCTAGGCATCGTCCACATATCCGAACACAACTTCCAGTTCACTCCCCATTCTACGTCCTCACATCCATCACCGCTATAATCAACCACCGCTTTCGTAGTTATTTGTGTCTCTACCATCTTGTGTTCCTCTGCCGTTTCCTGGTAGCTGTCGTGGTGGTTGATGACTGGCGACGCGGCAATTGAAAAGGTATGGTAAGGCACACTTCTGCATGGCGTGGATGGCGTGTCGAGGCACCCTTCGTCTTCTCGTAGCAATTAGAGGAGACATTAGAGGGGGAAAGACGGCATGGAGTGTTGTGAATGGTGGCTTTTAGCCAAGAATATGCAAAAAGCCCTGTCGCAGCCTTATGTGCGTCATGTTGATGTTTTCTTTTTCCTTCTTTCTTTCTTTCTTCCTTTTTTTACATGGAATTTGCCTGGATGTTAGTGACACTTCTCATGTGTTGAATGCTTTAGTTCGATTCTTTTGAGTCTATTATATTTTTCTTCTCCTCGCTTGGAAGACGTAGACTTTGACTTCTTTTTCCTCTTGCGTTTCCTTTGCTGTCCTTCCTCTACCTGTAGGCGTGAATCTTCCAATTTTGGGTCTTAGCTAAACCTCTTGGCTGTTGCCAATTACCTACATCCATCTTGGACTTCGCTACAATTCCACTTTCTATATGACCTCGGAATTTCTTCTCTGCTGGAATACCACAAGCACAAGCGATGGGAACGTCACCCAGGTCTACTTCAACATTACGACAGACGAGTGGAATCTCGGATATTGTGGAAGATGTCAGGCATGTCCTCCTTTGAAAGCTGACCCGGACATTGCGGGCGTTGGTGTAAGTTCTATAGTCCCTCCTCCAGACGCTCTGGACTCTCCAAATCTTATCCTTCTGGACGAAAAACTACGGAACCAGCGTTTAGCTTGACCACCACAGGCGTTAAAATCGCCTACCGTGTTATCGAAAGCGAGATCTGACTCGCAATCAACGCCAGGAAGCATGAGAAAACAGGTAGCTAACATTGAATCTTTCGTCCAATATCTAGGTCATGACCGCGTTCTTCACATCCCCCGGCTTTACAGTCTTAATAGCCTTCGTCTTCAGGATCATTATCAAAGCCCAGCTGCGAAAGAGACGTGGAAAGTTGGTACAGAAGAAGCAAACCAGGACAAGCTTACTGACTAGCCGTCTCGAAACGATGCTTTTGGGCCGCCGGGCCACCAGGTGCGCCCGAATCTCTTACGACATGGTCATTTCCCTAGCGGATGGGCAGCTCGCGACCGGCATAGCCCTTTTGGTTGCAGCCATCAAAAAGCTGGAGGCCGATAGGGATATCAGCGTCTATCACTTCAACCTGGTCATGAACTCGGTCTTCCTCAGTTCGGCCGCTTTCACCTACGCAGCAATTTCCTACCGCCTCAGGAGTAAGTGGGAGGAGGAGGAGGAGGAGCACGAACCCGACAACAGGTTGCCGATATGGACCCCCCAAAAAAAACATCATTCGAAACCCGAGGACAAGCGATCAAGAAGGATAGGGCTACCGTGGACTTTGAGAATCCTTCTCATAGTGGCACTTGATGTGCTGCTCCTCTTTAGCGCTTGGGTGTCACTGGGAGCGAATGGCCTTCCCTCGGAGTGTCCAGCATCTTGTTCCCGGGCCATACCGGCGGATGTGGCGACAGGACGTTCCATTTGGCTCATCACCTTGTTTCTACTCTCTGCCGTGGTCAACATAATCGTTTGTCTCCAACTGGCTAGGGTACACGCATGGTGGTTGCCCAAGGTTTGTCACATATCGAACGCGGACACTATCGAACGCGGACACTAACATTCTACAGAAGGCGGCAACCTCGGTTTCTAAGTGTCTTGCCATACTTCGTTCTCCATCCATCATCTATGATCTTGTTTTTCTTGGGTTCGTGGTCTGGTATTATCATGACTTGCATTCGGAATGGAGATCGAAGCCCAAGGTGATGTCCACGGAAGACCTAGGCGCCGAAGATAGTATGGGATTCGGGCAATTGGTGCCCCTCTTCCTTTTTATACTTTTTGTGCTTCAAGTTCCTGAGTCCTTTAAAGGTACGTTAGATTCGGGTTGATTCCACCGTCGGCCCCCTGTTTCTCATCGTGCTGGATTTCACTAACCCTTGGTTTTATTTTCGGCAGCCCACAGCGGAGATAGCAAGGGTGAAGAAACTTCCATTGTCAGAAGAAAGACTTGTTGAGGGTCATGGCTGGGATGGGCTTTACTTCGTTGTCAACACTGACTCGAGGGAGGCTTTTAGGGCCTAGGCATTATAGGATGAGATTCTGAACAGGTACATGTAAAACTACAAGATAAACTTCACCCCGAATTTGCCACCATGCGTGCACTGGTAGCAGCGGCTCTAACATAACGAGACACTTCTTTCCACTTCCATTTAGCAACCCGCAAGTTGCTGCTGTACACCCGGGATCGCTAACACATACACATACATACACGTCACACAAAACTCGTACAGCACGCCATTCTAGAGAAAAAGAGAAAGTAGAGGGACTGAAAGAAATGTTGTGATGAGGAGAAATTACTACTTTTGGTCCATTGCCTCGCTCCGTTCCGTCCATGTCTAAGATCTCAAACGCCAAACATGCTGCGAAAGTTGACCGTGGCCACCCTAAAAGTTACAAAAAGAAGAAACATGAACTCCAAGATGCAAGTGTGGAGAGAAGAGGTATTGGTAGGGAACAAACCCTTAGGACAAAAAGGACAGAAGAGAAGAGAAAAGCTAAAAAGATCTCGAAACCAAATCCCCGACGATTACCACTCCTTCCTTTGGGCAAGCAGACAGATCAACCAAAGTAATGAAGAGCCTCTTCTCAAGTCTCTTTTGAGAGGTCATGTTGCTGTTGCTGCGCAAGCTCCTCTCGCTCCTTCATGGCCGCCCGTTCATTCACGCCCCTAAAGGCCCTCTTTCCGACCTCATAACTGCTAATCATAATGGCACACGCTGGCGCCATCTTAAGCGTGCGGGGAATCCACCCCCTGAAGAGACCAGCCACGCCTTCCGTGGAAAATATATGCCACAGCAGTCTTGCCATGTTCCTCTCCTCCGGTCTCGCGGCGCTCTTCTCCATCGCCACAATAGCAGCTTGTGTTGCGGTGCCGGTGTCACGGTAGACTTGTGTCCTCGTCTTGCCGACGTCGAAAGGCATGGTGGCCACGCTGGCTCTCCGGCCCAGCCAACGGCGGCCCATCGCTCAGCTTCGCATTCCGCCACGCAGGCAACTTGGTAAACATGCTTGTCAAGGCAAAGTAAGTAGCAACCGGGGCATTCGGCATATTCGCAAAGTTGGCGTACCCTTTACAAGTCGACAGTCTCGGCCTCGGTAACCACGGCGGCCTCGTCAACCCTCCATTCTTCTTTCCCCCTTTCTCGCCCGTCTCGTCGTCCTCCTCCCTCCCTGCAAAGACACTCGACATCTGCGGTAAGACTGACTCGGGGAAGATTATCATTAACAAAAGATTCTAAAAAGGAAGAATCAACTTCCGTAATTTCTTCAACTTGGTACTTCTTCAGGGCGGGTTCCTCGCACAGCGAAGCCTCCTTTCTTCATTCCTCCAATCTTGCAAATCCACGATTCCCTGCCGCACGTCAAACCCCGCATCCACGACATAATATTGACCATCTGGGACCCGAAAAGATCGACCGAAAGCTTGAGCATAAAGCGAGGCATTGTTGCTAGAGCCCTCCGCACCTGCCAGAACATACGAGAAGGTTCTGTCACTTTTGACTGCTACGAATACATTCTGTGTGATATTGCCATTGCGGTCCCTCCAGGGTTACTATTGAAATATATAACGACCAGGGGGACTCCCAATACGATAGGAAGCAATAGGGAGTAAACAATAAAGATTGGAGAGTAAACCAAGATCAATTCTTGTAGGAGGAAAGATTGTGAAAGGCTGACTCGAGGTGGAGTTGTCTTCCAAGCCTGCCTCTTAGGATGCAAGGCTGAGTAGCTTAAGAACCGCCTCATACCCATTCTTCGCCGCTATATATAGCGCTGTCCATCCATCCTGGTCCTGAGCATCTGCGTCAACCTTGCCGGTATCGAGAAGCAGTTTAACAACCGCCTCATGCCCATTCTTCGCCGCTATATGCAGCGCTGTCCGTCCAGCCCAATCCTTAAGATCTGCGTCAACCTTGCCAGTATCGAGAAGCAGCTTAACAACCACCTCCTGCCCATTCTCTGCCGCTATATGCAGCGCTGTCCATCTATCCTCATCTTTAAAATCTGCATCAACCCTGCCAGTATCAAGAAGCAGCTTAACAACCGCCTCATGCCCATTCTTTGCCGCCATATATAGCGCTGTCCGTCCATCCCAATCCTTATGATCTGCGTCAACCTTGCCAGTATCGAGAAGCAGCTTAACAACCGCCTCATGCCCATACTTTGCCGCCATATGCAGCGCTGTCCGTCCATCCCTATCCTTAGGATCTGCGTCAACCTTGCCAGTATCGAGAAGCAGCTTAACAACCGCCTCATGCCCATTCTCTGCTGCCATATGCAGCGCTGTCCGTTTATACCAGCCCCTAGCACCTGCGTCAACCTTGCCAGTATCGAGAAGCAGCTTAACAACCGCCTCATGCCCATTCTTTGCCGCCATATATAGCGCTGTCCGTCCATCCCAATCCTTATGATCTGCGTCAACCCTGCCTGTATCGAGAAGCAGCTTAACAACCACCTCATGCCCATACTTTGCCGCCATATGCAGCGCTGTCCGTCCACCCCCATCTTTAAGATCTGCGTCAACCTTGCCAGTATCGAGAAGCAGCTTAACAATCGCTTTATAGTCTTTTTGCGCCGCAAGCCACAGCGCCGTCCGTAGCTCCTCCCTATGCAAGTTGACCTTGCCGGTGTCGAGAAGCAATTTTACGACCATCTCATGCCCGTTTCCTGCCGCCAAGCATAGAAGTGTCCATTGGCCCTTGTCCTCAATAAGTTGATTTACCATTGTTTCCTTTGCATCTTCCTTTTCTGAATCCTCGGGACCTAGGCAAGTCTTTTTTAGGTTGCTCATGCTCCTCAATGCCCTCTCAAGAACCGCCGTTTCTTCCCAAAGATTCTTCACTGCAACTCCATACTGTTTCACCTCTTGTAATACCAATCTGACATTCCGTATCCTAGTCGCCGCCTTTAGACAACCTTCCCACCCTGTCTTTGAATGCTCTGGTACTAGAATGCTTGCAAAGTAGTCGTGGTTGTTTTTATCTTGCTGCTTGTCTGGATTTATATCCCAATCCCACTCAAGTCGAAAATCATGTGGAAAGACTGTTATCGATTGTAAAAGTTCTGACCACTTGATATCTCCGGTCGTAGCTTGTGAATCGCCTGCTGGGGAAACTGCAATTATTATAACCGCCCAGTGATTATTGTATGGCCTGAGGATCGTGGGTCTCGACGCTCCTTGAAGAAGGCAGATGACATCTCCTTTTTGGACGGATTTTACCGTGGTCGGGAGGGTCCAGCAAGAAACCCATGCTTCCTTTACGCAAATATAGCTGGGGGCATTCCTCCAAGTAATGGCCACATCTTGTCTGTCTTCCCAAGTAGCATTTCTCTTGACCGAGGACACTTCGCCAAGAATGCAGCCCTTGCCCTCAATGACGGCAATCTCCTTATCATCCGAAAGGTCTACAGAGACCAATTCAGATAGGAAGAAGTGGATGAGTTTGTTGAAGAGTTGTTTCCACGAAATCTTGTAGTCGGTGAATAATCCTGCTGCGGTTGGATTATCAGAGCTCATACCAAGTAAGGCATATACTTTATCGCGACGATCCGTAGCTTCGCGGGTATGGTACATCTCTATCAGTTCACCCAGAGGGCGTATGTCAAGAGAAAAGTTGTCTGACTGACTGGTCGCGTATTTGGGCCGGAAGATTGCGCCCCTTATCAGGTAGGTTACCGAAAGGATTCGAGCCCGCAGGTCTGCGGGGAGTTTGTTGGATAGGTTCAATGCATCTAGGCCTAAGCAGAATGCAGATCCGTCAACCTCAGCAGAACCACACTTGATCAGGATATGGCGAGCCGCGGCAACTTCCTGAAGCACCTGCATCAATCTGTCAGTTTCCTTAGTTAGAATACTTTGACATCGGTTCTCTTACCCAAATACGTCGAAACCACGGTCGTTGAAGCAGTGTAAGGATTCCCGCTTTATTGTCTAATCGTCTTGTAGACAGCTCGGCTGCGATGCGTATTCCTTCGAGCGCTTGGTCGCTACCGGCTGCCTCCTCTCCAAGCCAAACAATTACGCGACTTGCTTTAGCGTAGATCTTCGCCATAGATTGAACTTGATGTCCTTTTTCTTCTTGGTCTTCTTGGTTGATGCAAATGGCATCTATCCATATAGTTCGTTCAATGGAGTGATCTCGAAGATGTAACAACGCTGCGTAAAGGTTTTCCCCGATGGCTAAGTTGCACCCGTTTATAAAGATGGAACAAGGCTTGTCCTCAGAGCCCCACACGTAGGATAAGGCCTCGTACAGTCGAGTGCCTTTTGAGTCCAATGTGGTGCAGAAGAGCCGACAGTGTATTGCGACGTCCTCGTTTTTAGGCGGCAATAGTTGAAGCAAGCGAATATGGCCACGTGACATGGGAACGTTGTAATACAGATTCTTTACAGATGTTAGCGTTATTATGAAATGTCGTAGGGGGAAAAGAATTGAGCCTACTTCCACCTGCTTCGTGTTATCCACGCCGGCGGACGTCTCTGTACCGTCAGAACCGGTAGCTGGAGCGGCTGGGAGCCGGGGGGCGGGCATACGGGTAGCGGACATAGCGGTGGCGGCGGGGATTTGTTCATCTTGTCGTTCCTGTTCCTTCACATGGAGGAAGGGAATCTTGGCCACGATTTGTCGACCAGCGGTCGGGAAACGTCCTTCGCCATCAGACGCATAGGAAGCGAAGTCCCGCTTGCCCCCCATGCTATCGAAAATAGTCGAAAGGTTGTAACGGTTCCGGATTGATACAGTATGGTAGATAGGTGCCGTAGTTGCCGTCACCGACGGGATTGCAGTGGTGATGCTTGTATGGTAGCCGACGCAGAAACAGGCGGTTCACGTCTCGCATATGATGCTGACCGCACCTGGGTGATAAAAGTGAAGCAACGAGTCGAAGACGAAAGAAACGAGTCGTAGACGGATTGTTGAGGTCAAGTCCGTGAGCTATCTCTGTGTTGACATGAACAAAGACGTCGAAGTTGCAGGCTTGTCAGCTGAAATATGAGCGAGGGCCTATCACGTGGGCGGGGAGACCATATGCCAGTCATCGTAAGCCACGCAATGCGACCACATTCAGGCTGCCAGGCTGCCACATTCTCGTGGCGGGCACGCTGACGCTAACGACGGGCTAATCATGCAGTCCAGTTGAATGCTGTGTTTTTTTAGTTGCTTTATTGAGCACGGCAAGTGTGAGGAAACCTGCGATGTATTGGGATGGGACAAGACCCTGAAAATGCAGTGCATCGGAATACCTCTAGTCTGTATGGGGCTTGGTAATAAAGAAGGCGGGCAGGAAGGCCAGCTAACCAACGAGAAGGTGCTGGCGTGTACGAGATGTCGTAAGCTCCATGCTACAGTAATGACGAAAGGATTGCCGCGCAACTGAATGGAGGAGACCGGCGGAGTTCAACGGTTCAAGTGGAAGTTGATGGAATAGTGGTCTAAGTTTCGACAAGACGAGAGACCCCCGAGGACCCAGCTTAAGTACCCGAAAACCGATAACAACCTGGGTTGGGCACGAGCATCGAGCGGGTGTTCCTTCCGTCGCATGTCGCACAGCCAAGGCTCACCATTGCACTTTCCCTTGGGTGACTAGTGTTCGGGGCGGCAAGCCGCTGCCCTTCCCAGAGGGTGCAAGGCTGGATCCTGGGTTGTGGCCCGTGTAGAGCTGGATTCAGGTGATGAAAGGCTAGATTCCTAGGTTGCTTGTCATTCGTTGCTTTAGAATTCCATTTACTTTCTTTCTTGCCAGGGTGCTGCGCCCCCCGGGACCCCCCTTTGCCTACGGCGTTGTAGGGTTATAGCGCGAGGCACGGGACGATTTGCGGGCTCACGGAGTGCACTAACAGAAACAAAAGTTAAGATGTTAGGCCTAACAATTTTTTCGGGGCGAAAAGCAGTCCGTACAGTAACAAATACATAGTACGTGCGGGGTTTTGTATGGGGTCCGCCCGCGAAAAGCACTAACACCCTACCCGTGTTTTTTTTTAGCGGCCCAGCTCGTGTAGGTATATAGAGATGGTGAGGCTTTCCTCCGTCCTCGCAACACTCAGCCACTCGACAGGGCCAGTTCACAGCCACGAGTACAATACAACTAGTAATACTGGCATGTATCGTTAGCGTAGTTCTTATGACGGGACAGAGCAGTTGTTGTTGTTGTTGTTGTTATTTTTAACGTCTACTTCCGCCTCCCGTAGGGTATGAGACGTGCCACAGCGGTAGATCTAGTGTACAGAGATAAGGGCAATGGCCTGTGTGTCTCTATCCGTCCACCACACCAGTAATCCGAGGGCAAACCGAGGCCTATAGCCAGTGTATCTCACGTGCTGCCCATAGCGTAAACGCGGCCCAGCACCTCCATCAATCGCCCAGTGGACGAGCCAGCAATGTAGCGAAGTCCGTAAAGACAAAGAAAAGACAAAAGAAAAGGGAAAACTAAAAACACTCTACTCCTCACCGCTCTCTCCCTCGCTGTCGTCCCTCACGGCTTCCTCCCGCCGTCTAACCCGATGGACCAGCCTGTCCAAATCCGCCGTAACCCTCTCGATCTCATGGCCTTGGCCAACTTCTATACCTTCGTCCCGTAGGAACCTGGTAAGGTTGTCAGCAGTGCCTCCGTCGTCAATGTGTTGTTTCCAGAGTGTGTGGCGCCAAGCCTTCCTTGTGTAAGTCCACGAAAAGAAGTGGGAGGTCTGTATTCTAGCAATAAATTGTTGCCAGTAAATACCGATAGCAAGGGAGAGATTCTTCCGCGTAGCTGCCTCGCCTGTGACCGGGGAGACCGCGTACGCCTTCCTACAGAAGAAGGGTGGAAGGGGTTCTTCTAGCTTCCACAGAAGCATGTGAGCAAGGCGTCTTCGTGCTCGAAGCGCTCGTAGTAGTCCTTGAAATCCCCGTGGCCTGATCTAGCCGCCAGAAGATGGTGCAGGGAACGCCTGTCCAGCTCCAACTCCTCGTTAGGTTTAATAGAGACGCCTAGCCTATAGCCTGTATACGACTCTGGCTTGTTCTCTGCCCACCATGTCCAAACATTCTGCGTGATATTGCCATTGCGGTCCCTCCAGCGTTGCTGTTGAGATGTACGACGACCAGGGGGACTCCCAATACGATAGGAAGCGATAGGAAGCAATAGGGAGTAAACAATAAAGATTGGGGAGTAAACCAAGATTAATTCTTACAGGAAGAAAGATTGTGAAAGGCTAACTCGAGGTGGAGTTGTCCTCCAAGCCAGCCTCTTAGGATGCAAGGCTGAGTAGCTTAACAACCGCCCCATGCCCATTTATTGCCGCCATACGTAGCGCTGTCAGTCCATCCCTATCCTTAGGATCTGCGTTAACCTTGCCAGTATCGAGAAGCAGCTTAACAACCGCCTCATGCCCGCTCAGTGCCGCTATATGCAGCGCTGTCCCGTCAAACCAGTCCTTAGCACCTGCGTCAACCCTGCCAGTATAGAGAAGCAGCTTAACAACCGCCTCATTCCCATACTTCGCCGCCATATGCAGCGCTGTCCGTCCATCCTTATCCTTGGGATCTGCGTCAACCTTGCCAGTATCGAGAAGCAGCTTAACAACCGCCTCATGCCCATTCTTTGCTGCCATATACAGCATTGTCCTGTTACGATCCAATCAGAAATCCCTTACGTAAGCGAGATAGATTGACCAATAAGAAACAACCCGAACCTAGGGTCCCGGAGTCCCGAGAATACGGGACGTAACTCTTCCAGGGCAGGCTTGGCATTTCTCCTTCCCAGCCCAATTCCCTTTCTTCGCCTATCCAGACAATAGGATCTATGTTTTTCCCATGCGCTCGTCCTAAATTCCCACCTTATCTCCGGCAAGGCTGTGACTGAGTGTCGCGCGACTAACACCGCCAATAACGATGCTTCGAATTATGCGCGGTTGGCTCCTGTTCTCCACGCGCCAACGCAGACAAAATGCGCAGCGTGCGGGGTTGGTAATTCAGGCAAAGGCAGCGCCTTGAAACAAAGACAACAACAGTAACCACCTTCCATTTTTCTATATCATATAATGTGGCACGTGGTACTCACATGCCCTACTGCAGACTGCTCTCTTAGTGCCGCCTACACTTTTGCCAGCCAGTTTCGGTCCTCAGAACCTCCACTAATTCGACAGACATCGATCACCACATCTTCTGTCCTATTTCTAAATGCCTGTGCAATATATAATCAACATAAAAAGTTAAGAAGCAGCAAAAAGCATCGTTAACCTTATTCCCAGGAACATGTACATCCCGTTTGTCTTGCTGCTGTTCAGTAGTTCCCAAGATGGTGGTGCGCCGAAGTCATGTCTTGAGGATGGCTTAAGAGTCGTGCTTGACACTGACAGTCCTTCTGCCAGTTGACGAGTTACCTAATACTGCATGTTATTCTTGAGGTAACCACCTACCTCTCATTGTGCAAGTCGTGGCGCAAAGCCTGCATTCTTCGAGTGTACTCTGACTTCAAACCGGTAGATTGATCTCCTTTGGTGATGTGTCTTAGAGGTATGACTCCTTCGGGATGATGAGCGATACCTTTGGGGTCTCCGTAACCATCTCCGAGAGGCAAAAGAGATTGTGGAACTAATGCTGTATGCACCCCGTGCGATACTCTTTTGCGCGGGCACATGAGTGTTGGTAATGCTGCGGACATATAAAATGCAAGTCCTCGCTGCATGCCTATTTCGAGGCCCGTACCTGCATACCTTATCTTTTACCTTTTTTGCCTCTCCGGCTTCCGATGATGCCTTCTTTTATTCCTGCGAGTGTGAGTCTTGGGGCCGCGGAGCACTGACCTCACCTTCTGGTTGATATATATATTTGCAACTGAAGTGTTCTTTCCTTCTCTTCCACTTTTCGAAAATCTCCTTCCGGTAGCAAGTCTCGACCAACAACTTCTACACTCACCGAACTTCAACTACGTACGGTACTTTACCCACGAATCATTCGTCATGTTCTGCGGTCTACCCAAAGTAACCCGGTCCCGACTTGGGAACAACACCAACACCAAGGAGGAACGGGAGAGGAACAAACTATAGAAGAAACAGAAGAAGGTACAACCAACCTCGAATGACCAGTGGAAGCGCCAGGGCGAAACCCCCGAGTGTAGTACAACCACGGAAATTGTCAGCAACCAGACCCCGCCAACAACTTCCATGAATACCAGGATAAGGAACAAAGGTATGCGGGCTGAATTCTGCTTGCCATTGACCGGCGTCAAAGGCACTTGGCTTCTTACCTGCATCGTTCGTCTCGCTCGGCGGACGAGTTGCGCCACTGACCGACTCGTTGGAAGACGTATACGTGTTTTTGAGGGGCGATTGGCGGCCTCGGGGGACTGAGCGTGCTCGTTGCTTTGCGCGCGAAAAGGCGTCAGCTCCGGGAATGGTGGTCGATCCACCGGCGTTAAACTGAAATCCTGCACCAACCTTTTCCTGGTCCACAAAGCTGGCGTTGATATCCTGAACGCCACTCCGGGTAAAGTCGGCTGATGCCTGTTGCTTCTGGGTGTATCCATCGTCGTCGGGGACGGTGAAACTATGGGGGTATACGCTGTTAGTCGCTCGCTGCTTCTGGACCCTGTTGTATACGTTGGTCTTCCTGGGCGAGAGGGGGTTGTCGGTCGGCTTTATATGCTGTCTCCGTGAATGCATCTTACGCCTTCCCAGGAGAAGCTGCAGATGGTCGTGCATATCCTTCTCAAAGGAAGACATGTCCCCGGAGGTCGACTGATCTCCACTCGGAGTTTTCCTGCCATGAGACTCCCGGTTATTTGCCGTATCTTCATGAGCTCTTCCGCGGTAACTTCCCGCGCCGGCATGACTGAACACATGCGGCGGTCGAATCTTGCTGGGTTGACCGAAAGAGGATGTTGACTTGAAGTATTCATCGGGTTTAAAGAAAGGAGATGGAGCGTACACTTTGGGGCCATCCTGCGCTGATTCCGAGGTTCCGGCTTGAGCTGTGAGGACGTTAGACGCTGCATCTTACAATAAAGACAAAGCTGACATACCGTTCGGGTTGCTCCTCATAGATGAGGTGGACGCACGCGGCGTCGGGTTGGCTGCTGTATTGGGTGCTGACCTGGGTTCAGCTTCCTGGGCATAATAACGCGCGCTGGCTCGCGGCTCAGCTTTCGAGGTTCCAGAGGATGTGGTCCCGCCGTTGGCCGCCTTCCCGAAGCTGTTGGACTCACCGACACTAGCGCTGCGTTGTCGCGACGGGCGCGGACGGGGCACCTCTTCCTCGGATTCCTGGGCGGGCCGGGATGGGTCTTTCATGGACTTTGCTCTGTTGACGTTGGCACCTTCAAACGGGTTGAACTTTTCGCCGATATGCGAGGCATAGGGGGTCCGTTGTCTGCTGTCCAAGTATGTCTCACTGAACTGCTCGCTCAAAGGGTCAACCGGAGTGGGGGTCGATTGCGGCCGTGATTTCCTGATGTTAGCGGCGGTATCCTCAAACATGGTGGTCGTAGCCGTGTGGTGGGCGCTGGAAGTGTAGTTGTGCCTCGACACAGGTGGTTCGTCGCCCACTGGGGAATCCGGTGAATAGCCAGCCCGTCTGGCGGTACCAAAGGCAGCGTCCGCACGACGAGCTTGCCCCGCGGTCCGTGGTGGTACTGGAGGCGGCTCCCTCCTGGCACTTTCGGTCCGTTCGGTCCATTCGGTTCGTGCTGACGCATAACCTGACGACTTGGGCGTCGACGAAGATGTCTGGCCTGTCTTGGTACTTGATCGCATAGCATCCCATGCGCGCAAGTTGTCGGCAGCAGATGCCGTCTTTGGTGGGACTGGACGTGAAGATGAGGAGGACGAGGGTGTCCCCCATGCCGAATAGCGTGCGTGTGCTGACGGACCCGGGTCGGCACGAGACGGCATATGAGGGGTTCGTCGCGTTGGAGGAGCGCCATATCTGTCTGCCATTTCGGCGGAGACGTTGGAGTAGGGGTTTCCGCGGTGGCCAGCAGCTGTTGGATACCTGCTCGTAGAAGCTCCTCCTCGTTTCCGATAGGCATCGTACTTGGCCTTAATGGACAGGTCGCTAAGGACCTCATGTGCGGCTTGGATGTGGATGAACCTATCCTTGGCTTCCTCCTCTTTTCCTCGGTTGCGATCCGGGTGGTATTTGAGGGCAAGCTTCTTGAACTGCTTCTTCACCTCAGCGGTATCCGCCGTTGAAGGCAGCTCAAGGTCCGCATAGTAGTCGCGGTCATAGTCCACCTTTACTACCATGTTGACGGTGTTGTGATGTTAACCGAAGGTACAGAAAATCCTTGCATACCACTGCGTAGGGTAGTATATCGTGTCGAAAGACCAGCTGTGAAGAGCGATGTAGCGAGCAGAGATGATGCAAAAATCGATCGAAAGCGGGAGGGAAAGTGGTCGATTGCGAGCGAACAAGGGTGCCTATAGTAGAAAGGGTTCGTTTGGAATGTTTTCTTTGCTAGCGAAAGGCAATGAATGTCTGATGTTGTTGCTCTGGCGCAGGGAGAGAACCCAAGGTGGTGGTGAATGGAGGAGGTCGCGTGTTCAGAAGTGTCGGTTGTCGGGCACGAATGATAAGTCGGGTGGGTGAAATCTCGGCGCGATCAACGAGCGAATGCGCGGTCGAGCTTTGTTGTCTGGAGGAGAAGAAGAACTTGTTAGGCTGACGGTTTGTTCCAGGCTGTTCAACTGGTCAAAGTTCAGGGCTGCGTCACTGGCCAGGGCTTGGATGGGCTGGTCAGGATGAGTGCGGGGCAGGCAGGGCAGGACAGAGCAGGGGGCATGTTTACCAGTGGAGGTGAGTCTTCCCGTCTGTCGAAGCGTGACGGATGCAGCTGCAGCGTAGAAGGGGAGGATGTAGACAGACGCAAAGGGCAAGACGCGGCTGTTCTTGTTGACCCGTGTGTTGGTGGGATAGTCTTGCAAAAGTTGGTGGTGACAGTTGTTGCTTGTGGAAGAAATAACCTAACTTGGATGGAAGGGTGACTCTGTTTTAGCCGCTGGCTCAGTCCGATAAGCTTGTGATAAGCACGCGGGCCTGAACCTCAGCTTGAGCGAGTCTGGTACAGGTTAGGGGGGTGATTATGGAGGCAGCCAACCGCAAACAACGGCAGTAAACACAAGGACTTGCCGAATGCAATTGATACTCCAACAGCTTGCAGAAAGCAGAGCCAGTAGAATAGGGCTGCAGTGCAGTGCAGTACTGTAACCCAGACCGTTTTTGGAGTTTTACAGACCTCTGTCTATACGGGATTCAAATTGACGAGGGAAACCCAACTCCGTCGTGCTTTACCGTGTAGGTCTTGTGATTGTAATTGCAACTTGTTGTCCAGCTGGTGGTGATCAAAACACAAGAGTGGAGCTTTCCCCCGCCACTTGGCGGCAGCTCCCTACACTTTTCAACATGGCCCTGTGCCTGAAGGAAAAAAGAGACCAGCAGACCCGATAGGTTTAGGTGGGTCATTCCCAACCTCGAAGCGATGGAACCCTCTGCCTTATGACGTACTATTCCCTATCTTCTATTTAGTTGTCTCTATATACGCTACGGCCTTATTGAAAATGTAAAAAGAAAGAAACATTATTACGATAGTTCGTAATAATTGAATAAAGAACGAAGTTGTGTTTATTTACTTCCACTTCCACGAACTCAACCGCACTCTAGCGCGATTTCGGTGAAGCAGGGGGTTCTTTGGTCTCAATGTTGGTCGGGTGGCAAGACTTGGACACCTCCAGGCCCTCTTCACCACAGCAACCGCCGTGATGACCGCGGCCGGACCTGCTTTAGCCAGGGGAAATACTTGCGAGACGCTGTCTCTATAGTCCTTTTCCCTCCTTACCTAGTTTATATCAAACAAGCAAAACTTCTTCCCTGGTCGACCTTTCTATCCAACTTGGCACCAAAAGATAACCCAAGCCAACCCTGCGATATGCATTCGGTGAGCCGTCCTCTGTTGAGCTGACGATCAACGACAGCCACTTGTATCTCTCCTCTGATCCGTTCTTTTCCGCTGCCCTCTTTCGCGCGTTATTGAACTTGCGTTCATATGTCATCATCACATTCGTCGTTGTGACTCGCCAAAGCGGAAGGAAATACAGAGGCCCTGGAGCAACGCCGCCATCGTCAAAAAAGCACCATCCCATAAAGCTGCCCTTGTCCATGGAGTTTGCAATTGTGACGGGCTGGCCGTTGGCGTAATCCAACGTTGTATCATCAGCTGGGCACGTGTCTTGGCCACGGAGACGACCGCACCACTTCCAGCAACGATCGATGTACTCCCTTTGCAGACGACTAAGCGCATGCCACCTCTCGCTGACGCTTTCATCACGAATCCTTCGATACTCGTTCCCATTGACACAAAGGTCACAATCATGTCTGGCAGCTCCCGCCCTGAAAGGGATGAGCATGGCTTCCAACAAGAGGGCACCCGGCGGCGTCATAGCCTGGCTCTCCTCCTCGGTAAAAGGAGCAATCAGCCTGCAAGCGCTGTTATCCGCATCATCCCCCACCCACGTCCCATCATTAAGCCCATCCATTCCATGCAGCGATCCCGGCTCATGCGAGCTCCTGCCTAGGTCAAACTCGACAGCTCCCGTCGTGGACGCCCACGACCAAGTGGGATATGGGCTCCCGGGAATGTCTCGACACACTCGCCCGTTGCGCGGGAACCAGCACAGAAACGCCGGGAAAAGATTCAGCCAGACCCCGTTGGAGTACGACCCATACCTCCATCGCTTCTTCCTGCAAAACGCCGCCGCGATCCCCTGCAGCGCAGCCAGCTTGTCAGACTTGTACGTCAGATTCCGCGACGTGTACTCCTGCACCACGTCGACCCAGCCCGTGAGCTCGCGCGGGTTGGCGGGCGAGATGTCGTACCCGACCTCGGTCTTGGCCCGGCGCTGCAGCCGGCTGCCGACGCCGCCGCCGTACTGGTCCCAGGGCAACGAGGGGCAGCGGCAGGCGATGCCGAAGGCGGTGAAGGAGACGAGACGGCGCGAGAGCATGGATTCTTGGAGGGTCCAGCAGCGGGAGTTGAGGGGCGCGTGCGAGCGATCGATACCCTTGACGATATCATGTCTGATGGTGTTGTCCAAGAGGATCAAGGAACTTTTGGTGCATGTGCTATCTCCTTCTTTTGCTTCTCTTCCCTCCTCCCCGTCCGCGTGGAAGGGCAACTGGACCATTTGCTTGGAGAGCTCGGCCATCCTTCGCACGTGGAAAAGTCCTTGAGAAGAGTCCTCTGCTGCATCGGCGCAGATTGTAAACAGCGCCTGCTCGTAAATGCAGTGCATAATGGCACCCGCCTTCTTCCAATCCTCCTTGTCGTCTTGAACGATGCATAGGGAGTCAATCCAGAGGTAAGAAACGCCCAGAAGGGCGCAGACCATGGTTGCATCCTGGAACGTCGGTGGTAGAGAAGTGAAGGGGATCTCGCGCTTGTGCTTCTTTAGATTGGCCTTGATCGTGCAAAGTGGTCTTTTCTCTGGGGGTCCCCAGCAGTGGCTCAGGGCAACGTACTGGTCCACGTATAACCTTCCTTCAAGGGTGGTTTCGACGAGTTTGATCGTCGGTGGTGGACTATTATCGGTTAATGTGTTTCTTGCCAGTGTTATCTTGAGAAGTCTGGTGGGCGGATGGGCTCGTTCAGGGGATGCAGAGGTAATAATATCTCTTGCCTCCCTACAAGCCTTCTTCCTCTGGGGACTGATTTTGTTTTGCCTTCTTGCCCCACCGCAGCAGGGCGAGATCAAAGCAGTCGGCGGCCCCCACCAGTCTTCTTCGTCACTCTTGGCTAGTAGGGTATCCGTAACGGTCTCTGCCTTGTTGAGAGTATCTCCGGCATATGCCTTCGCACACTCTGCATGCTTTTCCAGACAGTCTCGGAGCCATCCTTGGATAAAAGGAGCTGCGATAGGTGCAGTCACATTGATTTTCCGTGCGAACGCCTCTACCATCGGTATGTACTCATGTCCGAAAATCCCGGACTTTTCTGCCGGACTGCCTGTAGATTTTAAGCGCGTATTGTAGACATTATGTAGAGAGGTCAGCGTACCTTGCATTGTGCCAATCTGTATCGTGCCATCGTTGACTGTCGTCCATGCTTTGAATCTGAAGCCACGCTTGGTATTCGGATCGAAAGCGCCCAAGGTCACGCAGATATACTGCGCCTGACCAGCCTCGCCCTCAGCGAAGAGGCCAATGTAGTGATGAGAGTCATTGCATTCCTCTACTGACTGAATCTTGGGATCCACGACGACGCTGTATTATGGTTGGTAAGTTGTGTCAGTCAGTCGTAAAAGGTGCAGGGCTGTGATTAGAGTATGGAGACATATCAAGACTAAGAGAGCTTTCCAGGCCTGGCTTTTGTGAGACACTTACGCATTGCAGGTCAGATTCCTGTAGACCATTTCACACAAAGAGCAAGAATCTTTCTGTCGGCTTAGTCCCGCCATCGTGCATCGCCGCCATAGTTGAGATTCTTTGGGCATCACCATAGATGAGTAGTCGACCAATGAAGGGTCGTCCGGGGAACAACGTGGCAGGTCCTGAACTCTCAGCTGCTGACATGATTGACACAGTTGACTCATTGTAGAGCACCTGTCTCTACGACTCGAGCAGTGAGCGGGCTGACGATGGATATCAAAAAGGTTTAGCTCAATGCCAGAAGCTTTCAAGAGAGCCCAACTTGATGTTTAAGGGGAAGCCACTTACGCACAGGCCACGTTATTCTCCCCATTGAGCTTGTTGTAAATCGCCCCCGTTCTTCCTATTGGATGTCTGGTACCGGAATGGCTGGATTTCTGGTATCTGACAGCCTAGCCCAAATTAGCTAGTCTGTCATAGAGGTTGCCAGCCAGGTTCCAAACTGGGCTCCAAACTGGGCCTTAAGCTCTGCGTTAAACCGCCGGACCTGCTTTAGCCAGGGGAAATACTTGCGAGATTATCCACACCTTTTGTCTTGATGTTGATCCCCCAGATTCTGGTTGTTGCCGCGGGCCATCACAAGTGCAGCCTCTAGCCCTCCATGCCGTGCCCTTGGGACCTTGGCCACACACCACTGATGGAGAGGTCACGCTTCAGCCGAGACTCGGAGAGGCCCAGCCTCAACTGACAGCCGCCTGTGACTGCGTTGTTGTCTCGTGGCTCCGTTATTCCCATAGACCGTACTTTATCCAGCCCGTCTATAATGACGAGGCACTTACATTATAGTCCCTCTTCTGAGGAGAAACTAAAACTTTGCGGACACTGTTGTGAGCATTTTACCACTGGCGTTCGGAACCGTCACCGTTACCTTGGGCAGACCTTCCGAAGAGACGTGTTTTTTTTTTATCGCTGTCCCTTTATAGGACATAGTTTTGCGCATAAGTAATCATCACATACGGCCATAAATGGTGGAAAACTCGGGATCCCGTCCGCTCTCCCATAGATAAGCCACCTGCCACCGGGCATCTCGAGGCTAATGCCAGGCGTTGAGGCTCTGCTGAGCCTTGCGACCCTGACCCTGGACTGTGGGCGATGTCCGTGTGACATCACAAGAGAAAGGAATTGAGAAAGACATGGAATACATTATATGTCTTGCGAGAAACCAATAAACCAAACCAGTCCTGATACGCTGCCGATGGATATCATCCGTCCCTGGAGGTCATAACTAGACGGTCGGTAATTCGGTGGCAGCCAGAGTACGTTCTGGCCGTTGCCAGTAATCCAAGACCTATCCTGTCCCAAGCCATAGCTATGGCTCTTTAGATTATCTAGTACAACTTGGCTTTCGGTAGTTTCTGTATCTATTTTGATACGTCCAACGTTGGTACGTAGGTAGCGATTAGTATCGTCAAATGATAAATGGGTCTTTGTAGTACGAGTATTAATCGTTTGGAGGCAGTTCCCCGATATCGGATCCCAGATCTTGATCGTGTCATTCCACGAACCGGACGCAAGCCGCTGGCCATCAGGCGAGAATGCCACTGAGAAAACGGGGCCGCTATGGCCTTCTAGGGTCTGGAGGCAGCTCCCCGACGCCGGATTCCAGATATTGATCGTTTGGTCCAACGAACCGGACTGCTCCTCGTCCTGCTCCTCATCCTGCTCCTCATCCTGCTCCTCGTCCTCCTCCTCGTCCTGCTCTTCGTTTTCTTCATAGTCCCTCCCTTTAGTATCGTTATTGCCGACAGCATTGCTAATATTTCGAGACTGACCAAAATTCTGCCTTTTGCTGTGTAGTAGAAGGGTGAAGTTTGATTTCCGTTTCTTGGTGGGGGGCCCATGGGAAAGCTTTTTGAGGTTGCCATGGGACAGACCGTAGAACCCGTCTTCTGGACAAACAACCCATCCACGTGGAATTGCTTCTTCACTAAGCAAAGTGAAATTGGTTGCTATAGCAAGAGACGGGGTTTGATTGATAACTGCGTGATATTGGCGTGGTCGTGTTATAACTAGGTCGCCGGGGCCAGCGCGAATAATATCGAACTTGATTCCTTCTTCGAGTAGCCCCGACGATCTGCAGCCAGAAAGTCCTTTTTGGATTGCGGATGAGACAGGTGAACGGGGTTAGTATGATCCATTGAGGCTGGTGCTGAATTCAGGTCTCTTGGATGTCGTGTATATAGCTTCGTTTCCAAAATGTCAAAGAATCTGTCGACTATAGGTACGTGATCGGGATTGAATTCGGGTCCAAAAGTCGGAAGAGGAGAACGAATGTACGTAGAGTGGTGTGATGTCCGTTCCTATGAGGGTCTTGAAGAGTTGACAACTGGCATGTCCAAGTCTGATGATGCAAGGATAGGATATGAATACGAGAATAAGGCAACCGAAAATCGGGGGATGTCCTGAACTTTTATCTTGGAACACAATCCATGAAGAAACTCTCTTCACCTATCACTCCATATTAGATGAAGTACGACGTCTTCGACTATGGTGGATTGGCATCTAAAAAGCCCTTTCGGTTATCCATACCGTGCCACGGCTATCATCTGCGGTGGTTGTCATGCAGACGCTCGCAGATATTGGATGGTTGCGCTATTAGGAGAGACATGAAGAACAAGTTGCATTGGCGTCGACACAATTTGGGATATGGATCTGACGACAAGCATCCTGCTGCCTTGTCTGGGTGATCTGGGTTTCTCTCTCCTTTCTTTTCATTCGGAAGACACCTTCTCCGGCGACTTACTATCCTTGACAATCACCCGTAACCATCTCGGGGAAGGCTCTCGATTTGGAGGATGTGACGAACCGTTACAAGCACAGGAGTATATCGCTGGGAAATAAGAATAACGGTAGTAGTAGCCAAAAGGTACTGGTCGATTGTATCAGTTGGTTGCTTGCTGAAGAGCCAGTATCTAAAGAGGCCTGGGAAGGCCGTTTTTATATACCGGCCTTCATGGACCCGATATACTGGACCCGTGGACCCGAACTTTCGTCTCGGGTCCAACCTGATTGGTCTGTTGGTTCTATTTGGTTTAGCTTACATAAGTGATCCCTGATTGGATCGTAACAGAGGACTGATTGGCCTCAAACTGGTCTTCGTTTGTAATTACTGACAATGACTAGGGTTTATTACGCCACGAAAGCCTCTTTTCTGTCTCTCTCTGTCTATTCTTATGCCTCTATCCGTCTCCTTCGAGCTCCCAAAGACTGGAAGAGATAAAAGGGCAACCCCCTACGGCACCTGTCCGCTCAAAGCCTCCCGAACCTTACCCTTGCATCCTGCCTTCAACCCCCTATCTTTTTCCTCCCTCTTCCTCCCTCTTCCTCTAACTTGCTCTTCCTCTCTCTATCTTCCCTCATCTATTTTCATGGCACCTCGTCAGCTGGCCTGTATGTATAAACTGCGGAATCAAATTAGTCAACTGGATTCAATCCCAACCAGGTACCGCAGCCTATTGGAGCATCGTCTGGTTATTTCGTGTAGTGAATTCAAGCGCCAGGACACGAGAGACTGACAGCCTCGCAAAGTCATTCGGCGTTGGTCCCGACTACTCCTTCTCCTCATTTTTACTGCCAATGCTCGCCAAAGCCAGACAATGGCGGCTATCAAAAGCTTATTTCACTGCCTCAGAAAGGCGCAACACATTCTCTTCTCTCTCGTTGGATTTGGCGACGTCCTTTACATCAAGCCTGATGTCAGCGTGCCACATCAACTTTTCGTCTTTCAAGGATCAAATGCAGCTTTGATGCTGCAATGGAGGACATGCCAAAAAGGCAACCAGAGGGTTCACTTCGGGTAGCGTTTGTTTTGATATCAAGGCTTCCAGCCTCGCTTCGAGCCAAGCCCCATGCAAGTATGCCAGGGGGCGGGGGTGCTGACACGGGCCCCCACCCAGGCTTAAAGCCATCCCACCATACCGTCCGTCCACTCAACCCCCAGCATATGGGGGTAGCGACGGTGAGGTGCTTGGCTTGAAGCCATGCTTGAAGTAGTTGTGATACGCGTGGTGGCCTCTGGGCTTCGCGTGCAGTATTAGTGTTCCTTGACATTGCTAGAGTATAACAGACGACAGGCTTGATCGGCCTAGTTCCTCAGGCATGCATTGGCGTCCTGTCGCTTGCACTCTTTTGATGTAAGAAGACGCATCGGACGCACAAGTATGAATTGGTTGTATTTCACACGTTGAACTTGTGAGCCATGGATGGGTACCTCATTCAAAGACTGATTTACGATTTTCCGCATCCGAAAGTGTCAGCGGGAGCATCGTGTCATCTCGTTCCTCTGTTGACGACAGCAGCATCTTCAACCGCACCTCAACTCGCAATGGCGCCAGATCTCGCTCTCCACAAGCGTGCTCTGATCCAAAGCATAATCGACTGTAAACTAAAGTTGACAAGGATCCAAAAGATGACGACTCAGCAGAAATAGTCGGCTGTACTGCCCGCGCGATCCCCGTATCCGATTAAACCTGCTTCACTTCGGAACTATAACAATACTACCAAACGGCAATCCCGCTTTGTTGGGGCGGCCTCGCGCACAAATAGGTTGACTCGGGGATTCGCGATATTGTGATGTTGGGGCTCGTACCCACTGGACTAGTCATTTGAGGAGTCGTCTAAATCTATTCCCCAAGCAGAGTGAAGGCAGATAGTGCGCGAGTGGCGATGTCTGTTCTTCGCGAAAGATGAGTCACCGAGGAAACGTGTTCTCTTCGGTATTGATCGCTTGTCAACCCTCCTGACCGCCAGCACACATTCCATTCATCGCCACAGCATGTTCGCCCGCCGGGGTATTGCACATCTGACTTCGGGAAGAGAATTGAATCTGACAATCCTGCCTGCTCGAAGCAGAGTACGTAAGTGACTTAACACCGATGGGAACCATTAGAATTTCTCCTATAAAATAACCTATCCTCCCTGACCCTTCTGGTGTCAAGCTAGGAAAAAGAAATGTAAAGGGTGAAAGAAAGAAATTTCAAGGATATTAACGTCAAACCAATCGTGAAAAGCTAATAGTGAAAACTCGTCCCGACGAACAGCCGACGGATACCATCAGCTCTTGGACGGCGGAACAGCTTGGGCGGTATTCTGGTGGTAACCAGAGTACATTTTTGCCATTGCAGGTAATCCACGACTCATCCCGTCCTACGCCATATCCTTGCGCTACTAGATCATTTAGCCGAATTGCGTTTTCCGTAGTAGCTGTAGCTACTTCGATGCGCCCAGCATCGGTCATAAGGTAACGGCCCGTAGGATCAAACAATGCATGCGCTACTGGTATACCGACATCAATAGTTACAAAGCATTGCCCTGACGCGGGATCCCAGATTTTGATTGTGTTATCGTAAGAGCCCGATGCGAGGCGCTGGCCGTCCGGCGAGAATGCAACCGACTCAACCCAGTTACTATAGCCTTCTAATGTCTGTAGGCATTGCCCTGATGCGGAATCCCAGATTTTGATTGTGTTATCGTATGAGCCCGATGCGAGACGCTGGCCGTCCAGCGAGAACGCAACCGACCGAACCGAGCTACCATGGCCTTCTAATGTCTGTAGGCATTGCCCTGACGCGGGATCCCAGATCTTGATCGTGTCATCATAAGAGCCCGATGCGAGGCGCTGGCCGTCCGGCGAGAATGCAACCGACCGAACCGAGCTACCATGGCCTTCTAATACCTGTAGGCATTGCCCTGACGCGGGATCCCAGATCTTGATCGTGTTGTCGTAAGAGCCCGATGCGAGGCGGTGGCCGTCCGGCGAGAACGCAACCGACCGAACCGAGCTACCATGGCCTTCTAATGTCTGTAGGCATTGCCCTGACGCGGGATCCCAGATCTTGATCGTGTCATCATAAGAGCCCGATGCGAGGCGCTGGCCGTCCGGCGAGAATGCAACCGACCGAACCGAGCTACCATGGCCTTCTAATGTCTGTAGGCATTGCCCTGACGCGGGATCCCAGATCTTGATCGTATGATCGCTAGAGCCCGATGCGAGGCGGTGGCCGTCCGGCGAGAACGCAACCGACCGAACCCAGTCACCATGACCTTCTAATGTCTGCAGGCATGCATTCCATTCCATTTCTACAACTGGTTTCGTGCTAATCCAGTCCGGCTGCTCCGTCTTAAAATTTTGTTTTACTAAACTGCCTGTTGGTGCAAACACAAGGGCTGACGTGTACGCTTGAAGAGGGGCTTGCTCTATTATCGAACTGTAGGACAGAGCAAACCGGTAGGCATCTTGTACAAAGGCTGGTAACTGCCCTAGATCGCTATGGCCCTATTGTCTCTGTTAGTCCAACTTTCCTGTATTTTCTGTTTTTGTACTTACTAGCAGACCCTCGAGCTGTCTTATGGCGATGATACCCTCCGACATGGCTCGGAGTAGGCTGAGAGCTTCAAGCCAGTAAAGGTACTTCTTCGCGAGGAATCCATGGACGGCCTCACCGTCGTGTAGGAAAGCGTCCCGGTTCCCATTGGTGCCAGAAACAAATTCAGAAAGGTGGCTGACCCAATAAACGCATGAGTACCGCACTGTGGCCAGTGGGTCTGAAGGTGGCTTTCGAACCTCGTGGATTGGGAATCCGGGTGCCTCTAAGCCATACATGTCGCGTCGCAAGACCGTAGACATCGCATTGAGCGACTTTGAGAATATGATGTGGTCTACATCTTGTGTTCCCAAGGGGAAGACCCAGTTGAAAGCGTTGCGGGAGACTTGGTGCGCGGCCTTGCCCAATAGAAAGTCCTTGGCGGATTGGTGGACGAAATAAACAGTCTGGTCTCGTAGAGTCAAAAACGAGCCGCAAAGCCCTATAAGCTCTTCCAGGGACTGCGGATCATCTGAGATATCGTCTGACATCTCGACGAGAGTGGTCAGTTCTTGAAGGCTGATGGGTCGGCGAACAATAGAGGAGACGGCAAGAATTTGCCTGCACAGATCCGCATAATCGGACTGAATAATCTGCTCCATCATCCGCGCATACAGGGAATCCAACCCGGGGGGGAATGCCCGTAACTTTGTTAGTGTCTGCCACCTCCGAACGCTTGGGTCCGCAAGTACTTGGCAGACCAAGGCCACCCAGAGAAAAGTCCCATTCGCGTTAGAGGAGAGATAGTCATGTACAACCGTCTGCATTGCGCTGTCGTACTGTTTCCGCCGCGACAAGTGAAGGACTTTGTGGCGGATATATGCACTGACGGCAGTGGTGACGGATTCGGCGTTTAGCTCGAGGCTGAGTCTGGACTGCTGCGCGACCATTGCCAACTGTTCTTCGATCTGCACCCAGTTGCGACTAGATACAAGCCACTTGACACGAGCAGACACAGATGATATCTGGACGATCAATTTGAGAAGCTGCGGTTGGTCTGTCACACATTCGTCCAGAGCATCAATCACCAGATAAGTGACCTTCAAATTCGGGTCTTCTAACATCTCGCATAAAACCTTATGACAGGACGATCCATGCCATTGCGTCATCGGAGGGGTATGTGTTCTCCGGTAGATGTGAGAGCAGGCGTGGTTGCCGGTGGGCAAGTAGATAGATTAAGCCTCGTAGCACGGCAGTTGCGTTATTGATGCGCGAGTCGGCAGCTTGGCAGAAGAAATACGCCAAGTTGCCGCCGTCAGCGATAACACGTCGCTCTAGCTCGTCGATGATACCGCATAGCAACATAGTCTTGCCTTTGCCTGGATCTCCCTTAATCCAGAGCAGGCGACTCTCCCGCAGCTGGCGCCATCGGTTGAAGTCGGGGTTGTCGAAGACCCAGCGGTAAGCATCAGCCAGCAGACCACCCTTCGCCAGCTCAATCCGCTCCTTTTCGACGTGCGGGTCGCGCGGGTCTGTGGGCCACAATTTTGCTAGATAGAGGTAATCCTCGTGAACCTTGTCCTGCAGCCGCTTCAATGCTTTCTGCCTTCCTTCGCCGTAGAGAACCGGCATGTGCACATCGAAGATGCCGAATAGAGAGTACACCTTGTCTTCCTCGTATTTTGTGTCACGCTTCTCGATCCATCGCATCCGTTCAGCGACGCTAAAATCAGATAGAGGGACACCTTGGAAGGCTTTTCGCGGAATTCCGGTTATATCGTGGATTTCTTGTTCCAGAGATTCCTTATCTCCCAGGCGCTCGCCCTCTTTAGAGATGAATTCGACGATCGTTGGGGCAATGAGCTCTTGGAGGGTCCATCCTCGGGAAAACCATCTACTCTCTCGAAAGGCCGGTTGCCAACCGGAGCCGTCGCCGTGCTGATGGGTTGAGACGTCTGCTAGGTACACGTAACATTTCACCGCGCTGCGGTACCAATGGAACATGGAGTTGAGAGCGTGCTGAAGCTCGGCGCTGTCAGACTTGTCGATGCAGCATGTGTCGACCCAGAAGAATTTCAACCCATCGCGCCAGGCTTGGTCTCCGCAAAAACGAATCTTGGCGTAGCTTGCTTTGTTCTTGCCTGTACCGTCCGTCATATCTCTGAAGAGGACCTCTTCGGGACCCCATGTGTGTGAAAGTATCGCATACGGTGGAATCTTGTTGCTGGGGAGGTCCTCCGTCAGACGGACCCCGCCGGTATCGTCACGCTCTAGGAGTCGCATTGTAGAGTCCGTCAGGCTCAGCTCCCTCGGCAGCTAATCATACAAATGTTCGATGGTGGGAAAAGGCTCGCAGGCTTCGCGAGCGGACGGCTTATGTTCGCGGGACTGTAGGTATAGTAAATTAGTAATTGAAACTGGGGGAGTTGCTCGATAGACGAGAACTATTTACTATAAGTAAATGACAAAATTCGTAGCGTATATCTTGGGGGGTTTGATTGGGAGCCTTAAAGGTGGTTGCTGTTATTGTCTTTATTTCAAGGCGCTGCCTTTGCCTGGATCACCAACCCCGCACGCTGCGCATTTTGTCTGCGTTGGCGCGTGGAGAACAGGAGCCAACCGCGCATAATTCGAAGCATCGTCATTGGCGGTGTTAGTCGCGCGATACTCAGTCACAGTCTTGCCGGAGGTAAGGTGGGAATTTAGGACGAGCGTATGGGAAATACATAGATGCTATTGTCTGGATAGGCGAAGAAAGGGAATTGGGCTGGGAAGGAGAAATGCCAAGCCTGCCCTAGAAGAGTTATAGTACGAACTTGAGCAAAGGCCAGTTGGCGTCGTGCTGTACCTTTTAATGTTTCTTAAGTATAGCTGGTCCGTGCCCAAACCCTTTGAAAGAGTGCAGAGCGGACGCCAATTTCGCTCCTAGCTGTAACGAACTTGCTCAACTTGTCTATATCGTGCATGAGCTTCCTCCTCACTACAGTCGCATTCGAAATCGGCTTCCGGTTTTGTCGGGTTGCCCAAAATTCTCAGCGCACAGACCTTTATGGCTTGGCGCTGACACGGGACAATTGCGAAGTACTCGTCGCCGAGTAGGATATTTGCTGGGCCGAACCAAAGGCTGACAGTCATCAGTATTCTCGTACGTACCATGCATTACTACAGGACGCTGGCGGGAGAGGGCGATTCTCGACTGACGTTGAACGACAGTTGCAAACCTCACATCCAAATGATATACAGAACAGTACGTCCTACCAATTGCCATCCTCATCATTCACTTCCACTTGACGTCCATGTCCTCGCCGAGCACTACTAGTCCATCCTATCAGGTACCATCAACTCCTTTCCAAACAGCCCTCTTTCCCCTCTCCTTTACCACCCACTCCACCATCCATTCCACTACCAACCATCCCTCGTCAAACATCCTACACACACTTCTTCCCAGCCTCGCGCCGCAACATCCGCCCTCATGAAGCAATCGACGATCTCGAATCGCTTTACAAAGGCCCTTCGCCCTCTTTTATTGCCCGCGAATTCGACCTCTCCCGGCTACACTCCATTCGCCATCTGCTCTGGCTAGCCGGGCGTCCGGTACCGCCCCACCCTTTGCACCAACAAGTGCTTATGAATCGGGAGCCGATAGTAACTGAAAAGCTCGAGCAACACTTAGTATGGGGAGGAGGCAGGGTGTTTCTGAAACAGCTACAGCTTCTGGAGCACCCCATTACTCTGGAAATCAACGAAATCCTTTTGAGGAGCCTTCTACCCCTGAAAGAGCATAGAGAAGCGGAAGATATACTAAAGCACTGCATCAATCTTATGCAAAAAAAATTCAATCACCAGGTGGACAAGAGGTGCAGCTTCTTGAGACAGCTATTGGGAGTCAAGAGAGCACAAGGCAAGGGTGACGTGTTACGATCCAATCAGAGATCACCTATGTAAGCTAGATCAGATAGAACCAACAGACCAATCAGGTTGGACCCGAAGGGAGGACCCGAAGCTCCGGGTCCATGGCTCGGGTCCCCGGGGACCCGAGATGAATGTTCGGGTCCACGGGTCCAGTATATCGGGTCCATGAAGGCCGGTATATAAAGACGGCCTTCCCAGGCCTCTTTATATACTGGCTCTTCAGCAAGCAATAGCTTTCACAATCGATCAGTACCTTTTGGCTACTACTACCGTTATTCTTATTATCCCAGCGATATACTCCTGTGCTTGTAACGGTTCGTCACATGACGATGAAAAGTATTATGATTATCTAGACCAACTCGCCGAGCTTGAGGGCTGGGACACATCTGACTTAGATGAAGATGATTCATCCGAGGAACCGAATGCCGGCAGCAAACATTCCGTCGACGGAAGCCAAGCAGCCATCGAGGACGGACATTCAACAAAGACCCAGTCTGACTACACGATTGTCGGTAGTACTTCTGGACCTTCAGGACCAGGCGAGATGGCCCGAAAGATTGACACTAGTGATCTCGATCCAGTGCCTAATCGCATAGATATGGCTCGACAAGAAAACGAGCGCCGTCAAACGGAGGATCTTCAACGATTCTAGAAGCTGTTGGTGGATGACGATAACAACATGCGTGTACCTCTAACGAGAGCCTGCGACGATGAAGAGGCAGGATCAGTCGATGGTCTGAGTGGTACAAAAGCCCCCGATGGAGCCCAGGTTCAGACCGAGGCAGACGATGCATTGAGCCACACCCTACAAGAAGTGGATGAGCCACCAATGGACTTTTGGATCAACTCAGTCTGGAGCCAAATGGAGATTCCCGGTTACGGAGGTATATTCCAGGACGAGCCAGTCAATATGGAAGTCCGGTTCACTTTTGACTTAATGGAATCAGATGCCGCAAAAAGAAAACGGAGGGACACCAGAGGCTCGGTTGTTACGAGTGGGAGTACGTCCCAAGAGCAGCCAAGTCGAAAGGTCATGCGAACAGAATGACGGATACAATGCTTGGTCTTCACAGTGTCGACGACAGAAAGCATGAGCGATGATACACCATCTCGTGGCACCGTCCAGAACGACGGCATCCTTCGCGGGGGTTGGCAAATGAGAAGGGATCTGGTACAGCCGAGGCGGTCGAGAATAGCTTGAGAATACCTAGATGTTGTGGGGCTCGCGATATATCCTTGAAAAATCTGGGGAGATTCGTCAAAGCAACGGCGGGCAAGAGGACGTACAAGTTGCAGACTGGAGATTGGCTGGGGTGCTTACATTAAAGGGCGTGATGCGATGGACTGAAAGCTGAATATGTGGGCGCAACGTTCCTGAGTTATTCCGATTGGTTAGCATATTCTTTACTGTTGTGCTTCTTTTTCTTAGTTCTTGCCGTTGCTGTTCTTCTCTTTATCTTCTTTTTGCTCTTCTGTTTCCAATGTTCAGGCTTATCCTTATTTCGTACGTAGCACACCTCAAGTCATCTTTCGATTTCACGTCTACTGGAGGCATGGTTCCCTTCGCTCGGCCAGGAAAACTTTCATCTCGTACACTCCATGTCCTTATACGTAGAACACAATTACCGGGAGATTCGACCTTCTTTGTACGTTCGATCAGTGCCGAAGAGTTATACCACAACATATTCAAGACACTGCAGCAGAGCAGTGGACTTCGAAAAGATGTGAACAGGGAAAGAGAGCCAAGGGTACCATCTGCTCGACATATTGTATTTGGACTATGATGTCCTGACCAGAGAAAGAGTAGTGTCCCTGACCATGGGGAGGCTAATCAACGAGTCCTCTCAACATTTTAGTAGCAGAAGTACGAATACTTGAGGCATTTTACAGCTAAAAACAATCACATACGACCATACCCACCGGAAAACTCGGGATCCCGTCCGCTCTCCCATAGATAAGCCAGTGAGGGCCAGACTAGTAGTTGGGTCGGTGACGACCAGCGAATCCCTGGTGTTGTATGTCTTTTTTTTTTTTTTAATATTTAAATTTTTGGCCATTTCCCTCCCTCTTTGACAAAACGCTATTATTTGTTTCTTTCTTTTTCGAAGGCGCATTGAGTTTTCTCAAGTCTCCGCACAATTATTTGCGGCTTGGCTTTGTTGCCCTTTGCTCCCCAGGTGCTGCATATGAAGCGACCTTGGCGCCTACTGTGGGGAACAACTGCAAGGTCTGGCCTCCCGCAGCGGCTCCCTTCCTCGTTCACTTCAGCACTTCCCTCCTCAATCCGCCTGCTTATCTTTATACCACAGCACCTTCTTCGTCATTTATTTGCAAGTCATTTCCGTAGCCGCTCTTCTTTTCAGAGTTTGGAAGTCCAACGAAGGCATTCCGACCACATTCAACCGCCGGTGCCGTTCGTAGCAGCCCGTCTATTACACGGCCTCACCTCGCCGACGTCACCGATCCTCGACCCCTCACCAGGCCCGAACAATCATTCAACCACGCCACCCAAAATGGCCTCCAACACCGAGCTATCAGAAATTAAGCAACTCCTTTACTGTCTCGCTTCAGACCTCAAAGCCGTCCAATCCGACCTGGCAGAGCTCAAGTAAGACCCAGACTCAGACTTCAGAGGGCACCTCAACATGCTCCAGCTGCGCAGCTCGTAGCCCAAAGCCATCAAACGTCGAAAAAGTACTGAGCAACCCTGAGACCACGCTGGTTGCTAAGGTTCGTGATATTCAGTCTGCGGTCTTGCAACTTGTCGAGGAGGAGAAGGTTTTGATCCTTGCGGAGGTGGTCCAGCTCAGTCGCGCGGTGGGGAAAGCGCTGGAGGATGCGAAGGGAAAGATGATGGGGAAGGTTGCGGGAATAACGAATGGGAAGGAGCACGGTCGCAAGCGGAGCAGGCCCACAGAGAACATGGATGTGGATGATGATCTCGATGTTGCAGAGAAACGCGTGAAGCAAGACGAGCAGGGCGACACATATGAATACAAGTGGGGAGAGGAGGACGCGCTTACACAGCGGAGGCGGAACTGCACAGCTCTTGATGGATTTGTACTGGACAGTATGGGCAGAGCTTCTATGGCCTTCAATTGCGAACGAGTCGGATTACGAATGGGTTCTTTTGGCACTTATCACGTTCCATCAGAGAGCCCACGAGTGCTGCATCGAAGACTGGGACAAATTTCAAAGGGAGGGAAAGATCGGCTTTGAGTACTGCCTATATGGTCTCTTCTACCATGGGTATGAGCATGAAGGGGTCGCTAGAGGAGCATGTTCTTGTAGGGAACGTCATCCGCCCGGCGTGAGGCAGAGGGCTACCAGGTGTATCCGCGTCAAACGAAGCGAAGATGGTTCTGGAAAACTGAAGTTTTCTTGGGGGGCGGATGTTGGACCTGCCCCTGTCCTAGGCAAGTATGAGTGAGCCCAGCGGGCTTACTTACCGAAGGAACAAACATCCTATGTTCGCCGGGGGGCGAAATTGCAAGGTCGTGACCCAGGAGTGGAAGATGCGGCATCGGCAAACGAGTGTATCTCTGGGATGGATTCAGGATATCTAGAGGTAGTCACAGACGAAGAACGAAATGGGATTTCATCGCGTAGGATTTCTTGGAGTGGTCAAAGATACAGCTTCCTGTCAGCTTTACCTTTGAAGATGCTTGGGCTGAGCGGGTGATAAGTCATAAGGGGGTCCGACATGAGAGAGGGCAACTAGAGAGCAATTATGCGCATTGGCTCATCGCGGATATACAGGAAACGAATGGACGGCAATCCGAGCACCACATGTCCGACTCTGTTCATTTGAACGCACACAAGTTACAGTGATGGGCAATTGTTACGAACCGTTACAAGCACAGGAGTATATCGCTGGGAATAGGAATAACGGTAGTAGTAGCCAAAAGGTACTGATTGATTGTGAAAGCTATTGCTTGCTGAAGAGCCCAGTAGACAGAAGGCCTGGGAAGGCCTTCTTTATATACTGGTCCTTCAGTGTGCGCCGCTGCGCCGTGGCCGCGGCGCCTTTTACTCACGGCGCCGGCGCCCGGCGCGGCCCTGATTGGTCTACCTAACTGCTTACATAAGTGATCCCTTATTGGATCGTAACACGATGCCCCCTCTCTTGTGGCTTTGTCCTCGAAGCCACGATGTAACCCTATGATACATGGTAACACTTATTCGGTCTTGATGCTTGGGTGACAACGACACTTGTTGGTTGTGACCTTATTGCCTGCCTGCTCCCTTCTCCCTGTTTTCTTGTCGTTCCTCATAATCGTGCGTTGCCCTCTTCTTATCTTTGCTCTCGGTAAGTCTTCTTCTTCCTTCGTCATCAAAGATGTCCCGTCGTCCTTCCGAGCGCTCCCTACGCCGAAACGCGGCGGCCAGAGCTCTTGCTGATACCATCGAAGTTCTCGGTCAAGCATCAGATATGCCTTGCTCATTCTGTCATCGCAACAATCGGTCTTGTATTATGGACCCTGCGAAGTCTAACTCGTGTAGCGAATGTGTTCGCCGTAAGGGTCGCTATGACGGTATTGATGTTGGCAACAAGCGTGAGTGCTATGTCTGATCCCTGCTGGGATGTTGCTAATGATCGTAGTGACCGTTACGCTCCGCGAGATTCGTCGTATCGAGGAGGAGGAGGGGAAGTTGATGAAACAGGCTCTTGAGATCCAGTCGAAAGTGGTTCGTCTTCGTAAGCAGAAGCTTCATATGCAGCGGAAACAAGATTCTTTATTCAATAGGGGTATGTTGGAGTTTGAAAATGACCTTCGTGAGCAGGAGGGTGGGGGTAGTGCTCCTGCTGTGGGTGATACGCCTACTGGCGACGTCTTCGCCGCTGACGGTTCTGAGGAGCCTGATTGGGTACGAGAGCTGGAGGCGATGTCTCCTGATTCCTTAGCTCGTCTGGCTGAGGCCGGTCAGGAAATCGTCGGTGAAAGCTCGCGATCTTATCCTTAAGGTTGACGAGGTTTCCGGGTGGTTCCCAAGTATTGCTTTCATGGCCATAGCCTTGCTATTTGATCAGGTACTCGATTTCACCAGTGTTGTTATTAATCTTGGAGTCCAAGATAGCCTCTATCAAGAACTCGTCCCCGTCGTTCCATGTTTCTATGCGGTTGTCGATTTTCGCGTTCTTTGGTGCTGGTTCCAGCAGTGAGACGTGGAAGGTGGGCCATTGTCGCATGCCCTTGGGAAGCTCGAGTCGGTAATTGCTGGTGCTGACTTTCTCGATTACCTTGAATGGTCCCAGTTTCTTGTAGTCAAGCTTGTTACTGGGCCGTTTGGTCTTGATATTACGGCGAAGTAGGTAGACTTTGTCTCCCCTCCTGAAGGTCGGCGCCGACGACCTCGTGCGGTCGTAATATCGATTCATTCTTTCGCGAACAAAGGTGAGCTCGTCTCTCAGGGCTTGGTGCATTTCGGTAAGTCGTTCTGCCCTGATGTGGGCCCTGGGTACGACCGTCTCTGAATCCCAACCCCTACGGGAGCTCATCTCATAACCGTAGTTGGCGAAGAATGGTGTGACCTTCGTGGTCTCGGTCTTGGAGCTGTTGTATGACATTTGAGCAGTGGGTAGTAGCTCTGTCCAGTTGTCCTGCTCGTAATTGACGTACGCTCGCAGGTATGCTTCCAAGACCTGGTTCATTCGTTCTGTTTGCCCGTCCGTCCTAGCATGGTATGCGGTGGACATCTTGTGCTTCACGCCAAGTTTGTTCATGAATGCTTGCCAGTATCGTGACGAGAAAAGCTTGTCCCTGTCTGTCACGAGTTCCTTTGGCCAGCCATGATTGGAGGTAATGTACCGCATGAAGATATGTCCGAGTTGTTCCGCATTGGTATCTTCCCTGAACGGTAAGAAGTAGGCGAACTTCGTGAATCTGTCGACAACAACCATGATGCTGTCATACTCGATGCCAGTGGCTGGGTCTCGTGACATGGGGAGCTTCGTGATGAAGTCCATAGTTACTGATTGCCATGGCGCTTCTGACACTGGGAGTGGCTCGAGTAAGCCATAAGGCTTGTGCCTATTGGCTTTGGTTTTGTGACAGATTTCACAGTCGTGCAGAACCTCTGTAACGACATCCTTCATCTTAGCGAATCCGAATGTCTCCTGTACCCTGGCTATCGTGCGTGCGATGCCAGCGTGTCCTCCTTCTTCAGGGGACTCATGAATATCTTTCACCAGCTCTTTCTGCAATGACGGGGGTACCCACAGCTTGCCTTTATGAAGCCACGGCTCGATCGAGGTTGACAGATGTTTTTGGACTTCCTCGTCATCTACTTCATGTTGTGCCTCGGTGATTCGTTGGATCCAGTCGTGGATCCACCCTGGCAATGTTGATGTTGTAGATGTCGAGTTCATCCTCGTCGAGGTCGTGAATGGGTAGTGGCTTGTGCGCTAGGGAACCATCATTGTTGGTTTTGAATAAGGCTGGTGAGGCCGTGCCTTCGGTTTTGGCTCGAAGGTCTTCTCGTCTGCTCAGGGCGTCGGCCCGTGCGTTCTCAGATCCCTTACGGTAATGGATGTGGAAGTTGAATTGCGACAGGAATTCTGACCAACGGGTTTGCCTCTGGTTGAGTTCTTTACTCGTGGTGAAGTACGTCAAGTTCTTGTGGTCGGAGTAGACCTTGACTTCGTACTTTGTGCCACTCAACCATGGTTTCCATTCTTTAAATGCCCAGATGATGGACATGAGCTCTTTGTCGTGTGTCGGGTAGTTGAGCTCAGGTCCTCTGAATGCCTTCGAGTAGAATGCAATGGGGTGCAATCTTCCCTGGTCATCTCGTTGACCAAGTTGGCCACCCATTGCCCAGTCAGATGCGTCGGTTTCAACCTCAAATTCTTTATCGGGATCGGGGAGAATGAGAATCGGGTCGTCCATGATCATCTGCTTCAGGGTGTTGAAGGCATCGTCGCACTCCTTTGACCATACGAATACGGTGTCTTTCTTGGTCAAATCGTTGAGTGGCTTGGCTATGCCTCCGAATCCCTTGATGAAGCGTCGGTAGAAGTTGACAAATCCCAGGAATCCTCTGACGCCGGTTACTGAAGTGGGCGCTGGCCATTCGGCGACGTCCTTGATCTTAGAGGGATCCATGCGGATTTGGCCTGGGGAAATACGATATCCCAGGAAGTCCACTTGACTGACATGGAATTCACTCTTCTTGGGGTTGACTGAGAGTCCTGCTTTTTCAAGCGCAGCGAGGACCTTGTGAACGTGTTTCTGATGTTCTTCCTCTGTCTCAGAGAACACAATGATGTCGTCAATGTAAGCCATCACAAATTCGCCTGCGAATTGTCTAAGCACAGCGTCGATTCTGGCTTGGAAGGAAGCAGGTGCGTTGGTTAGGCCCTGGGGCATGATGCGGTATTCGTAATGCCCTAGTGGTGTCCTGAACGCTGTCTTCCACTCTTCTCCTTTCTTCATACGAATCTGGGAGAAGGCTGAGGTGAGATCAAATTTGGAAAATATCGTGGCTTTTCCAAGTCTGTCTCGCATCTCTTGGATCAACGGCAAAGGATATCGGTTCTTGATGGTGTCGTTGTTGAGATGCCGGTAGTCAATAACGAGACGAAGTTCTCCATCCTTCTTTGGTACAAAGAGAATAGGGGAACCGTAGGGTGACTGGGATTCACGGATGTGGCCCAGCTTGAGCCTCTCATCCACATACTCCTTGAGCGCCTTCATCTGAGCAGCGTTGAACTGGTAGATCTTTTGATATTTAGGTTTGGCGCCTTCTTTCAAGGGTATCTCGTGGTCCCAAGGACCGTGTGCTGGCAAGGTACATTCAGACGATTCCCTGAAGATTTTGTATCCTCGATACTGCAAGGGAACGCCTCTGAGCTTATCCTTGTCCCTGCTGTCTTTGGGCGGTGGTTTCGGAGGTGGTGATTCCGCCTCAAAGTTGCTAATGAACATGACCATTCTCGATGGTTCTGATGGTGGCGGGGTCTCGTGTGACGAAGGGTGCCAATCCTTTCTATCAGTGACTGAGACTTCAACGTCTGGAGCTTCAGGGAGCGACTTCTTTCGGTCCCTGATGCGGCCGCTGCTCCAGTCGATATCTGGGTTGAACTTTCTCAACCAAGGTCTGCCCAGAATGGCGTCGTGTTTGCCAATGGGGGTGATGTCGAAGACAATCTCTTGTACGTCTCCATTGATCGTGACCTTCAATGGTGTTGTTTCTCGCAACACTTGGCCCTGCTCGTAGCTTGGGCTCTTTCCTTCAAATGTGTACACTCTGATAGGGTCGTTTCTTATAGACCCATGGAATCTTCCAGTCGTTCACGACCTGGGGTGTAATAAGGTTGATTGACGATCCTGAGTCAATCATGGCCATTGCCTTTCCTTGGAATGGCTTGGTCCAAGTCCATCTGGACCTGATAAATCGAGTCCTCATCTCGATTTATCTCGAGGACTTGTGGCGGATCAGCTACTCGTGGTCCTCTCGCGAGGAGCTGGCGCCATTTCCCTGTCTTCTGCGGCCACCGCGAGCACGGCGTTTCCTCTAGGACTTCGATTTCGGCGAAGATCCACTGGCCGTCTCGCTGGTGCTAGAAGCTGCTGCTGCTGCTGTTTCCTCCTTACGCTGAGTGCGCTGGAATGCCCTTTCTTCACGTATGGCTTGTCTTGAGTGCCATTGCTGTGCTTTGTCGGCCATGTGGACTGCGCAATTGATTCTGCAACAATCCTGGTATCTGGTGTAGGGGAGATTCCATGCATTCACGCGTATACCCATCCTTCAAGACGAGTCTCATAAGTCGGCTACCTCCATCGCGTTTGCGGGGTGTACAAGTGTCCCACATGCTAATAGAGTCTTTATGATAGGCGGCTCGTACTGGTACTGGGACATCGTTTTCCCAAATACGTTGGGGAAAGTGGTCGTGTTCCATCTTATACGACAAGTGCCATGGGCAAGCGTCATACAAACACTGGATCCAAGCAATCTTCCCATGAGATGGGTGGCCTGGGTGAACCTGGGGGTGATCTCCTGCTTGGGGTAACCAAGGGCGATCACACACAGTGTAGACATTGGCCTCGAACGCGGTCACTCCAATGGACTGGAATGATTGTCGTGGAGGGTATGGCTCGATGAAGGAGTCATCGTCGATGGGACGCGCATAGAATTCTGTCTGGATCTGGCGGTTGTACTTCTCGTCCAAATTAAACTTGTGGGTCCATTTGCTGTCTCGAGTGATCTTCTTCTTAAGTCCCTGCAAAGCGGCTTGTATGAAGGCGATGAGTTCTTCAGGTCGTTTCTGGGACTCGTTGAAGGCGCCTTCATAGGCTTGTCTGTCTTCTCGATGAACGTGACGGCGTTGTCGGTTGTAGGCCACCTGCTGGATCTCTAGTTCCTTGATTCTGGATCGTTCGATGTCCGCCAAGTGGTTGATACGGTCGAGTTCTGCCTGGAGTTCCTCCATACGATCCATGTGATCCGTGGTGTCAGTGTCTGATCCAGATCTCATGGCGTCAGACAGATCGGTGTGAATTGTTGGTTCCACGCGTTCGATTGTGGCGAGTGGCCATTCCTCGCGTTCTTCAGAGATAATTGCGAGTGGCGTGCGCGGTCCAGGTGGCACGGAGTGGCTGCGAGGAGGGTGGTTTTCTTTGTCGAGATCACCGTTCCGGATGTACTCCTCGTGGTCACTCTCGCTGTCATACTGGTTACGCTCGAACTGTTCGTACTGGTCATACTGCTCGATCGACATATAGTCGTCGGTGGGTTCGTTTTCGTAGTCGACTATGCAAATAGTGCGGGGTGGCTCGTCGTCAACGAGGGCAGCGAGGGCATTGGCGAAGTCGTGGTCAATCTCGACATTGTCGACTTCCCTTCCCTTACTTTTACCTCTATCCTTGCTGACCGAGTTGGTGGAGTGAGTGGGAACTGGCTTCCAGCTTCCCTGGCGATTGTTGTTGTTATTGCCGCCACTGCGACAGTCGCGGGCGAAGTGTCCTGGCTTATCGCACTTGAAGCATTTCTTATCCTTGCTGGGGCCGCCGCCGTTCTTGCGGTTCTCAACGGTATCCACGTCCATAGGGCCCGAGTGAGTGCCGTACGCGGTGCTGCGCGTCTTGTTGCTGTAGCTGTTGCCTCCGCGCTGATACTTGTAGCCAGTGTTGGCGGGGGCGCGAGGACGGCTGTCACCAGCGCCTTTCTCTTTCTTGCGTTCGAAAAGGCGGTTATCGATGACGATGGCCTCGTTCATGTATTCGTCGAGGCTCTTTGACTTGCGGTCAATCTTGATGAGCTCGTCCTTGACGTCGCTCTTCAGACTACGGTAGAACTGATACTTGAGACCTTCGTCATTCCAATCGACGCGGAAGGCAAGCTGTCTGAACTCAGCCGCGTAAGAGGCGGCTGACTTGGTTTGACGAAGCTCGTTTAGCTTGGTCTCAGCCTGGCGGACCTTGTCGGCGAGACCAAAGACCTGGTTGATGGAGCTTTCGAAGTATTCGAAGTCGTTGAAGATCTTCTGGATCTCAATGTGCATCTCAGTCCAAATGTTGTGGCCGAGGTAGTCCGCTTGGGTGGGCTGGAACCATTCGAGAGCCTTGCCAGTGAGAAATGACGAGGCGTACAGGACTTGCTGGATAGGGTCCACGACTTTGGTAAAAGCGAGGTTGGCGCGGACCTGGGTGAGAAATCCCTGAAGGTCCTCCTTCCTGGTGCCATCGAATTTGGGGGGAGGGTTGAGCTTGATGGTGCTTCTCATAGCGGGGGAGACTGCGGTTGGATGAACAGAAGCAGCCTCGAGGTCGCTGATCTTAGTGCGAAGCAGGTTGATGATGTCGCGAAGCTCAGTATCGTTGGTCTCGTTGGTGATGGCGGGGACAAGGGTAGTCCTGCGGGTTTGAGCATTCTCTCTGGCGAGAAGCTCGGCTGCCTTGACTTCTCTGCCGTCGTCGTCCACAATACCGGTCATGGTATCAGTGCTAGGGCTAGGGTTTCTGGCCGCGGTGCCCGGGAGACCAGCTCCAGTGTCGGGTCCTCCAGCAGCAGGGTTACCAGTAGGTTTTCCGGACATGGTGACGGTGAAGAGGTAAGGTAATGAGGTTTTGAGGAAACTTGATTGTTTGAGGAGACGTTTTGGGTGCAGCAGCAAATCCCAGAATACTAGTGTGCAAACTGATGAGCAAGCAACGTGTGACGAACCGTTACAAGCACAGGAGTATATCGCTGGGAGTAGGAATAACGGTAGTAGTAGCCAAAAGGTACTGATCGATTGTGAAAGCTATTGCTTGCTGAAGAGCCCAGTATAAGAAGAAGGCCGGGGGGCCTTCTTTTATACAGGTCTTTCAGATGAGGGCCGCCGCGCCGATATTGAGGTTGCGGCTCTGCGGCGCCCCGGTCGCCGCTTATACGGCGCCGCAGCAGCGGCGCCGGTACCACGGCGTCCTTCTGATTGGTCTATTTAGCTGCTTACATAAGTGATCCCTTATTGGATCGTAACAATACGGGGCATACTATAACGCCGCTGCACATCTACGAAGAGTACATTTTAGTAAACTGAAACGATACAACGAAGTCAGCACCTCGGTGGAACATACGATTGTACAGTCCATTGCTTTTGAGTATATAGACGATGCTGATGACAGTGCCATGGCTGGAACGGGGGCTCTATCTATTTTTGCCGAAGATGACCTAGCATAAGGGAATTGTACAAGATGGACTTGAATGGTTGCTTGGATCCCGTTTCTTCACTGATGAAGTAAAAGCAGAAGTCATTGCCTTCCACACCAGGCACCCAAACAAACCAGGAGACCCCAACGTCCCAACGAACTGACCCTCCACGGAATCCTATCGACAAAAGCTGACGCATGTTCGGCTCGGGGTGAGCTTTGAAGAAGGGGGAGCTGATGTCACACGGACATCGCCCACAGTCCAGGGTCAGGGTCGCAAGGCTCAGCAGAGCCTCAACGCCTGGCATTAGCCTCGAGATGCCCGGTGGTGAAGTGAATGTTCATAATACCGCCGTGACTGACCTGAGGCCCGACCACGAAGCTTTCTCCGCTAATTGCGCCATTATAGATCGTGTTCGCCATGGTAGTTTGTGATCTAAGAACTGAACACAGTAGGCATGAGAGGCAATCGCCGCCGACAGAATGCCTGAAGGGTTGCGAAGCAAATGAGGAAGGGGGACATTTCTTGCGGGATTCTTTTCAGCTGGAAGTCGGGCTCACAGAAGAAATGGACCAACACCATTCCAGAGCCTTACTCCAGGATTTCCATGCCAACACGTGCATCTCCTCATTTAATGAGGCGTTGGGTTTCTTATTCCCGTCCAGGTCGTTCCTAGAATGGGGACGGGTTGTAATGCTGCGAACATTTAAGAATCCCTGCTCAAGCAGATTCATCGCGGAGGACAAATTAGATAAAGAAACTTGCATTTAGTCATATACATTGGACATAGCACTGTTGATGATGCGCAAGATGCGTTCTTAGATGAAAAAGGAGAGAGCAAAACGTGCGTTCCAAGGTGTATTAGGCATCAAAACCAGGCCCCATGACTTGCCGTTGTTAAGCGCCTAAGACACAGCCGCAGCCCCACTCCGTTATGAGCTACCGCACGTTTCCATCGAAACGATTTATCCCCGCGCTGTACGGCCAATTATATCTTGAGAAGGGCCTTCAGACTAATGCCTCAACATGCTTAGCACACCTAGCAAACCACGTAATTGGCCAGTACAGCCTGGGATAAATCCTACTTGAATGAGAATTAGCCATAGATGGAGAACGACTGATTCAAAACGAGGTTCATTCCATTGGTGAATGTTCTCACGATGTCTCGTGCAAAGAACGCAGTAATAGCAGCCCATGGATGCATCATCGAGTCAACGGCCTGATGGCTTCACCCGTCCCAACAGGCGCAGCGACTTCGAAGTTGCGATAATATGCGCGCTCCGTCTCGAATTCGACGCCGTATGCCTCCTTATCGATAAGCTGTGGGACGAAGACGGCGATCAGTACGGCAAAGTCGACCGAGACCCGAATATATACACGACAGGCCGGATGGGGAAGTGCAATGTCGTCCTTGTCCTTCTGCCCAACATGGGAAAAGCAAGCGCCGCCAGCGCAGCTGCAAGTCTTCGATCGAGCTATCCGCGAGTGTCGCTGGCCCTTTTGGTGGGCATTTGCGGGGCGGTCCCATTCGCAGGACCGGAAAGGGACCCCATTGTCCTCGGCAACGTAATCATAAGCAACCTCGTGGTCCAGTATGACCTTGGAAGAGCGCTTCCGGATCGCTTCGATCGCAAAGACAACCCTCATGACAGTCTTGGAAGACCAGACAAGATCATTCGCAACATCCTGGTCAAGCTTGATACGGACATCGACTGCGAACATATCGAGAAACGGGCGGGTGACTTCCTCAAAGCTCTTCAGACGAAGAGCGAAGAAATAGCCAAACGGAAGCGAAGAGGCAGGCATACCAGCTACAAGTACCTAGGAGCAGCCAACGACCTCCTATTCGATGCCTGCTACCGACACAAGCATGCTCCTGATTCCGGGTGCAGAACGTGCGAAGACTGTCATGACAACTCGGATCCCACTTGCGATGAGTCTCTTAGGTTGTCATGCAAAGAGCTGAAATGTGACACAAACCGCTTGATACGGAGGGAACATTTGGATTCAGCCTCAAACGACTACAATGCCGACTCGGATTCTGAGGGTGTCTTCTTCTTCATTGGTGCGATCGGATCTGGAGACAGTGTTATTCGGTCTGGCAAGCACCGTGATCAGATCGCCAAGCAGGTCGGGGTTATTGCTTTCGAGATGGAAGGAGCAGGCGTATGGGATGAGGTGCCATGCATCGTGATTAAAGGCGTGTGTGACTATGCCGATAGCCACAAAAACAAAGGATGGCAGAATTATGCTGCGGCAACCGCGGCGTCGGTAGCGAAGGCGGTTATGGAGAGGTATGTCGCCTCTGCTAGGGTTTCCGACTCTTCGCAGTCTCCGCCACCGTCCGCGACCATCCCCTTCTCCCGCGACCCCGACTTCGTCAACCGCGGAGACATTCTCGACCAGATCGACCAGCGATGTTCGGAGCCGGCTGCTCGGGTTGCACTCGTAGGCCTGGGCGGTGTCGGCAAGTCGCAGCTAGCCATCGAGTTCGCCCACCGGACCGCCGCGCGGCACCCAGACACGTGGGTGTTCTGGGTCCATGCCGGCACGCAGGCGCGGGTCGATGAGGGCTTCCGGGCGATTGCCGACGCCGCCGAGCTGCCCGGCCGGAACGACTCCAAGGCCAACATCCCACAGCTTGTCTACGGCTGGCTGGGCAACGAACGGAACGGCAAGTGGGTTATGGTCCTTGACAGTGCTGACGACCGCGACGTGTTCTTCGACGCTGGCAGTAACCCTGAACGACGTCCGCTAGCTGACTATCTTCCGCAGAGCCCAAACGGGTCTCTTCTCGTCACAACACGTGATAAGGATCTAGCTTCTAAGCTAGTAGGGGGGTACAAGAATACAATCGAGATCGGGCCAATGGCGCAGAGTGATGCTCTGTTGCTCCTGGAGAAGAAGCTGGGATCGCTCTCGGATACTGATATGGCGGTGGATCTCGTGCGGGCGCTCGACCTTGTGCCGCTTGCCATCAGCCAGGCGGCGGCCTACATTCAGAGAATGTCGCCACGGAGCTCGCCCAAGAAGTACCTAGACGAGTTCCGAGAGAGCGAGCGGAATCGGAGAAAGCTTCTGCAATATGATGGTGGGGACCTGCGGCGGGACGGAGGGGCGTCTAACGCGATACTTACGACGTGGCAGATATCCTTTGACCACATCCGGTCCAAGCGGCCCTCTGCGGCGAATCTGCTGTCGCTTATGAGCTTCTTTGACCGACAAGGCATCCCTGGATGGGTGCTAAACCCTTCCAGAATTGCCCAGGACGGAATGCAGGCAATAGGTCTAGACGACGCCGCAGACGTGGAGTCGGACGATAGCAGCCAGAGCACGGACAGTGACTCAGACGATGCTAGCTTCGAAGATGATGCGGCGATGCTAAGGGACTACTGTCTCATCACCGCGGACGAGACAGAGGACAAATTTGAGATGCACGGGCTCGTGCAGCTGTCGACTAGGAGGTGGCTAGAAATGTTTGGGCAGGAGGAGACGTTCAGGCAGCAGTACATCGAGCGGATGGCAGCTTCATTCCCAACGGGCCAGTTCGAGAACTGGGCCATGTGTCGGACCCTCTTTGCGCACGCCCGAGTGGCCTCGGATTATCGACCTAGCGAAAATACGGTCGAGTCATGGGCGATTCTTTTACACAACGGAGGATGGTACGCGTGGTCACAAGGGAGATATGAAGATGCACAGCAGATGCTGGGCAAGGCGAGGAAGGTACGCGAGAGGAGGTTGGGAAAGGACGATGTGGCGACTCTCTCGAGCACCTCATTGCTTGCATTAGTATTTCGAGATAGAGGACTATGGAAGGAGGCCGAGAAGCTGTTTGTGCAGGTGATGGAGACGAGCAAGGCGAAGCTCGGGGCCGATCATCCCGACACGCTGACGAGCATGGCCAACCTGGCGTCGACGTTTTGGAACCAGGGCCGGTGGGACGAAGCCGAGAAGCTGTTTGTGCAGGTGATGGAGATGAGCAAGGCGAAGCTCGGGGCCGATCATCCCGACACGCTGAAGAGCATGGGCAACCTTGCTTTCACGTGGAATAGTCAAGGTCGACATGAAGATGCCCTAGCGTTGATGCAAGACTGTGTTGAGACTCGGCAGCGAGTCCTTGGGCCTGAGCATCCTGATACGCTGTCGTCCTTGGCTACTGTGTCGGAATGGTATCACGGGGCAAGGCGAAGGGTAGGGGATAGATTGGATATGCGTAGTTGTACGAGAAGAGAAAGGGAGGGAGGAGTGTGTACGATCTGGTGATATAGGGTAGGGCTGAGCCATGCTCAGAGCCAGACCCACACTAGACCCACTGGCAGCACAAGGCTCGACCGCCCATGGCGGGAGTCGTGCATGTGCCAGGCACAGTCACAGGTAATCCTGTGACAAATGGAATAGCTAGGCTCATCTTAATTCTTCTTGCTGTTGTCACGATGCACCAGCTCACGTAGTTCCGTATCGCGTAGTTGGGTGCAAATGGATAAATAACTAAAGATGAAGAGAAAGGAAGCTAGTCTACATGGGACGAAAGAGATGACATCCTTATATGCAGTAACAGATGGGATGGTAGACTTGAACGTGCACGTGATCTGGCCGAGAAGCTAGAGGTGCAGGTGATGGAGACTCGCAAGGCGAAGCTCGGGGCCGATCATCCCGACGCGCTAACGAGCATGGCCAACCTTGCTTTCACGTGGAATAGTCAAGGTCGACATGAAGATGCCCTAGCGTTGATGCAAGACTGTGTTGAGGCTCGGCAGCGAGTCCTTGGGCCTGAGCATCCTGACACGTTGTCGTGCTTGGCTACTGTGTCGGAATGGAGTAGCTAGGCTCATATGATGATAGATTGGACAGCCGTGACTTCCAGGTTACAAGAAGGCGCTCGGACTGGATCATACGTCGACTCTCATTACAATTCACAACTTGGGCAACCTCTTTGAGCTTCAGGGCCGGCTAACTGAGGCTGAAATGCTATATCAGCTGGCGCTAGAAGGCTACAAGAAGGCGCTTGGACTGGATCATACGTCAACTCTCGATATAGTTCACAACTTGGGCAACCTCTATAAGACTCAGGGTCGGCTAAAGGAGGCTGAAACGATGTATCAGCGAGCGCTGTCTGGTTATTCAGCAGCCTTAGGCTCGTCCCACGCGAAATCTCTCCTTGTCGCAAAGAATATAGCATCTTTACAACTTGCAAAAGGTAGCCTCTTCCTATAAGAACTAATAGTTAAGTTTGCTAACATTTACAATTAGGTTCCTCAGCCGCGACTGAGACGTCGTTGTGGAGGAGACGCTCAAATATTTGAAATAACTTACGAGATAAGATACGCAGAACCCCTACGAGAACTAAGCCATCTGAATCGACGGAAGGCTGAACATGATGTTGGAATTGCGTTGTAGTAAGGTGTGACGAACGGCAGTCTGATCTGCTTAAGTGAGATAGCTGAAGGTAGTTGAACTATCAGATGTCGTTCGGTGAAGCCAAAGGGTTCACAACAAGTCTGATTGCGTATACTAGTCTCGGTGATGATGATCAGTTGACTACTGCCGAACTATCTGACAATCTGAGTCTTGCTGCTGAGGTTTCCTTGGCTCATTCTCAAGTCTGGCTCATCTTTGTGAGCCCAGCTTATCCCTGTGAGCCTGCGTCCACCTATGAGCCCTTCCTTCCCTGTCGTGGTTACACTGCCCAGCCTTCACGTGGCTGCGATGTACCGATGGCCCGTGTCCTTCGCTTATAGTTCGTAACATAAGGTGACTTAGCTGTTACGCAATGTAGTGACTTTACAAGTTCCTGCAACAAGTAGCCAAGGATCTGCTTCGGGTTTGTGAAGGTTGACGATGAGGCAGCCAAGATAATGTATGCCTAGCCCACTTCATGGCCTCAGCTGGGCTTGGCGAGTGTCAAGGTGATGGAAACGTTTCGAGAAACGGCGGCGTTTTTGCCCGAGTCATCCAAACTCCTGTAAAAAAAAACTACTCTCATAGATAATGTTCCGATATGTCTGCTTGTCTATGGGAGTGGGAAGGATATGAAACGGGTCTTTTAATCACGTGGTAGGGTCAAATGTAAGGGGTGCAGCATAGTTGACACAGATGCTGGCCAAAGGAATCGATAAGGTTCTATGAAGAGAGAAGGGGAGAAAAGGGCGCCCTCTGGGCAGTCTGGCCGGCTGTCCTAAAGAAGGGGCCTGCGCACGCACAGGCCAGTGTTGCCTGCCGCAAGAGTGGAGCACTCGCCTGGCAAGACTGCTAGGCATTTCAGCCACAGGCGCCAGTCCCATGACAGCTGCAAAGTCTAATTGGAACCTGCAAATCGAAGTAGAGCTTAAACTGTCAGTGCTAACAACCCAGTCGTTGCCGTAACCAGTGTTACCATAACCATTTGTTGATCCTCCTCTCCTTAAAGTGGACGGTGTTTCTTTCAACGGAATGTTGCGATAAAGAGAACCGGCCGGTCTCCTCTTGTCTTGTTCGTTGCCGAGAGATTCTTTGTCGGGATAAATTCTGACGACTGAAACAGATTGGCAGGCTAGTCGCATGCGAAGAATCGGTGTCTCTATTATTCTTGTTCACTAGGTTGTGGTGGACGTCTTGCAGCGTGGATCGTGTGGGATCTGGACCGAACCCTGCCGGAGACGCAATTTTAGAACGGTCAATTCGTCTTGTAATCTGCCCAATTATATTGAACCTTTCAGCGTCAGCTCTACACTCACCCTAATTCCTCCGTTCTTGACGGGAATTAAGCATATTGATACAGGAGGTCGTCGTCCCGTTTTTTGACTTTACCATGTGATCAAAAGACTCGGTTCATATCCTTCCACCTTTGACAGACATACAATCTTACCAATCGCCTGACTAGTAGTTGGGTCGGTGACGACCAGTGAATCCCAAGTGCTGTATGTTTTCTTTTTCCAAAAGTCTGGGCTCTATCACGATGCACCAGCTCACGTAGTTCCGTATCGCGTAGTTGGGTACAAATATCACGGGCAAAGGGTCGATGGTAGATGTGAATATGCGTAATTGCGCGAAGGAGAAAGAGGGAGAGTGCAGACGAGTGCCCAGAAGACTAGCCTTATGAGGGCGGTGTCACGGCGCAGCCAAACGGTGATGATGATACTATTTGACTAACATGGACTGAAGACAAGAAGTTGAAGAGGGGAAGAAATCCCAAAAGGGAAGGTCGATGCCAGAGCTGGGTTTTATACCCAGGCCGCGGGAGGCAGCCAGAGCCAAGCCCAGAACCTGCACCATGAACCATACCCGTGAATGGGACCCATGACGGCACATGTGACAGCCCAGCTGGTGCCAGCCGTCACAGGCGGCCGCTGGTGGGCCCAATGGGTCCGCGGCAGGCACGCTCTGGCCAATCAGCTGACAGCGACAGCAGTCTCAGAAGCTGCTGTGCGCTGGCACAAGACACAGCCTAACCCTGTGACAACAAATGAATAAATAACTAAAGCTAAAGAAGTTGAGGCTGGCAAGTCCGAGCTCATCCACTTCACCAAAACCCGACAGCCACGAACCGAGACCGTCGACTTGGGGGGACACCAGTTGGCCCCCACGGAGTCAGCGCGGTTCCTAGGGGTATGGCTGGACCGCAAACTGACCTACCGAGCACACCTTCAGGCGGTAAAGAAGAAAATGTCAACACAGATCTTCGCACTCACACGCATCGCGGCGAAGACGTGGGGTTGTAGCCTTGTCCGAGCAAGAGAAGTGTATACAAAGGCAATTCGTGCGGCAGTAGCCTACGGAGCGTCAGCGTATCACACGCCAACAGAGCCGCTTGGGGAACCACGCGGTCTCGCGAAGGCTCTTGCAACGACCCAGACTAACTGCCTAAAGGTAGTCTCTGGCGCTTACAAGGCCGCGTCTACGTTTAGTGTGGAAACGGAGACCTTCTGTCCACCCCTCGACCTCTACCTCAACAAGAGGGTTAGGGCGTTCGAGGAGCGACTCGCCCGCTCACCGGCGGCAGCCTTCGTTAGAGGGACGCCGGCCTGGGTGGCAGCAGAGTTACGGGGTAGAAGGGGAGGTAGACAACTACAGCCGTCCCCGGTCAGCGGCCGGGCGAAGGCTGAGTGGGCTGAGCGATGGGCCCCTAAAGAAGACATCCCGATACCGCAGGGATGTGACGAACCGTTACAAGCACAGGAGTATATCGCTGGGAATAAGGATAACGGTAGCAGTAGCCAAAAGGTACTGGTTGATTGTGAAAGCTAGTTGCTTGCTGAAGAGCCAGAATAACGAAGGCCGGGAAGCGGCCTTCTTATATACTGGTCTTCAAACCCGTCCCGTAGTCCCGCGATCTCGGGACCACGGGACACCCAATGTAACCTGGTCCCGGTGTCCCGTATTCTCGGGACACCGGGACCCTAGGTACGGGTTGTCCCTTATTGGTCAATCTATCTAGCTTACATAAGGGGCTTCTGATTGGATCGTAACAAGGGAGAGGCGAGAGTTATCTTGTGATTCTACTATAGACCTGGAATCAACGTTTTCAGCTTTGTCTCTCGTGACCACGTCGCTCGGTGACATTTGGGAAAAGCTGAAAAGCTGAGCCCTACCCGCGCCACGGCCCCATAAGTGGAGCAAGCTACCAGGCCGCTACTGGTACACTATTGCCAACCCTGTAGACCCCATGACAGAAAGCTACGACCCTCGCCCAAGTCGAGTTATTGATTGGCGCCCTGAAGTCTCTAGGTCCAGAATGCCCAGCCTCTAGAAAAGAAATGTCCTTTGGGCCATTGGCATATAGTTGGGAGGGAGCTGCCAGCCATCTTATGCCTAACATGGTGAAACAGAAACAGACTCAACACGACGCCTCGTGCTCCACCATAGCCTTGAGAAAACGTAGTGCTCTAGTTTCTTTTTATTTTGTCCTTGGGGGCAGGATAGAGGAATATTAAGCATTTTTACAAACTAAATCCATTGATCGTCAACTGTATAGCATTCGCTGCCTCCAGGACAACACGATCATCCTCAAATGCCTCATCTACGTCGCCTCGCTCAAGACCTTCGTTCCCTAAAGCTACGATGTCTCAACGACTGCACAATACGGAGGGTTGGGAAGATGATAAGGGCCAAGAGCAGTCTCGCCCTGCACCTTTGCAACAAATCTCCGCCGCCACCGCTATGTCCGCTACCCGTATGCCCGCCCCCGGGCTCCCAGCCGCTCCAGCTACCGGTTCCGCCGATACAGAGACGTCCGCCGATACAGAGACGTCCGCCGGCGTCCAAAGCCCGAAGCAGGTGGAAGTAGGCTTACTTCTTTTCTCCCTACGACATTCAGAATAATGCTAACACCCTGTAAAGAATCTGTATTACAAGGTTCCTATGTCACGTGGCCATATTCGCTTGCTTCAACTATTGCCGTCTGAAAACGAGGACGCCGCAATACACTGTCGGCTCTTCTGCACCAGATTGGACTCAAAAGGCACTCGTCCGTACGAGGCCTTATCCTACGTGTGGGGCTCCGAGGCCAAGCCTTGTTCCATCTCTATAAACGGGTGTGACTTGCCCGTCGGAGAAAACCTTCACGCAGCGCTGTTACATCTTCGAGATCACTCCATTGAACGAACTATATGGATAGATGCCATTTGCATCAACCAAGATGACGAAGAAGAAAAAGGACACCAAGTTCAATCTATGGCGAAGATCTACGCTAAAGCAAGTCGCGTAATTGTTTGGCTTGGAGAGGAGGCAGCCGGTAGCGACCAAGCGCTTGAAGAAATACGCATCGCAGCCAAGCGCGACCAAGCACCCGAAGAAATACGCATCGCAGCCGAGCTGTCTACAAGACGATTAGACAATAAAGCGGGAATCCTTACACTGCTTCAACGACCGTGGTTTCAGCGCATCTGGGTAAGGGAACCGATGTCAAAGTATTATGACCAAGGAAACTAATAGATTGATGCAGGTGCTTCAGGAAGTTGCCGCGGCTCGCCATATCCTGATCAAGTGTGGTTCTGCTGAGGTTGACGGATTTGCATTCTGTTCAGGCCTGAAAGCATTGAACCTGTCCAATGAACTCCCCGCAGACCTGCGGGCTCAAATCCTTTCGGTAACCTACCTCATAAGGGGCGCAATCTTCCGGCCCAAATACGCGACTAGTCAGTCAGACAACTTTTCTCTTAACATACGCCCTCTGAGTGAACTGATAGAGATGTACCACACCCGCAAAGCTACGAAACGTCTCGATAAAGTATATGCCTTACTTGGTATGAGCTCTGATAATCCAACCGCAGCAGGATTATTTGCCGACTACAAGATTTCGTGGAAACAACTCTTTAAAAAACTCATCCACGTCGTCCTATCTGAATTGGTCTCTGTAAACGGCCTTTCGGACGATAAGGAGATTGCCGTCATTGAGGGCAAGGGCTGCATTCTTGGCGAAGTGTCCTCAGTCAAGAGAAATGCTATTTGGGAAGACAGACAAGATATGGCCATTACTTGGAGGAATGCCCCCAGCTATATTTGCGTGAAGGAAGCATGGGGCTTTTGCTGGACCCTCCCGACCACGGTAAAATCCGTCCAAAAAGGAGATGTCGTCTGCCTTCTTCAAGGAGCGTCGAGACCCACGATCCTTAGGCCATACAACGATCACTGGGCGGTTATCATGATTGCAGTTTCCCCAGCAGGCGATCCACAAGCTACGACCGGAGATATCAAACAATCGATAACGGTCTTTCCACATAATTTTCAACTTATCTGGGATTGGGATATAGATCCAAGCAAGCAGCAAGATAAAAACAACCACGACTACTTTGCAAGCATTCCAGAGCATTCAAAGACAGGGTTGGAAGGTTGTCGAAATATGGCGACTAAAATACGGAATGTCAGATTGGCATTACAAGAGGTCAAACAGTATGGAGTTGCAGTGAAGAATCTTCGGGAAGAAACGGCGGTTCTTGAGAGGGCATTGAGGAGTATGAGCAACCTAAAAAAGACTTGCCTAGGGCCCGAGGATTCAGAAAAGGAAGATGCAAAGGAAACAATGGTAAATCAACTTATTGAGGACAAGGGCCAATGGACGCTTCTATGCTTGGCGGCAGGAAACAGGCATGAGACGGTCGTTAAATTGCTTCTCGACACTGGCAAGGTCAACTTGCATAGGGAGGAGCTACGGACGGCGCTGTGGCTTGCGGAGCAAAAAGGCTATAAAGCGATCGTTAAGATGCTTTTCGATACTGGCAAGGTTGACGCAGGTGCTAAGGATGAGAATGGACAGACAGCGCTGCATCAAGCGGCAATAACTGGGCATGAGGTAGTCGTTCAGCTACTTCTCGATACCGGCAAGGTTAATGCAGGTGCTAAGGATGAGAATGGACAGACAACGCTGTATATGGCGGCAGAGAAGGGGCAGGAGGCAGTTATTAAGCTGCTTCTGGATACTGGCAAGGTTGACGCAGATGCTCAAGACGGGTATAAACGGACAGCGCTGCATATAGCGGCAGAGAATGGGTATGAGGCGGTTGTTAAGCTGCTTCTCGATACCGGCAAGGTTGACGCAGACCTTAAAGAGAAGAATGGACGGACAGCGCTACATTTGGCGGTAGCGTATAGGCGTGAGGCGGTTGTTAAACTGCTTCTCGATACTGGCAAGGTTGACGCAGATCCTAAGGATAAGGATGGACGGACAGCGCTGCATATGGCAGCGGAGAATGGGCATGAGGCAGTTGTTAAGCTGCTTCTCGATACCGGCAAGGTTGACGCAGATTCTAAGGATAAGGATGGACAGACAGCACTGCATATGGCGGCAGAGAAGGGCCATGGGGCGGTTGTTAAGCTGCTTCTCGATACCGGCAAAGTTGACGTAAATTCTAAGGACCGGTATGAGACAGCGCTACATATGGCGGCAAATAATGGTCATGAAGCAGTTATTAAGCTACTTCTCGATACTGGCAAAGTTGACACAAATGTTCAGATTTGGGCTGGACAGACAGCGCTACATATGGCGGTACAGAAGGGGCATGAGGCGGTTGTTAAGCTGCTTCTCGATACTGGCAAGGTTGACGCAGATGCTCAGGATGAGAGTGGACAGACAGCGCTATATAGGGCGGCAGAGAAGGGGCATGAGGCAGTTGTTAAGCTGCTTCTCAATACTGGCAAGGTTGATGCAGATCCTAAGGACCGGTATGGATGGACAGCGCTATATAGGGCGGCAGAGAATGGGCATGAGGCAGTTGTTAAGCTGCTTCTCGATACAGGCAGGGTTGACGCAGATCATAAGGATTGGGATGGACGGACAGCGCTATATATGGCGGCAAAGAATGGGCATGAGGCGGTTGTTAAGCTGCTTCTCGATACTGGCAAGGTTGACGCAGATCCTAAGGATAAGAATGGACGGACAGTGCTGTATATGGGGGCAGAGAATGGGCATGAGGCAGTTATTAAGCTGCTTCTCGATACTGGCAAGGTTGACGCAGATCCTAAGGATAAGGATGGACGGACAGCGCTGCATATAGCGGCGAAGAATGGGCATGGGGCGGTTGTTAAGCTACTTCTCGATACTGGCAAGGTTGACGCAGATCCTAAGGATAAGGATGGACGGACAGCGCTATATAGGGCGGCAGAGAAGGGGCATAAGGCGGTTGTTAAGCTGCTTCTCGATACCGGCAAGGTTGACGCAGATCCTAAGGATAAGGATGGACGGACAGCGCTGCATATGGCGGCAGAGAAGGGCCATGGGGCGGTTGTTAAGCTGCTTCTCGATACTAGCAAGGTTGACGCAGATCTTAAGGATGGGGCTGGACGAACAGCGCTGCATTTGGCGGCAACGTATAGGCATGAGGCGGTTGTTAAGCTGCTTCTCGATACTGGCAAGGTTGACGCAGATCCTAAGGATAAGGATGGACGGACAGCGCTACATATGGCGGCAAAGAATGGGCATGAGGCGGTTGTTAAGCTGCTTCTCGATACCGGCAAGGTTGACGCAGATCCTAAGGATAAGGATGGACGGACAGCGCTGCATATGGCAGCGAAGAATGGGCATAAGGCAGTTGTTAAGCTGCTTCTTGATACCGGCAAGGTTGACGCAGATCCTAAGAATAAGAATGGACAGACAGCGCTGCATATGGCGGCAGAGAATGGGCATGAGGCGGTTGTTAAGCTGCTTCTCGATACCAGCAAGGTTGACGCAGATCTTAAGGAGAAGGATGGACGGACAGCGCTACATTTGGCGGTAGCGTATAGGCGTGAGGCGGTTGTTAAACTGCTTCTCGATACTGGCAAGGTTGACGCAGATCTTAAGGATAGGGATGGATGGACAGCACTGCATATGGCGGCGAAGAATGGGCATGAGGCGGTTGTTAAGCTGCTTCTCGATACCAGCAAGGTTGACGCAGATCTTAAGGATAAGGATGGATGGACAGCGCTACATTGGGCGGCGAATTATGGGCGTGAGGCGGTTATTAAGCTGCTTCTCGATACTGGCAAGGTTGACCTAGGTGCTAAAGATCAGAATGGATTGACAGTGCTGGATATGGCGGCAATAAATGGGCATGGGGCGGTTGTTAAGCTACTCAGCCTTGCATCCTAAGAGGCAGGCTTGGAGGACAACTCCACCTCGAGTCAGCCTTTCACAATCTTTCCTCCTGCAAGAATTGATCTTGGTTTACTCCCCAATCTTTATTGTTTACTCCCTATTACTTCCTATCGTATTAGAAACCCCCCTAGTCGTCATACATTTCAATAGCAATGCTGGAGGAACTGCAATGGCAATATCACGCAGAATGTATTTGCAGCATTCAAAAGTGACAGAACCTTCTCGTATGTTCTGGCAGGCGCGGAGGGCTCTAGCAACAATGCCTCTCTTTGTGCTCAAGCTTCCGGTCAATCTTTTCGGGCCCCAGATGGTCGATATTATGTCGTGGATGCGGGGTTTGACGTGCGGCAGAGACCAGACCAGGAGATGGTGACCGAATGAGAGCCTGATACGGATTATTTTCATATATGTATAGTGCATCACAAACAGCAATTGAGCGATGAGATAAGGATAAGATAGGGAAGTGAGTCCGCCCAGATGGATTACATCAATCCATCTGCGCGCGGCTTACACTCTTCTCAATCTTTCCCGAATCATCACGCTTTACACAGGAATAATATCATCTGCTTTTGCACATCAATTGCAGGGTTGTTCTTTGAGGCGAAAGCAGTCCATATCAAATCTATTAGAAAACTCGGAAGGAGGGTTTCATATGAAAACCAACGCAACCCTCACAACGTAGGAGCTGTAATTCATATAGTAGAATCAACTGGGAAGAATGGATATATAGTGAATGCAATGAGAATGGGACAAAAGTGTACTTGTTTAGTTCGGTCGGGAACCTGAGGGTAAAGACGCAATATATATCTTGAGGCCCTTCTGACTCGCCTGAAGGGATATACGTACGAAAACTGTTCACCAAAGCCAACCACACCTCCCAAAAGCCAACCACACCTCCCAGTTAGAAGTACTAAGTATATAGAGTAGGTGTCAGGGGTAAACGAAGGCAATGAAAACGGTTCTAGAAACGGCGGCGGCGTTTTTGGCTGAGTCATCCAAAAAACGGCTCCCATAGATAGTCCTCCGATTAGTGGCTTATCTATGGGAGAGCGGACGGGATCCCGAGTTTTCCACTATCTATGGCCGTATGTGTTAAAAGTAGTTCTTTGAACTTCTTATAAGTGGAAATGTGCATGAAGGCTCCATATCTTCACATTCCTACCGGGAAGATGAATGAAGATGAACAATACGCTGGAAGCAGCACGAAGCAGTTGTTTAGGCACAGTCAACAGAGCATTAAAAGATACGTATCGTTAAGTGGACGACCATGATGTCCGTAATTACTCATTGTATAATTTGAGACTCTCGATGGACGTGTACTTCCAGCTTTCACATCCTACGTGCTCGCTGAGGGCGCAATCATCGTGGAACATTTGACATAGAACATGTTCCTGCGCAGATGATCGATAAAACGGGTAGAATCTTAGTAGTTGGTATCTCGAACTAACACTGCTTCATTAAACGTAAACGCCGTCAACCTCATAAAAGGACATCCCCTTATATAAATAATCTTCTCCCTCCTGTCCCTAAACTCGTATTGATCCTCATCAACAAAAGAGAGTGGATATCCCATAAAACCAAAACCGCGGTTGGACAAAAGGAAATTGAAAACAAAAGAAAGAAAGTCCCATTAATACCTCACGGTATTCGGATTTTCATATGGATCCCTCCCCATACTATTTCCATATCCCCCACCACCCCCGTGGACACCGTGTACCGGTGTACCATAGGGATCAGACATAGCCCCCATCTCGTTCGCCTCCTGATACCCGCCTCCCATACCACCTTCCAACCCTCCCGTCGTATTCGTCGCGGCATTAACATCCCTCCACTGCTGTCTACTCTTCTCGACATCCCTCCTCGCCAGCTCCGCCACGAACGTGGTCTTGGGCTTCCACTTCAGACTCTTCCTCGGACTGACCTCCTCCATCATCTTATCGATCTGCTCCAGCGTGAGTCCCTTCATTTCGGGGACCAAGAAATACGCAAACAACATCGAAAAAATAGACAAGCTTCCCCAGATGAAGAAAACCTTGGGGCCCAAGTTGGCCGACCCCTTCGAGTTACCGACCATGTAAGGCGCCACGACGGCAATAATACAATTCCAGAACCAGTTACAAGCCGTGGAGATTCCCACACCGCGCGAGCGGATGGGAAGGGGAAAACACTCGCCGATGACGACCCAGCCGGTCGGGCCCCAGCTGGTGGCGAAGAAGAAGATGTTGAGGCAGATGAAGGCGATCATGGCGCGGACGGCGGCCGGGTCGTCGGCATCGACGCGTCCGGCCGTGGTGCCGATGATGGCGACGATGAATTGCATGATTACCATGCCCAAGGCGCCGTAGATGAGCAGGAAGCGGCGGCCGAGGTACTCAATGGCGACGAAGGAGATGGGGGTGGATAAGACGTTGACGAGGGTGGTGATGAGGGAGATGAAGAAGGGGTTGGAGATGGTGCCGAGTTGTTGGAAGAAGGTGGTGCCGAAGTAGAAGATGAAGTTGATGCCTGGGAGGGGGGGTTAGTTTTGTGGTTAAGACGGTGAAGGTTGTGCCCCTTATGGCTCCTTTTTGGAGGCCGGGGGAATGGGTTTTGAATAGAAACGAAAGGGAGACTTACCAGTTAGTTGCTGCCACATTTGCAATCCACACGCCATAATGATACGGCGGATATTGCTGTTCCCCTTGCGCAGCGAGCCGTGGAAGCAAGCAACCCACGATCCGATATACGAGGTTTGAGGAACAACTTGCATCTCATACTCATGGTTCGCCACAATTTCGGCCAGCTCGTCCTTGATGTACTCCGACTCAATCGGCTGTCCACGGACATAAGCCAGAGACTTGGCGGCTGAATGAAGTTGGCCCTTCATGACATGATAACGGGGTGACTCGGCTAGAAAAAAAAGGGTGTCAGCATTATCACATGACGATGGAAATTCCATAGCAGCACGACTTACGCAAAATAAACAACCCAGTTCCCAAAATCAACGCCCACAAAAACTGGACACCAATCGGGATCCGATACGAGCCCGTGTCGTTCCTATCCTGCGTGGCATACACGACGCAGTTGGCGAGCAGAATCCCGACCGTAATGCAGAACTGGTACGCCGACACCAGTGCACCACGAACTTTCCTGGGGGCGATCTCGGACATGTACAAGATAATAACGGTTGAAATGAAGCCCACACCCAACCCGGCAACGAGTCGACCAAACACGAACAGAACGGTCTGGTTAGTCGAGGCGATCTGGAGGACGCAGCCGACGCAGAAGATGAGACAGCCGATGATGATGGTGAGCCGACGGCCGATGAAGTCGGCAATGTCACCGGCGATGAGGGCGCCGAAGAAGGTGCCGCAGGAGAGAATCGAAGTCATGAGGGACTTGGTCGACGAGGGTAGGCCAAAGTTGGTGGGGTCGATGCCGATGGGTTGTTTTTTGTCGTAGTCGTACGAGTAACCCGTGTAGAGGGTGATAAAGTAGGGCATGCCTAGCACGCCGTTGATCCAACCCGTATCATAGCCGAAGACTAGAAGTGTCGCCCATGAAAGTAAGCATTGGCCATTGAGCAACAAGCACATGAAGTTAGAGACTTACAAAGTCCACCACATGCTGCAAAAGCGCAGATAAGATAGGCCTTCAAGGTGACCGGGGCCTCTATCCTCGAGAGATCCGCCGGCCCCTCAAAGGGGAGTAAGGCGCTGACCATCCTCCTGCGTTTCTTTTCCCAGTTACGACCTTAACCAAGTTGCAAGTTGGTGACCCTCCTATCAAGATGACTTCGCGCACCCAAACCCGGAATAGTCGTCTATGTTTCTTTCGAGATATCGCTGTTGACGTTTATCTGTTAGGAAGCAACCCGGACAGTGTTGTAAGCCTTTAAACCGAAAGACGTATATCATACACGCAAGAGAGACAGCAACAAGACAGAAGAGGAAAGTTCCCAGAAGGGAACTCGAGGGTGTGTGTGTGGTGCGCGGGATGTGTTATAGGAAATTTTGTCGAGTCCCACGGCAAGAGGGAAGCGGGAACGGATGCATGGGGATCGACTGTACTGTGTAAGACAAACCGAACCGGGGCCGGGGGGTCCTGGATGTCTGCCGTACACTAAACCTGAAAGGGACTGAAAAAGACGAAAGCGAATGGGGAAGGGAAGGGTGAGAATACAGTCGGGGGTACTAGATCATAGGATTGCCGAGCATGGGATACACTCAAAGCTCCCGCCGTCCGTTCCTTGGTGCAAAAGCAGTAAAAAGTTGACTGAGAAGTGAACACACCAGAGCGTGTGTAACAAAGAAAGGGAAATAGAAGAGAAGCAGTCAGCTTACAAAAGAAGTAGGAGAGGCGGCGAGAAGACAATGGAGAGGGAGCCAGAGGGTCCGGAAACTGCGGTCATGCTCAGAACGATTTGGAAGACCAAGACAATAAGACATCCCAAGACCCCGGAAACAGACGACCAAGCGTCCCTCGAATGCCGAGAGAAGCCTGGGCTTCATTTTGTTACGCAGGAGTAGCGTGCTACTGTTGGCTTATTTGGGTCTGGGCGAGCTACGCCACATAGGATCGGGGCCATGTTTTGTTTTCTTTTTTTCTTTCCAAGACAAGTTGGATAATCCTAGGCTACCCCTGACAGGTCGGCAGCCGTAGCACAACGCCATGTTCCTCGCCTGCATACACACGCAGGCACTTAAGTACGCAGCGGGTCATTTCTCGCTGCGTCGGCCTTTGCCCACTTGGGGCTCCTGGGAATGTCTCAGTGCCAGTAGTTTAAGTAGGATAAACCGTTAGCACTCCCGGAGACAGGTTTCAGCGGATGATTTGCGGGTAGCGCTTGTGCAATTCGGATATCGGTTCGGGGAGGCTGACTGCTTAAGAAGGTCTCACTCCTGAATGGTGTGTTTTTCTTCTTAAAACACCTACATTGGCTGTTCCAAGCGCAACTCGCGCCGAGAGAGAAAGAGAGAGATGATAGGTAGGCCAAGTACACAGGCCGTCCCAGTCCTGCAGCGTGCATGATAAAATACCTGGACGAAAGCGTGATGTCTCGTCTCTTGTGGCTGGTTGCCAAGACGAACCGCGTCTCTTTGAACCATGCTCGCCATGTCACTGGAGAGCTTTGAGAATGACTGACATTCGTGAATCAGAACGTGGGGTTCATTTCAACTTGCCTCTCTTGGCTGCGGAGGCGAGACTGGGAGATTCCGGGAGATGATGGAGCTGAATAAGAGAGATGACAAGGCGAGAACGTGGACGATGGAAAGTTTTTTGATAACGCGTAAAGCCACAGAGCAGATCAACCGACAAAGAAGCCGGGTGCAACGGTGATCACCGGGGAGAAAGGCCATGACGGGTGATCTGTGAATCTCCCTGCGAGCCCTGTTCCCGCATCTGGATGATCTGGTCGAGGTCCCAGGTCGCCAAGGTCGTATCCTCAGCCTGGTGATCGACACGACGCCGTATGTACGGTATGGTTTGAGGGTGTGCGTTAACAGCGGGGGATTGGGCCATGCGCGTTTTGCTTGCCGCCAAATATGCGTTAAAAAAGGGACGTTGATATATAAAACTGCATGTGTGATGCTGATTTTGGAACTCCTCTTGGACCTTGGCAACTATACCAGATTGTCACTCACTGCCCAATACTGTACAAGAGAATCAGGATATCGCCGACAGAATCAGAAGCCAAATACCGAAGGCGGCTAGAAACCTACAGTGCGGTGAGTACGCCGGCTGTTCAGGCAGCCTTATCCCATCCACTTGAAAGGGACTCGGCCGATGAATAAAGTGAAGTGTGAGCAAGTGTCTACGACGCTCTACCGTACCGGCGCGGGTCCAAGACAAAAGTGCGACCTCAGCGGCGCAAATACCGGCACCGTTCCGCAGCTAGGGCAACGGCTGAACCGGCGAAACACTGTACTTCCAAGGGGACTTGCCAATGGGAAAGCCAGTCCAATGGATCATGAATGGATCATGGAAGATGGTGTCACCGACCGACGGTGTGCTCCTAACACAGTCAGTGTCGCCGCACGTCACACGGCAATCAAACATGAGCTCGAAACGGAACATTTCTTGCCTCGCCAGATTGGCCATGATGGTAGAATGGTAGAACAGACAGACGCGGTGGAATCACCTACCCACCTACCCTCACCTATGACCGGCCCTGGGCAGACACACGCCACCAGCCAACTCTTGCCCTGTTCTGCTGCCGACTAACATATGGGATTCCGTAAACGGCGATCGCGGGAAAGACGAGAAGGTTGTGAGCTTGAAAGCTGTCACGGAGATTTCCATGGCAGACATCAGGCAGTCAGTCGGGCGGTCGTCTTATGAAATCCTTCGGTTCCGAGACATAAAAGAGACGTGGCCGTCGAGAAAGGAGGGAGAAAAAGAGGATGTACAAAGAGAGCGCCACCGAACATAAATCGCAGACCGCCCCACGCCGGTGTCGTCGTTGCGCTTTGTTGTCGTTCCTGTTGATGTTGCTCTCGTCGACCTTCTCTGCTGGTCTCGTCCTGGGGAGCCTGTGAGTGTGGGTGGCCACCTGAGCCAGCTTTTCCGTCCCAGCAAACTATTCACTGTCAGACATGCCGTGCCTCTTTCGAGATGACGTTTCGACAAGACGGTATACCAGTACCAAAGCAAGGCGAGGTGCTGGATTGATTGATTGAAGTTGGTGAACTTGTGATGCCGTTCCGGTAAGAAGCGAATCACACGGTAACAGCTGCAGTGCCGTTGAGCCGGTTCACTTCGCTTGCAACGAGGCAAGTTGGCGACAGTTCTGGGCAGTGAACACTCACAGCGAGCCGAGAGTCGGAATTGTGGGAGACGAGGTCCAGAGCCGTCTCACTTTCCCCCACAGCGTAGCAGCGGTCCCCAAGCTCACTGAACCCGAGTCGATCTGGGGATGCCCCACTTCACCTGATCCACACCCTAGTCTAACCCTAACCCGACACAGCTTAGTGTTTCCCCAGATAAATGAACAAAGCTCCACCGCCCTCTAACGACATCCACCCTGCACCGCGAGTTCACGATAAAACACCAGGACCACGGCCTTGACAACAACCCCCTTCAGCACGAGCCGAAAGTCGAATCAATCGGTTCCATCAGTCCTCATCAGATGGGTTCTAGCTCAACTCCTGGACCCCTTAAACTTCGCTTTATCCCATTTTGCAAACCTTGGCTCAATAGTTTGGTCTCGGGCCAGCCAGCTATCAGTCAGAATCAGCCGACTTCATGTTTGTGCCTTTTTGAGGCTTCCACACCAAGAAACATTGGCATATTGTCTTGTGATGAGCGGGGTTCTAGTTCGTTCTTTGCCTAGAGAGAGAGGGTGGTTCTTCAACTTCAGCTTTAGCCAAGTTAGTGCCAAGCTGATGTCGACAACTCGGCACAGGCAGGAAAGGTCGACCGGCAGTGGGCACCAAGCAACGGCATGTTTGTTCATGAAGCCAAATATCTTCAACAATAAATACCGTAGAGACTCGCGAAAGTCGCAAACTACTATCCCTCTTTGAGCGCCGGGCATATGGCAGAAATCTGCCAGAAGTATGCCCAGTAAGCATACATATGCCAGCACATGTATCTGTCCAGTTAGTGAAAACCTCGAGGATATTGCCCACCACGTTAACTTACACACATTCAAATGCACAGCGACCGGCCTGATCCTGCCAGCTGCCTGCACAGATCTACTCCCTGCCCGCGCTCAAAGAGGGATAGTAGTTTGCGACTTTCGCGAGTCTCTACGGTATAAGAAGTAGATGCGGTTCTTCATGCAATGCACCTGCCGATGCCACAGTGGTGGCAGCTGGTCACCCAGTCTAAAGTACTGCATCTAGCAGCGTGCAGTGTGCACGGCAGTCTTCCCCTTCTTCTCATGCACCTACTACCGTACCTACAGCATAGAGGGATACAGGAATGCATGCATAGGTAGAGGTAGTGTAGAGGCAGAGGCGCGTAGAACTATCAACTGCACTTTATCAAAGTGATCATCCCGGCATCTATCAAGCATTTGCATACAATCACACACAGATTCAATTCCTGTCCTGTATACATGAACACGAAGAGAGAGAAATCAGCATATCACAAAGCCCGGCTCTTGTCTTCCACTTTTCTCTTCCCCGCCCTTCTCCGTCTCTGCTTCTGCCCTGCGCTGTGTACCGAGACCACCTACCCACTCATACCCAGGGGCTCAGGGGTCTGAAAGGAAACGGTACGCACGCGAAATGGGAAAATTTTTGTCGTTCGGTGTTACCGGACTAGGTAGGGAAAGCGCAGAGACACTGGGCACTCGTATGACCTGACTGAGCGCTGAACATTGAAGGCTTTTGAGTGAGGGCTCCTGATCCGATTTTCCAGTCGAGCCTTCGATTGTGGTCAGCCACGGTCGGAGAGAGGTACATTACTTCGCACAAAGTTTCCTGAAGAGAAGTAAGTTGCGTGGGTTGAAGGGTGGGGTTTTGTGGCTTTATGGCTGTGCAATAAGCTTTTGATATGTACTTTATCACACACGTCTCGTCATAGGTATTGATGGTTTTGCTGGGCACAGAGTATAGACAGACAAACATTTGGATGTTTGCTAGGTAGAGAAGAAACCGGTCTGGAACTGCCGGACGGTGCCCCGGGGAGTCTGGATTGCGTACTGTATGTACCTAACTGGAAAATCTTGCATAGCCGACTTGCGCTTGCTTGCATATAGATTTACTGTGGTCTATT